ATAAACATTTTATGTTTTAATTCTTTATACAAATATAGGTAGATAATTTTTGGATGGGTATTTTTCAAGAAAAAAATATAATTTTTCAGTGTATATATAAATAATAAATTATAACTATGTGACAATGTACATTACACTATGTATGCAGCTATAATATTGATTAGCTTCATCTGAAAAAGAGAGAGCGATCAGTGTTGGCCTTAAGCGTGCAACTTTCATACCTAAGGTGGTAGGTTCGCCGTTCGGTCCTGGCTGTGGAACAAGGATTTTGTATGTAGCGCACATTGGAAAAAGGATTTAACACTCGCCCATACGGTGATGGAAAACACCGGAACCGGTATGCCTTAGAACCTTAACCTAAAAATCTTTGCGTAGAAAACACTGAGCAATTTGTTTGTCATCTACCGTTTAAATACGATGATTTCAACTAACCAGATACTGTTTGATATCGATTGACCGAATTTTCTATAATATCAAAATCCTAAATCGGTAATATATATATTTTTTATATAAATATATCTACTTATATACGCGGCGCGGGTGTGTAATATTTACACATAACTGTATGGAAAGGACCAAGGAGAAGGAGAAGAGGGTACTCCAAAAAAAGATGGATAGAAGAAATAGAAGCGGTAGCAGGAAGTGAATGAAGAAAGAAAGCCATAAACAGAGTCAGTTGGAAAAAGCTGGAAGAGGCCTTTACTCGTGAAGGAGTTCCGATCGACGGTACTGAAGATAGTTAGGATATAGGATAACAAGATAAAAATAATCTATAAAATGTGAAAAATATCTAAGCTCTATTATAGGCTATATATTAACCCGAAAAATTTGAAAGACATATTAGTACGAGATCCCGCTGCAGGATTGGTGCGCTCATCGACTATTTGTTTAAAACCAAATTTTTATGTTTTTTTATAATTAAGAGAATATATATTTACTAGGGTGCCTATCAAAATTTGGCCGCCATTATTTTTAATTAAATTATTTTTAATTGATTTTTGGTAAAAATTGCGTTCATTTATTATTTAAATAAAATAACGTCTACATCACGGTAATTAATATGAAGATTCTAAAAAATCACGGGTGCCGTTGCGCACATGGCCGCACCTCTTTGTAGCCAGGTGTAAACAGGTATGATTTCGATAAATTTATACGTTTATAACCTATTTTTATTAATTATATGTCAAATTGAAGCTAATTTTTTTCTTTTAATTATCATATAAAGTTGCTTAATTAAATCTGGCCGCAAATAAGGGCTACTGGCTGTTAAAGATAATAAATATTTAAGGTAGAGTGAAAGAGAGTTAGCGCGTAACATCATTTGTCAGACGAGGACAGCGATTGTCGGCTGTGCGACGCTTTTAAGCCATTGCGCATGCGTCGAACGTTAGTGTTCTCAACCACCGGGGAGTAATAGAGACGACTTATAATAAATACTCCAAAAAATATGATTTTTTTTTTCAAAATGACAAATTTAAAAATTGCAACAAATTCAGCCCAGAATGGCTGGCTGGTACTAGATGGTTTTTTAAAACCAACATGGTTCCTGGGAGACTCAACTCCAACGCAAGTTAATAGTGTGCTATGTGAATCCATGAACAAAGCTTCCGATAACGACGATTCTGATATTTGTAGCGATGAAAGTGATAGCTCCGATGATAGTACAACAGAAAGCTCCGATGATTCAGATTTTTAAAAAAGAGTTACGGAAATATAAGAGTTATAAGATTATTTTTTTTAATTTTTTAATTTGCTTAAATGTTTAATTAATATGTAATAGACAATCAATTACTTGAATAAAATCTAATAAAATTTTTAAATAATACTTTCGCAATTAAATTTTCTTTTACTTAAGTCACCTTGGTTTTATTTTTTTATTTTTTAAATTCATATTAAATATCGACGTTCTAATTAGCAAATTATCTCACTCCATTTTAGAGAATCTTTTATTTGTACGAAAAAAACAATGACTTCAAAATTTATTATCATTTTAAAAAACCATTTAATATCATTAATATCTAATAGAGATATAATTTTTAAGTTTGAATCATTCAAATAATTTGTAATTGGATTATGTCTTCATCAAAATGTTAAAAAAATCACCCTCTAAAAATAAGGAGTTAGACAAATTGCTAACTAGACCGTCGATATATCAAATCAATATTAATTTTTTGTTGTAATTTTTAAATTTGTCATTTTGAAAAAAATTACATATTTTTTGGAGTATTTATTATAAGTCGTCTCTATTACTCCCTGGTGGTTGAGAACACTAACGTTCGACGCATGTGCAATGGCTTAAAAGCGTCGCACAGCCGACAATCGCTGTCCTCGTCTGACAAATGATGTTACGCGCTAACTCTCTTTCACTCTACCTTAAATATTTATTATCTTTAACAGCCAGTAGCCCTTATTTGCGGCCAGATTTAATTAAGCAACTTTATATGATAATTAATAGAAAAAAATTAGCTTCAATTTGACATATAATTAATAAAAATAGGTTATAAACGTATAAATTTATCGAAATCATACCTGTTTACACCTGGCTGCAAAGAGGTGCGGCCATGTGCGCAACGGCACCCATGATTTTTTAGAATCTTCATATTAATTACCGTGATGTAGACGTTATTTTATTTAAATAATAAATGAACGCAATTTTTTACCAAAAATCAATTAAAAATAATTTAATTAAAAATAATGGCGGCCAAATTTTGATAGGCACCCTAGTAAATATATATTCTCTTAATTATAAATAAACATAAAAATTTGGTTTTAAACAAATAGTCGATGAGCGCACCAATCCTGCAGCGGGATCTTAGACATATGGTTTTGATAAATAGCTAAGTCGGAGGAAAAAGCTACGACAGATATATCACTTAGTTCTAGAGAAAATGTTAGAGAGCTTGATAATGCCTATAAAAAAGTCAGCGAGAGCATATTATGTTGAACTTTTATATTATATAAAAACAAGTCTACTATGACTGTATACTTTACACCAAAAGAACTTAGTTAACGGGGTAATCAAAGAAATCAGTACGCATAGCCAAATCATAGCAAATCAATCAATAATTATTAATTAAACCACTACTGGCCAGTTTAAAAAAATATTCTTGGTTTGGATAGTCCACTAAAAATATGTTGGAATTCAGGCTCCTTGTGCTCGAATGTTGCGGGCTAATTTTTATCACTATATAAACAATATCATCAGATGAAGCAGGTCTTGGTGCCAGTTTGGTTTTTCAACAAGTCTGTTAAAAACTACGTTTAACTTACTGATTACATTTTTTAAAGAAAAATATGAACGTTTTGTTTTTGTAACACACAGTTTATATTTGCTTTTAGCTTTTGAAAGTGTATTTAAATTCCCGCAAAATAAGAAGCATTTATTATATCAGTTTATGTACATTGTAATAGGTACATAACTAAGAATTTTTGTTATCACCTTTTTATGATGTTGGTTATAATAAATAACCTTCTAAACAGTTATAGGAAGGTAAATTAGTAGTTGACACCTTTTTCTTTGTACCTCAACGTCTAATTTTTATAACATAGCTTTAAAACAAGTAAAACCATTGAACCTGTATTGTCCAAAAATATTAAATAAATAGATAGCCTCATTTATTCAAATAAAGTAATGACTTTTGTTACATTTCTATTATTTTAGATACCACTTAAAATACAATTTAAATTAGGACAGATGGAGAGGTTGGTACTAATATCCAATGTGTAGTTTGACAACCTGATGGAAAAGCAATTTTTTGTTACAACCTCACCATTTTGTAGCCCTATAAATACGAATAAATTAAGATGAATGCATAAAAAAAAAGCTTATCTTATTAGCGAACAATTCAAATTATTTAAGTGTATTTTTTTTTTAATTTGACAGGTCTAAAAAGTATTTATGTATTTTACTACCTTATAATAAATTTCAGCAAAACGAGCCGAATGAAAATACTTAGTTTCACACAGGCGTTTATTTATTGATTTAACTATTGTAGAAAATGTTCGGGTTGTAATAAATATAGATATTGCATGAATTGGCATTGAATCATATAACCTTTTATATCTCTTTTCTTTTTTCAAAAATATTGAAAATGAGAGTACTGTTAATTAATCGATTTCGTTTATAGTTTATTAATCTCACATTTGAAGTTGACAGTCCGAACCCGTCATACTCTGTTCATATTCGGCGTATACGCAGCGTGTCAAAATCGATTACATATCAGATATCATACAGTTTGCCTACTAAGTAGGAACTGTGTCATTTGTTACTTAGACTAGTAAGTTCTGGGTTTCCAAGTCCTAAGACATACTCTGACCTGACCTGTTGGACGATTAAGCCAGGGGCAACAATCACGTCACTCCCTGGAACTTATTACCAGTTAATACCAGATCTCATACATACGCAGGGTTCATTGGTAAATACTAATTATATAATGTCAGATTTAGTCCGGTAAAATAAACACCGTATTAACTTACACTCCACGGTCAAGCCACCGAATTGAAAGTATGAAAAAATCACCCGATCCCTTATATTCTATAACATTCCTGTCAAATAGAAAGTCAATTAATTAAATTCAACGTGAATGCAACTGTTTCATACTTAAATATTATCATTAACTTGACTAATCTAATCGATGTATTTATAAAATTATATATGTACATCGAATAGATAATTCTCCTCTATATAAGCTGTATTATCAGTTATAAGTGTTGTTTAAAGTAGATATTTCTTGGTATTAAGTGGTCGAACAGCGGCCACACAATACCTAGTTCTTAATAACTACATACGTAAATACTAATAATAAACAAAGTAAGACCGTACCTGATAAACAGAACAAGTAACTACCCTTACTTATTACATAATTATTCATTTATTATAATTAAAAACATATTTATAGCTGTTAGATTACTATTGGAATTTTATTCTTGTAAAATTCCAATAATAATCTACCCACATATAATTTACATAGTATTTAATTTTAACTATTTCTTTGCAAGAAATGCCGTTGCGTTGGGGTATTGTGAGTGCGGCTAAAATTAGTCATGACTTCGTCACCGCTTTCAATTCGTTTCCTGATAGAGGAGATGCTGTAATTGCTGGCGTTGCAGCAAGGGATAAAAACAGAGCTACAGATTTTGCTAAAATTCATGACATTCCTCATGTATTCGACACTTACGAAAAAATGGCAAAGAGTTCTGAAATAGGTAAGATAATAGAATAAGTGTTTTGTTTTGTTGTTTAAAATTATTTATAGTTATGTGTAGTTATCGCAATGGGTTTTGGACTAGAGTCCAGAGATGTCTAGCGAGAGCACGTTATGTTAGTGGTCATTAAAATTGCAAATAAATTACTTATTTTTACTATTTATTATTTTATAAAACGAGTGGAATGAAGTCACCTACGAAAATATGATAGGTTGGTATAATAAATAGGTACTCATAACAAAACCTATGGTTTGGGAGCAGCACATATTTACGTAACGTTTCCTAAATTATGGTTTTTAGATGTTGCTTATATCGGTTCATTGAATCCTCAACATTACGATCTCGCATATCTGTTTCTAAATTCTGGAAAACACGTTCTTTGTGAGAAGCCCCTTTGTTTGAACTACAAGCAGACACAAAGTTTAATCAATCTCGCAAGATCGAAGAAACTCTTTTTAATGGAAGCAGTGTGGTCAAGATTTTCGCCGGCGTACATTGCACTCGAAAAGGAAATAAGCAATGGAAAGTTAGGAGAAATTAAATACGTTGACGTCGCATTTGGAGTTCCCATTGTAAACCACGATAGAGTAAGGTAATATATTGGGCCTCGTAACACGTTTATATATTTTTTTAAACTGATTAATAAGTAGATAATAAACATTTCAGTAAAAAGGAATTGGGAGGAAGTGCTCTACTTGATATAGGAATTTACACTATACAATTTGCTCAATACATTTTCAAAGATGACCCTATCAAAGTAACAGCGTGCGGGGAATTAAACGACGGAGGTGTGGATGAAGTGTCCACTATAGTTCTAGAATACTCTGGACGCCGCCGAGCGGTTCTAAATATTAATGCAACACTACGACTTTTGAACAATGCAAATGTTTATGGGACTCATGGAAGAGCAACTGTAAGTAAATGTCAAAATTGCTCATCGGTCAGTTAAACGAAACATTTTTTAAAGGTATATATTAAATTTAAATTTTTAGCTGGAGGATCCATTCCATTTTCCAACTAAACTAACTCACGGAGACGGAAAGGTGGACGATTTTCCCTTACACCCGCCAAAACTTGAGCTTAACTTTGAAAATAGTACCGGTTTGGTCTACGAAGCTCTAGAAGTCGAAAAATGTATTAGAAAGGGTAAATTATCTATGAAAATTTAAATATATTTTTGTCTTTGGTCTACATTCTATTCAACTTAAATAATGTTAAAAAACAAGAATTATTTGTCCAAAATAAACATAGATTTTGGTTTTAAAGGTTTGGTGGAATCTCCAAGAATGACGCACAGGATGAGTCTCACTCTAGCCAAAATTGAGGATGAAGTAAGAAAACAAATTGGGGTCCACTTTGATGCTGACGATATAGATTACCCTTAAATTAAAATACAAGAATAATTGGGGCAACAAAAGGAATTAAGGGACTTTTAAGGAATTTCATGTTAACAATAAATGATATGTTTAGTAATACTTTGTGTATCCATAAAATTATTAATAAGTGAATTCTAGTAATATTCATATAGGTCCAATACAAATGGACTGGAAGGTTTTTTATTTTTATTAGCTGATGGTAAGTGAAGAACTACTATGTATCCAAATGCCATATGGCTAGTGAGAATGTTTGTTATTGTTTTATATTTTTTGTTTCATTTATTTATTTCAATACAGTCATTTGTTTTGTTTGACCAAGTCACAATACTAATCAGAAGCAAATTTTGACATTAACTTTAATAAGTTCAGGTTGATGTTAAAGAAATCACAAATAAGTATGTCCTCATTATTTAAAATTATTATTTATTATAAATTTCAAAATAATGTAGTGATATTATTAACCTAGAACATTTACTTTTTATTGTATAAAAATTGTAATAAATTTAATATGTTTATATTAAGTGTTCATTTAAAATGGATCTAATTGCAACCAAAGATACATAGAAAAATAGTTAAAATCCACTGTCCTCAAAAAAAAATTGGAGTGTGACCACATTTATCCATAGAATACCTTAAAAAAATAATCAGTCAGCTAAATCAAATTGACCAAAGTACCGAGAAACTAAACAAATAAAAATATTAAAGGGAGTAACAAGTTCCATTGAATTTTCTTCTTCTGGATTAATATGTGATCTGAAAATACAAGTATTTCAAATTTCTATAAATCAGTTAAAAGTGAGATATACAGTTATGAATTGCTCTTTTAAAAACAACTGCCCATAACACACTTAACTACCAATGAGGGCATTGGTTACCTCCCCTGACTACATTTTCTCATAAGTGATACCTTGACTATATATTTATATAATAACAATGTTTATTTACAGTTGTGCTTATAGAGCCTCTTCTTGAACATATTTTTAAAAAGTGACAGGCATACCTGACTTCAGCACATCTTCTTGCTAAGTTTCTTAATATACTAACTGTATTCGGTAGTAAAGGTTGTCTCGTACAAGCCAATATAGCATAGATCCATTGACCTGGAAGAGAAAAAAATTTTGATATAAATATTCATATAAATGGAAGAAGTTGTATGTATATTTGTAGATGGTGAGCTAAATTGATAAAAATATGAATTTAAAATTTACCTGTGTTATATGGAATAGTGCTTCCAGGTTCAATATCATTCAAAGACTCAATCAAATATTCTAAGCCTATATCTAATATTTTGTAATTCATTCCTAGAATACATGATAAGGTAGGCTCATGATTATCAAAAAAATTGATCCATACGTCATTAACTGGATTCACTTTTAGTTTCCTTATTTGAGGCCAGTCAGACCTTTTATCAAGTAGCCGTGAAATATACAATCTGATATCAGAAAAATCAGCAACTTGTATGTTTTGCCATTCAATAGTTGGCTTTAAGTGGTCAGGTGCTTTTGGATGAGGAATCTGTTAATATATATGTTAAATAAATTCATGAAATAAGTATAATGATCATCATAATCAAAAACCATTATTAGTACCTCTTTTACAAATTCAGATTGATTCTGAGCAAACTTTGAACAGTCTATTTTACACTTGGTGACCATTTGACAGTTACGTCTTTCGTTTATAACTGCTAATAAATATTCCTCGCCAGTACTTGGGACGTCTTTCAACTGTACATCATTAGAAATCTGGAAGCATGGAAATAACAAGGTGTCTTTTTCTAATGCTTCTTTACTCTTGACGTCAATTATACACTTTTCAGTCATTATTGAAAAAAATAAAGGATTTAAATATTCTAAAACGTGGTAAATGTCGATTCTAATATGAAATGTCTAGAGTCCAGACCAGTGCTTAGAAATTGTTAATTTACAGGTCTTCATTAAATAATATAATTATAAAAAAGGAGATATAATAGTATAGTAAAATTTATCGCTAGTCAAAGAGTAATTATAATTTAAAATCATAAAAAAGAAGTTCAAACTTCAAAGGTATAATAGAATTTAGAAATTATAGAAGTAGTGCTAAGTGCAAACCGTAACACCACAGACGATGATACTATAGATTATAGATTACATTATAATGCATATTCGATTGTTTTAAATATTAGTTAAGCAAACAAGACTTGCACTATGACTCCCGTATATGAAATTCCATCAAAACAGTTTTAAAATTTATCGACATTATTAAGTCACCAAAGAAATTTCAAAAAAGTGTTTCAAATTAATGTTCAAAATATTTAAAATTGTATTTTTATTTTGTTCCTTTATCCTGCGAGTGTATAAGTGGAAATTATATATATACATAATATGTACATAGCTAACAAAAGTCTCATGACTCATCTATCTATGATCTACAATGTATTATGTAAATGTTACCAATGTGCTACTGCTGATATATCTGTGATCTGCCTATTGCCAAATAACAAATTTATGTTTTTTTTGGAGTTTATGGTCTGGTAACAAATTTATGAATGCATACAACAGTGTTGCCAACTTAGGGGTTTTCCCCCAATTTTAGGGGTAATCAAGATGACCAGGGGGTTTTTAGGGGGTACTTTATCCAAGATTTTTTTCTCTATAAACACACGATTCTATAAAATTTATTTTAAGCTTCGAACGCAACCAACAAACTAAACCAAATATGAACTCCAAGCCTGGTTACAGCTTAAATATCGAAAAACAATAATTTCATGTGTCAAATATGTTCCTTCTGACCGTATTATCAAATCATTTAACGTCAATATGTATGATTTCAAAAATATCAGCAACAGCAAAACGCGGTGCGATATTCAGGCTGATGCCTTCGACGAAATATTAGAAGCTTATCCCAATGACATTTAATAATATTGTATTAGTAAAAAACCACATTGAAGCAATTCGTTTTTTTTAATTTTGTCTCGTCTAACTGTAACAGAACAGATAAAAAAGAAAAAGTACAAAAATCTTTATAAATAATGTATGAAAAGAAATTGACGAAAACGCAAAAAATTGTCTGCCAAGAAACATTAAGAAAAACTGAATTCGAAGTAAGAAAAGTTAAGAAATAAAAAATAAGAATCGTTTCATCTCATTGTTATTATCATTAAATATTAATGATAATAATAAATTCGGTCATTGATTAACATATATAAATATGTAAAATGTACTCGCATAAATACAAAAGCAATTTTTTACTACTTCAACGTATTTTTAATTCATATTTGAAATTACCTCTCAAACCAAGTGTACAACAAAAACTTTAGGGGTTTTTGATCGATATATTTGAAGTTGGCCCTAGGGGGAACATTTTGTAGGAGCTGGCAACACTGGCATACAATACTCGACTTTGCTTGGCCTAAAGGTCTAGATACCAGGCCATAAACTCCAAAAAAAAAAAAATGGTTGATTTGATTGATACTAGGCTAAGGTCATAAACATTAAACTCCAAAAAAAAGATGGTTCATTTTATTTGTAAAATTGTAACTAATTTGTATTAAAATTGTTATCTGTTACTAAAGCTCTTCCTGATTTGTGGTTTCTGATTAACTTATTTAAAGTGGAAATACCTAAATATTCCTTTAATACAATTATTTCAAGTCTTAAAAAGTAAAAACAATAATAGCAAATCTTACATTAAGTTCTTATAAGTTGTAGTTCTTCAATAACTGTAATTATTATTGGATGTTTAATTTTTTTTACTATGAACGATAAGTTTATCGAAATAGTTATTTCGATTCGATTATTCTATATAAATAAGTTAGATATTTACTAAGTAAAAGTTATGTCGTCATCTAGCAATTTATCACGATCATCCTATTCTCCATCAGACCCTGAAGCACCTCAAGTAAGTTGATACATAACTTTAATTCGACATACAAATAGTATTATAGGTAGGTACGTTTTTATGTTAAGTCTAACCCTCTACAAAAAAAGTAAGAAAATATAGCACACTGAAAATAAAATATCTACTTAATTTATAATTTTACATATTTTTCAGAATAATAGAAACTTTGATCAGTCTTTAAGTCCTGAAAGTCATTCTGATAGTTTTGAAGAATCTATAATAAATGCTCAAAATGAAATGCACCAAAAACGTATACTAGCTTTGCGAAAAGAGTTGGATTATTTAAAAGCTACAGAATGGAAGTTTGAGTCTGACAAGGGTATATCGCAATAATCAATTGCCAAATATATTGTTTTGTCCTTAAGTATAAACAACAAATAAGATGTGGTCATACATAACATCTATATTTGGTTATTTTTTTAAATTACAAGAAGATGAAGGTAGGGAAAAATTATTAATAGAAGAGTTGATTGATTTAAAACTAGAATTGGAAAGAGAAGAATTTCATAATCTAAATATAGAAAATAAAGTTCAAGAGTCTCCCCAGCAATCTGAATGTTTTCAAAGAACAGGTAAGAAATCTCTGACTAATACTTATGTTTGGCTATATGAATACATATAGCTCATTTAATACTTAAATTCCATGTTAGTTCCTTTATGGGGAAATGTGAGAAAAAAGTATGGAAATAGGGCATAATAACATGTCTAAATAAAAAATTTTAGTAGTTTATTTCTTGATTAGTAAAACAGCGGTTTAGTTTTTTTGTATAATATGTACTTTTTTATAAATCTTTATGCGCAGCTAAATTTTTTTTTCCAGAAAGGTATGGATATATCTTTAAATTTCCTTACTTTTTTCCAGGTTTTGTAACTCATTGTGGTGAAAGCTATATTCTAATTGATGGTTCATTTTACTTTGATACATCAGCATGCAGCTTCAATTTAAATGTTAATGATAAAATTTTATATCTTGGGTATAACAACTCAAATGAAGAATTAGTTATTGTAAGAATCTTACAAAATGAAGGCATTGGCTGGGAAAATGAAGATGACTCAGAGGAACAAAGATTTGATGTGATAAATCACATTATAGTTGGCATAGTTGATTGCAGAGAGGATCGTAATGTGTTTATCCAAGGAGGTGACTTGAAATTCAATCTTGATGATGTTCAAGGAACCTTTATACCTATTGCAGGTGATTGGCTTGAAATGCAGTGTTCAATTCAAAAAAATGATGAAAAGTTAACAGACATTAATATGACACAGGTGAGAGTGTTATTCTGTATATTAAGATGAATGAATTTATATGTGATAAAATTAAAGACTATTGTCAGTCTTTGATGGCTAATAATTATTTCAGGTTTTACAAGTAACACACTTCCGTCCACTTCGGACTAAAATAAAGTCGGGCACAGTAACTGAATGGTCTGGAAAAGTTGGCATCATTGACAATCAGATTTACTTCGACAGCAGCACCTTTATAGAAACTTTTATTCCACAAGTGGGAGCTAAAGTAAGTTTTCCTTAGGTTATCAGTTACATGTGTAATGTAGCAACTAATGACAAACTTAAAAAATCATATTGTTTTCAAATCATACAAGTATGGCTGTCTATTAGAATATTATCTATATATTTGGTGGTTTTAATAAGGTGTTCATGTAAGTATTAACGTTTGTACCATAAACTTTCCTATCAATATAACTAACATTAAGTAAGTAAGTGCCAATAGAGATGCGGTGACATATCTGAGTTTCAGGCCAACTCAGCTGAACATTATTATTGTTAATATTAAATTTGAATCGACAGGTTGATGTTGCATTGAATTAATGAAACTACCATGCACTTAGAACAAGTGGCTTATATTTTAAAAAAATCCATATGTTTGCTATAAATACATTAAAATGTGTAGTCATTTTTTATATCCAATCTAACTAAATAATAAATATACTTATAGCTTTAATTTGCTATTGTATATGTTTAATGGTTATTCCTTGACTGTTTTGTCACATGACAAAATAATCATAAGTAACATAACGTAATTTTACTAAGTGATACTACTGACCATTCATAGTCACAGTGCAGCAAGTGCGTTGCCGGCCTTTTAAACTAATTTAGGCATGATTTTTTTTTAATTAAGGCATTATGAATCAATTCCAGAATCTTGTTTACAGGTAATGGCTGAGGCCATAGAAAGCAGTCAAGGTTATTATTCCTGGAGAGCAATAAAACTTGCGATAATTGAGAAAAGGACTCTTGTTGTTAATGACTCTCCTCAAGTAAATGTTGATGAAGAAAAAAGTCTTGAACTTGAAAAATCTAAAAATATAAGCCTCACATATCCCCTGAAATTTCCTTGTATTGACATTTCAAGTTCAGATTCTCTTAACCTTAACATAACAAACAAAAGTCATAAGGTACACACATTAAATAAATGGATGATGCTTAGTAGGAAAAGAGATTCACAAATCTTAGTAAAACCTTTCATTACTCAACCACAGCAGTTATTACCAGGAGAAAGTATAAACTTTACTGTCATTTGTCAACCAAAATTTCTTGGCAGCACAAAAGAATGTTTGGTGATACAGTTTAAAGGTTTTCAGTTTATAAGATATATTGATATAAGTGTTATTGACAATTTTGGAAATTTGAATGGAAATTCAGATAAAAGGCAAAAAACTGAATGTTCTCAAATGATTGACAAAATGAAAAGAATTCAAAAAGATAATGAAGGCTTTATTCCAGGAGTTAAAACTCATAAGAGTCCACACTTTACAGCCAGTCAACTTGGCTCTTACCCTATTCCAGACAAGGTTTGGCAAGTAGTCTTAGGTGACTCTGAAGAAATAGTCTATACTCATGATTTTGATAGAATCTTAAATAGAATACGGTCAAATTTTCCATGTCTAATTCAAGATATGACACTACAAAATTATTGTGATCGGTGGCACACCTTATTGTTTATGGAAGAAATTCAGACCAATATAAATTTGAGAGTATATGATACACCAAAAGCTTTCTTAATTAGGCATCAAGATTATCTTGGACTCGAAATAAGTGGTCTATGCGAGAGAAGACCGTCGTTACTGGCTGGCGATAGAGTCATAGTTAAAGACACATGGATTCCTAATAACAAAAATTATGAAGGCTACATTCACATGATTAAGGGTGATTTAGTTTTATTTAAGTTTGACTCAAAATTTCATGAGTTGTATGATGGGGGCGATGTTTCTGTGCAATTTCATCAAAGCAGAACAACTTACAGACGAGCTCATCATGCAATTAATAATGTATTACATAGTCTAGGGCCTGATATTCTCTTTCCTTCAAAATTGAAACTGAAGCCGTATCAAGTTGCAAAGGATCAATTGGAAAAGATAAATTGGTATAATAACGAACTGAATAATGGACAGAAAAGGGCTGTAATCAATATTCTTAAAGGTGAAAGTCGTCCACTGCCATATGTAATTTTTGGCCCTCCTGGTACTGGAAAAACAATCACTGTAATAGAGACAATTTTACAAATTTTGAAAAACATTCCAGATAGTAGAATCCTTGTTGCAACTCCATCTAATAGTGCTTCAAACCTAATAACAGAAAGGCTCATACAATATAGAAATGATTTCTCAGGTTCTGTTGTTAGGCTCATAGCCCATTATTTAGCTGACTCTAAAAATATATCTGATGTGATTAAACCATATTGTGCTACTATTGACATAGCTAAAGAAGGGACTTCAAATTCTAAGCATTATGTAAAAGATAGCATCAATATGAACTGCCAAAAATCGTATGTAGGAAGACATAGAGTTATCATTTCTACCTGCAACTGTATTGGTAGTTTTTTTTATATGAAATTTCCGAAAGGCCATTTCACACATATTATTGTTGATGAGGCTGGTCAAGCCAATGAGCCAGAGTTAATGATACCATTAAGCTTGAGTGACAAGAATAGTGGACAAATAATATTAGCTGGAGACCCAATGCAGTTGGGGCCAGTTGTATTATCGAAAAACTGTATTGAATTTGGGATGGATCAGTCCTATTTATGTAGAATTCTAGAATGCTATCCGTATCAAAAAGACTATAATTCTTACAAAGATGGATTTGACGACCGTGTCGTCACAAAATTGTATGACAATTACAGATCATTAGAAGAAGTATTATTACTTCCCAGTAAAATGTTTTATGATAACACTCTTGTACCTAAGTTTGATAAGAATACATCCTGGATACCAAAGATAGTAAATGCGACCTGTGACGTTTTTGGTATCACTGAAAATAAAAGTGGCGGGATATACGTGTATGGTATACAAGGTCAAAATACACGAGCTGAGGATAGTCCTTCATGGTATAATCCCCAAGAAGCTTCTATGGTGGCCCTTACCACTTGTAAACTATACAAAAACAAAGTGACTCCAGAAGAAATTGGTATAATATCACCGTATATTGCGCAAGTAAGATTACTTTAATTTATTACTAGTCTTCACACTCACACACTGGATACAACCAGTGAGATTAATAAGATTCACGAGGGGGCGAAACTAAAATTGTGCGTTTCGTTTGATTGTGATTTGTCAACAGCATCTCTACTCCAATACGCGTGGCCACGTTGCATTAGCATACCGCGTCATGATATTATGTCCGTTTGACCAATCACAATCGACCCCACCCTTTCTTGCATCTTTTATTTAACATTCTCACATCCCTGAGATTTTAGTTGTTCGATTCGAATTTTTTAGAAATACATAATATACAAATGAAATTAGTTACTATGTGTGAAATTCAATTAACCTCAAATTATTAGAAGACTGAACGTGTAATGAAAGAATATGTATTAAGTATATTAAAAACAAAATAAAAACGGCGACTTTGAAACAATGAGCAATTTTGTGTGCCCGTAGTACTACAGTTATAACAAATCTAAATATTTAAATCTCTTTGCAGAAATAGTAAATATACCAAAATCTAGATATGTTTATGAATTGAACATCTTAATATCCGTAAGTTTACGATGTCAACCGTTTTCTCGGAAACTTCTAATAATCTGATGTCGTTTAAAAACTGCTTAATAGTTTATTATTATAGATTAATGATTGATAATAAATCGTCGAGGAACTGAGACTTCTATGCCAATTGCCAACCATCAAAATTTTTTTTTGAATTAAGGGTAAAACACTCACAAAATCATCTGCGACATAAAAGTTACTTTGCTACAGACACCTAAATGATGTGTGTTTAACTAAAGTATGCCTTTGATTTCAGATTAAATATCTACGCCTTATATTTAATGCAATGGGACTACCACAACCAAAAATTGGCACTGTTGAAGAATTCCAAGGTCAGGAAAGACCAATAATCTTGATCACTACTGTGAGATCTACCGAATCTTTAATTCAACAGGATATCAAATATACATTAGGATTTGTAAATAGCCCAAAAAGATTAAATGTAGCAATAACAAGGGCTCAAATATCAATGATTTTATTTTGTAACCCACATTTACTTAGCACAGATTTGTTATGGAATGAAGTCATAATGAATGCAGTAAATAATAATAGATATATGGGGTGTTACTTTCCCATTGAAGAAAAATAATGAGAAAAGTGAATATGTTTTAAGTATTTTCTGGTTTCTAATTTTAAGAAATATATTATTATGCCTATAAGATGTTGTATTCACTTCTTAATTAACCTTTAAAAAATAATTATAATAAAAGTATTCAGCGTAAAGACAGAAAAATCCAGTTTTAATTTTAATTCGAATTTGTATGGAAATAGTCATGTAACGATGTCTGATTGCCTGCTATCATACCAATTCACAAATTTGTTTGACGTCAGTGGCTCATGCTTGTAGTAAGTGCCCTGCCTCACCGGGACGCCATGGCGACGTTAGGAGAGCAGGAGCCTTACTAACAATTTCTTTCAGGATACCTAAGTAAAAAACATAATTAAGAGACTATGAAAAAGCAAAAAAAGTGCTTTAGTGTGCTAATTCGCCAGGTAGCCAGCGTCGCAGCTCGCCGCATGCGAAGCGGTCAACTCTGGCTGAGCTGGCTACTTGGCGACGTCGGTAGCCAAGGGAGTTAGCCGGCATACATCTTAATATTAACTATTTGGCGACGTGGCCATGGCGTCCCGGTGAGGCAGAGACCTAAAGCGATTTTGTCTCAAGCCTCAATTCAGTAAACACAAACGTTTTTTTTAAAGATTTTATATATATCAACTGTTACATAAACTCTGATTGTCTTTAAGTACGCCAAGTAATCGAATCTTAATTTTATTCTTAATACATACAAATATAATATAATTTTTTGACATTAGGCATTGACCACATTAATCTGTGGGCATTGGCATTTGACAGAAAATAAATAAATACAGGAACGTCATACTTTTCGTATCAAAAACTGCTTCTACGTTTTCGTTTTATTTATTAGTGTTAATAAAAATAACATATTTTATGAATATATAATGTTTTTCTGAATAAAATAATATCGTTCATGTGCTACTTAATCAGATAGCATAATTGAAAAAAAAACAATAAGAATGGAGGCGAATGGTGTTGTTCTTAGTAGTAATTTAATAAAATGGTTACAAACTCTTAATCTAGTAGCAAAACATGGAAATCCTGCAGGTAAATTATTTTACGTAAAAATTTAATCTATATCATTTATATTGTTTAGTGTGATATTTATCACATTGTGAAAGTAGATTGACAAATGATTGTAAGAATTGTGATAATCTTGTAAGTTTCGATTGCATTTAGAACTATCTGATGGTGTAGCAATAGCTGAAGCTCTAAGCCAGATTGCACCAGAATTTTTCACTGCTTCATGGAATTCAAAAATTAAAACTGATGTGGGACAAAACTGGAGACTCAAAGTTAGTAACATAAAGAAAATATTAGAAGGAGTTGTAGGTAAGTGAAAGGAACAAGTTTATTTCTAATATCTAATATTTATATATCTCTATATCTAGTAATATAAACACCACTTTTAAGTAGAAATATTCTAAAGAAATATATAAAAAAGCTGTAATGCACAATGTGAACTTTGCTGGTGCTATGATTATTATATTCATAAATATATCTCCTTTTTAGATTATCATCAAGATGTTCTCAATTTAAGTCTCCAAGAGTTTTCGCGGCCAGATGTTGTAAACATTGCTGAACATGCAGATCCAGAGGATTTAGGGAGACTTCTACAACTTGTGCTTAGTAAGATTGTTTTTAGAGATAAAAATTATTGCTGAATGTTTGTCAAGTAGTTGCCTGGCATTTGACTAATGGATTTTTCTATTCAAGGAAACTGGCATCTTGTATTTTACATTTATTTATCTATAAACATAATATAATTATTTACAAAAAATTTCATACTCAATGTACAGTAAGCAATGCAAGGTTATTTCTTTTGTGTGATATTGCTATTTAAAACCTTGAGTTTTCACAGGCTGTCATCAATATTACTTGGTTAAAACAAGGTATTTTGTATTTCCATTTTATTTTGACCAACCAAACTAATTTGGGTTTGCTTTTAAATAGATTAACAAGATTTCAATGTGTGAAATTGATTGCTATCTGTACTATGTAGTTGGTATTTAGTAGTGCTGTTCAGAGTGTAGAGCTGATCCAGAACATGTGAGTTTGGAGCTTGGTTGATAAAGGGTCTTAAAAAGTTATATTCTATATTAAATATAAACATATTTTATTTCCTATATATATTTCTTTATTAATTATGTGACGGATCACTCCTGTGTGTGGGGCGCATAGGTAAGATTACCGTCGGCCATACACACACACATATAGACATTATATTAATGCAATGTGGGACACAGTAATATAATTATACCCAAGTCTAATTTTAAAAATACAAATGTTTTGTTCTGGTCCATCAATTAGCATGCAATCTATATTTTTTTTTGAAATATATAACATATAGTATATGTGGTATGTATGTAAAATAAAGTCAAGGAATTAACTGATATTAAATATAATTGTGCAACTTTAAAATCTAGTCTACAACTGTTGTGGGGTTTCCTTTAAGGAGAACACTAGTGTCATGTTGTAAATCTAGCGTAAGACACTAGAATTCGTTCAGTAAGGCTTTTCTCGCATTGAGGTTTGTTAGTTTATGCAAATAAAGAAATCATTAATAATCAGTTTAAAATATGTTTTACATAAGTTTCAATATTAGTTACAACTTATTAATGATCTAATATTTGAAATAAAAACAAAATAAAAAATACTTAAATGTTCAATTAGATTTCGTTTTCGCTGTTCAGTTAAGGCGGTTTATATGAAATCTTACATTTAAGTAAGTAAATAACATACAACGACCGCGATTTGTTCTTAGTGTATTTCAAGGCACATTGCCTTGAAATCCACAGTAATAGTATTAAAATATAAGTAATTATAATATACGATATGGAACGTTAATTTTTGTATTAGGACCAACAAACCAAATAATTTTTGGAGGTAAGAAATATAATTTAAACATTGTTTGTGTTTATATTAATTTAACCCCTTTAATGACTTGAGTCTTGTACCTTTTTACAACTTATATAATCAATGTGTTTTAGTGACCTGGCCAAACAAATTTTTGGAGGGAAATCTATTGTGTATCTAAACCGTATTAACCTCGTTCAGGAACTATTTGATCAAACAACTTGTTATGTTAACTCGTTATAATTATAATGTTTTTTTATCAGGTTGTGCAGTCAACTGTAACAAGAAAGAAGAGTACATCACGCGAATTATGGAACTAGAGCTGTCATGTCAGCGATCTATAATGCAAGCAATACAGGTAATTGTAGTAATTAACACTTGGAAAATATTTATTAATTGGGTTAAATTTTGTTTTCTCATTCATTAAGTAACTTTGAAATATTGCATTCATAAGTTATACTACATATACCTTGTTTTGATGTATTTTTGTAAGATTTTTTATTTATTATTGCGCAACGTTTACGTAAGCTTATATTCCAATATATAGTTTTTTTAAATACTTCGTAAATAATTAGCGATAGCGTCTATAAAAAATATGATTTATGTTGTTGAATTTTAAGTACTTGTAATATGTAGCAGTAGTGCACTTCCGGGTGTCGAACTCGGAAGCGGGTACCCGACATAGGGACATTATAAGTTACTCTATATTTATGTTGATAAAATTAAATATTGCACATTCAATTGTAAACAGGGCGTAAAATCGTAATATATTATCGCAATAAAAAATGAGCAAAGTCTTGCACAAGTGCAGTTTCGACGATGCACGATCGCCGCCCGCCCGGCTAATGTACGCACCTAATGTCCTTGCATCACGAAGCAGACAATAAATTTAGTTAGCTTTAGGCGACTGCGGGTGCCTCACTCGTTGTTGTTGATAGTAATTTAAAAACGTGCGTGCGGATTTTACGAGACGATTGTGACATAATAAGTATAATAAATTTTGGAGTGCCTGAGATTATTGGAATTTAAAACAGTGTCAATAGTTATTTATCTATGGTAATGTTTATTAGGAGTTGGAAAATATTACTTTGGGACAAATTCGAGCGAGTCTGCCTGTCGATGGGCCCACGACGGAGCACACGGATGTTGATATGAAAGAGGTTCTTGCTCAGAGATGTCATGAACTTGATGCGCAAGTAAGATATAATTAAATTTTATTTTCGTTTGCTGTTTTTTTAATTACTTTCCTTGTATTTTAATATATGCAGTTGCTCTCGGATTCACGCCGAGGATCATTGTAGATTAGTTCTAGCCTGTTCTGTCAAAGATAGCCCTTTTCGTCATAATTATTATTAATTAAAAGAGTGTAATTATACTGATTTAGTTTTTATGATTAATGAGGTAAAAGTTTATATACTCGAAATAGTTTCTATAAATTAACTAATATTTGATATTATGTCATAAAACGCTTTCATTATTATTCCAAAATGCTTAAATATACAATATATATATTACAATGTTATTAAGATACATTTACAGAATTAAGAACTTATTATTTGTTTTAATAGAGAAGACTTCTGCTCCACATTGTTTGCACAAAATATTTATGTAATTAAACATTTCGTTTAAAAGTGAATTGACGTAACAGTCAGTGTACATTTACGAGTAGGTGTACTGTACGAAACGATGTTTTTAGAAGTCCAACATACTGAACTCGAATGGCTTGGAGCAAAGTGTTACTAAAAGAACTATGAGGAAATAATAAGCTTAATTATTTACCAGGTAAAAGCCCTTCAAGAAGAAAATATGACGCTATTAAGTGAAATGAACAGGCTCACGGCAGCCCGGGAGGCTGACAACGAGAGCAAAGACGACCTGGATGATGCTGGAGCATCCTTAGGACCAGCACACGCTGGTACATTACGGTACAGCAATATGCGTAAACAACTGGATTCTCTGAAGGATGAGCTGGATAAGGTGGAGTTACAGAGAGATGATCAGAAAGCGAGAGCAGATGTTCTTGAACGAGAAGTCGCGCTTTTGAAATTGAAGAATGAAGAGCTACAGGTATGTCTTAGTGGTTGGTTTTGAATGAAGATTTTTTTGCAAAATAATTATTGTTTCAATAAGGTTTATAGTATGTTCGCTGTAGCATGGTGCGGGTGACAGTTTCAGTAACGTTTCGTTTCACTCTTGAAAAGTTTCCGCGATGTATAATGTATATGTTATAACTTAGTATTTCAGCTGTACCACATTCATACTATAAACAAATAAATATAGCCTTTATTGACAATCTTGTAAGTTACATTTTATCTTATTTCTTCTTAGTTATTAAAGTATTATTTATTATGTTATTATTTCCTATTAGATACTTTCAGCATAGGCCTCCCCAAGTGTTCTCAACAAAGAATAAAGATCTATCTCTAGCTTTCCTCATCCATGTCGCTCCTGCCACCTTTTTAATATCATCTTCCCATCTACGATATTGTCGACCTTTACTTCTCATATTATGTCTAGGGCACCATTCCGTAACTGCTTTGGTCCATTTTTCCGTATTACTTCTTATCAAATGCCCAGCCCATTTCCATTTTAGTTGTTTGATTCGGTATTTTATGTCTATTGTCTGCACTCTACAACATTCGATTTATATTGAATCATTAATTACTGTAGTAACTTACATTTAACACAGCCAGAATGTTCTAGTCTACAAATAAAATCAAATTGAAAGAAAAATTAAGCAACTGCACCATGGTACAGCGGACATAGTATAGTTATAACAAAAATGTTATTATTTAGACTTTATGAAATTGTCTTTGTTGACTTTTACACGCCTTATGGAGTTCGATTTGCAGTTATCAGAATTGTGAATTATACTGCATGCATTTATAGATAGCGGCAATTGACAACGTCGCGCTAAAAGACGAAGTTGATGCGTTGAGGGAAACGGCGGCAAAGGCGGCTGCTTTAGAAGCCACTGTGGCCTCTTACAAGAAGAGGATGGAGGAACATGTGGACTTGCGGAGACGGGTAAGATCATAAGATACATATTTGTTTTCTATATATATATATATACATTATATGTTGTAATAGTTGAAAAGAGCATTCATTTGGAATCGAATTCAATTACTACATTATTTCAAACGTTTTGTTAAAATTGTACTCGAATGACGCAAAAAACTCTTACTTTTTGAATTTATTTATAGTATTATAAATAAGTAAAAAAAATATCTTTTTAAAGTTGTACAAAGTGATTTGCCATTATAGAGAAAGTATTTTGCTCATCTGCATTATACGGAAAGAAAATGCCAAGACATAATTTATTACTGCTGGTTCATTGATCTCGAAGCATTATGATTTAATATGTATGACGCAATTTTAGTCTAGTATGAAAATTGCAAAAGCGTTTTTAAATTTTGAGTAGATTTGCGTAATTTCGAATGGCCTTAATGAATTTGGCTTAAAGTAGGACAGTCTGTTCGTGTAAATGTAATAATATAAATTATTAGGTCGCTCTGAATGTACTCTTGCGTGGTTGTAATTTACCATTACGAAGTAAATAATATGACGCAATATAAACCATTAGTAAAGTTTTTCTTTTAACGAAATTAATTAATCTCGTTAAATTATACTGATACCAAAATGTACTACCACATGAATTTCCAAGCTATTATCCAAAGGTCTTATTAACGATTGTACCACAAAGTACGGTGGCCGTTGATACATAGTTTTTTAACATTAAATAGTAAGCCGAAGAGAAGTACATACCTTCATATATGATTGTCCCGAACTTAACAATTAAATACATACGATTGTCAGTCGATAAGGAACAATTAGTATAGGGACAATGAGATAGGTTAGACAAATACTTTGCCTTTAGGCTTTAAATGAAATCACAAATAGTGATACGCACAAACACTTACTAGACAAAATTGAGGGCGTAATTAATTAAGTTAAATCTAAACAGTTTCTATGTTATATCAAAACCCCAGCAAATGTGACGATAGACCGTATCACAAAATTACGGATCACCTCAACAAAATTTACAAAATAATGATATCTATTACGATCAATGATATTCTATCCCAATATAGCGATTGAATTGAAGATATTTTTAAACATAAAATATGAAATAATTTCAGGTAAAACTACTTGAGGTAGCAAACACGGAGCACGTACACCGGGCTATAGAGTACGAGCAGGCGGCAAATCGCGCCAACGCTATTCGGGGACAATTAGACATTTATAAGAAACAGGTAAGATAATGTGTCAGAGTGGGGCAAGACAAGTGGCTCGACATATTTCTGCGTCTGATTGGCCATTGTAGGCAAGATCAGTTTCTTACAATTAATTAAAAATATAATGGAAATCAATTTAAGGATATTAAAATATATAAAAATCTATTTGAATCACAATGCTGTACCGCGCTATCATTTAAAAACCCTGGTTTAAATGTTTAGGATATTTTATTAGTATTTTATCAGTATAACCTGATTTTGTATTTACTTTGGATATGACTCTTTCATATTGTATTATTATTTGAAAACAGAAGTGGATTTTCAATTATACATATTTTCTAGCAAAAGCAACAAGATATCTATGAATTTATTATTTTTTAATAATTATTCCAGGTAATAGATTTAAATGAGAAGTTAGATGCTGAAGTAACCAAAGCTGACCGATTGGAGATAGAAAACAAGAAACTTAGCAGTCACGTGGCGTCGCTCCAACGAGAGAAAGATACATTACTGCAAGACCGAGACAAACTAAAGGAGACGGTAGAAGAGTTGCGCTTCTCAACTATTACATCAGATGATATTGCAAACTCTAGTGAGTTTACGAGTGTACTTTGTGTAAATTAATTGCTTAATATATTAATTTGTTTCACTTTAATCAAAGTGACCCGCCTGCTGGCTTGCCTCCTGTTCCATAGTTGGCAAGTGCTTAAATAACAATTTTGCCTTATAATTATCGTTTCGCTGGGAACCCACCTTCAGGATAAAACCCTTTGGGTGCGTCCACATCTGACGCAGGAGCGGCGCACGAACAAAAATGCACGCGCGCAGCTCGCAAACTGCTCGCGAGCCGCACATTCGCGGCATATTCGCCAGATGTGGACGCACCCTTATAGCTACAGAGAAGATTAGAATATATTAGATGCGCGACATAAATTTTATTTGTTTCATTTATTTGTAATTTAATACGATATAGGTTAAGGACCTTTAATTTAAAAAAAATCTTTAGTGAATTTATCTCTACTAAATGACATAATCGTCTCTCTATCTCTTTTTATATGAAAACTTTATCATATTCTGCAAATTGTTCGATTGACTATGACTTCAGATGTTTTTTTCAGGAGCGAATGAAAATGTATCGCAGGAGTTGATGCCGAACGATGTTAAAGAGAGATTAATAAGGCTAGAACATGAAAATAAGTTATTAAAGCAAAACCAAGGCGCACAGGCTGATCAGGCTTCAGTACAAGTAAGAACTACATTATATATATATAGAAAGAAAAAAAACTTTATTATCTATACATATGTATATATAAAATTGTCGTGTCACAATGTTCGTTCCCATACTCCTCCGAAACTGCTCGACCGATACTTATGAATTTTTTTATGCATATTCAATAAGTCTGAGAATCGCCTACTATCTATTTTTCAAACCTCTAAATGATAAGGGATGCCAACCCCAATAATTTTTGTTTTATTTATTAGACAAATTTTTTTGTTTTTATTTTTTATGATACAGCATACAAAAATACATACAACCCTTAATTTTCATCCACCTTCTACGATCAACCCCTATTTTTTATTTGTTAGTTAAGAACTTATAACTTGAACCTCTGAGGTTTATATAGAGAAAAATCACAGAAAAACCTAAAAAGTTTTCATTCCGGAAAACCGAATTGTCTCTGGGGTAGCAAACCAAAATGTTCCATGTTGGTATGTACTAAAAAGGCATTAAGGAGAAACGAATTTCGCGGGGGCTAGTCTTAATATATATAAATTACGTGTCACGTTGTTTGTCCGCTATGGACTCCTAAACTACCGAGCCGATATCAATCAAATTTGCACACCGTGTGTAGTTTGATCTAACTTAAAAGATAGCTTACATCTCAATTTATACCCGCAATATTATTTTATTGCAAAATATTTGTTTATTATTTCATACTCACAATTCTAACAGATGGCGCTGCGTTGAATGTACCAACGTTTCAAATAAGCTACAATTTAAAGGCACCACCACCAAAAAAGCATGGTGGTCCCCATGACTGGTGTTCTCCTACCGTTTCCCTTGAATAGGTTACTACTATGTAATATAACTAAAACCTTAGCCACAGCAACGCTTGGCCGGTCTGCTAGTATATTATAAAAAAAGGATATTTAGTTAAGAAAGTGAGCTCACTAGGATTCCCCGTATCGTGGGCAGCTAGGCTCTTCCATGTTAACGGTACTTTGACATAATGATTTCACTTCAATTTAACACTTACATTTTATAATTATGGTTGCACAATAAGAATATTTTTCAGCATAGGACAGGTTAAGAAGATTTTGTTTAAGATTGTTAGTGAATGTATAAAGTTTTGAATCGTTAGTAAATATTTTTTAAAGATGAAAGGGCCTCTGAAGGTGAAAAAGCGTTGGGGTAGCTTATAATATGTAGATTTGCGTTCTGTTTGATATGGTGGGGTCGGTGTTTGTTTATAAAAAAAAGTCTGCATATTGCTATTAAGTACAATTGTCTAACCGGTAAAAGTTTAGGATCCTATCACATAGGATTATTATATACCTAAATATAGTTTTAGCCACTCCAATACATTTGACAGTACTCTGTAACTCAATGGAACCATTACTGTAGTTAATTGGCAAAATTCAGTATCGTTAACCTGGGATTTTTACAATAATTCGAAATAGATGACGCCGATATCAAGTTAGCCAATGATAATCATAGATGGCGCTATTTTCTTGAATGATTAATGAAATATCAGAAAATAACGGAATGCTGCGTTCGATTGTGATTGCCCAATTGGACGAAAATATTTGTACATAATTTAAAATCCTAACAAACAGTTATTTTACAGTTTTTCTTAAGTTTCATTACGTATTTAATAATTTATAGTATATTTGATATTTTTCTAGACTCTTCTAGAAGACTATGTGGCTCGTTTGGAGAAGCAGCGAGCGATGAATCGCGAGGCGAATCAACGGATAATGCAGTTGGAAGCGGCCATAGAGGCGCCCCATCCGAGACTAGCTTCTGCTATTGAAGATAATCAAAGAAAATGTAATTACGCTAATAATTTTCATTACTTCTATAAAATTATCTATCTGTCTCTAGTTACAACTATCGATTTCATTTACTTACCTACATACACATACATCAGTAATGCGTGGATAGTCATAACTCAAAAATTACTGAACTACTGTTGATAAAATCCAAATCCAAGGAAAATTGAAATAAAAGGATCATATTGACATGGCTTAGTTTCTGGGTAATTTAAGGATAAACTTACAAAAAGACTATACACATTATTTGGCAATTCACGATGGTTTAGTTTAGCGAACTTATTCCAATCCAGCAATGTATATTTCTAAACTAATATATTTTTTTAAAAGTAATTCTTGACTTTGTTCAAACAGGACCTTTCAATCATATTTCGCATTTGCATTTTGATATATATTAGCTTTGCGATACCGTTAAATACCAATTTGAATTTAAGGATAATTTTTAAGCACTCGTTTCAGCGCTACAATTAGAAGAGCTGCAAGCGGCTTTAGCTGAAGAACGGCGTCGAGCAGGTAAACTCCAAGAAGCCGTAACAGCACGTGAAGCTGAACTGCTAGCGACGGAAGACAAGTACAAGAAGTGCGTCGAAAAGGCGAAGGAAGTCGTACGAACGCTTAATCCGAGGACCACGGGTAAGACTTATATTTTTAAAAAATCCAGTGACGCTACAAACTATTAGGTCTGGGCTCTAGATTTCTGTAACTGTTTCGTGATCATTTGTTTTTGAAGTTATACTTCTTTAGGCGCGTTATGAAAAATTGATGAGAGTGAAATTTTACGATGCGCGCGCACTGTGACACAAAATTATCAGTATGAAGTTGCCCACGGAAGATGCTACGGCATTGGACATAATTTAAAAACAACATTCGAATAATAATAGAATTTATGTTACACTTAATGAATAATAATAAATATTTATTTATTTAATTTTTCAAATGTAAACTGAACTTTATTGACTATAATGACTCCTTTTCCAGTCTTTGATTATTTAATTGTAATTAATTATTTGCATGCAATCAAAAACTATTTTTAATAATGCCAAAGAAGTATAACTTCTTACGCGCACCCTTTTTTTTCTATTAGGCAAGTAAGTGATCAGCCCTCTGTGCCTGACACGCTGTCAACTTTTTGAGTCTATGATAAATGGTAATATACCTTCACCGTAAGGGCGAGGGTTTAATGCGCCCATAGACAGACCGTCTTTTGGTTCACAGTCGGGGTTCGAACCTATGATCTCAGGGATGATCGTCGTACGTGAAGCCTAGTCCATCAATGCTCTTACAACAACATTATTTTCCGATATTTATTGTTGAGAATGGCAGTTGACACATTTTAAATTATTGTCAAATTATACCATTAATTGACGTACTAAGTATATAAGCAAAGAATAATATTTAAAAAAAAATATATTCTTTGCATATCGGCTATAGTGGTGCGTAAGATGGTACTGCAAAGAACTGCTTCGCTATGTCAAATTAGTATGAAAAATATCAAAATTTAATTACAATTAATTTGTTTATACTATGTGTGTCAATAACCTTATAAATTACGAACTCCCTCGTGCTATAGAGGCCCTATGTCTAAGCTTTATTAAAAATATTTTTGTGTGAAATTTTTTATTGCGTTTGTCAGGTCAACAACCCTTGTCAGATGCAACTTTGGGATACTCTCGAGCGATCACTAGTGCAAGTGGAGCCTGTACGACCGTAGCACGACCTGAAGCCACGCCCCCTAACGCGCAGAGACATGAGTAAGGATTTTGAAATATATTAACAGCAAGCAAAAGTTGTTTAGGTGTTCTGAAATATGACTTAAAATCATAACTAGCGGTCACATTTACAGTTTATATAAAAATTACCTTTTTTTTAATTTTCAAATATTATTCGTATCAAACACAGAATTCTACTACTAAGCACTACTTGGACATTCGAACGTTATGCATTTCGAACGATTGCGAAGCTAATAAATATTTAGAATTTCTTGTAAATTTTAAAATAATTTTAGGAAATTAAACTTATCAATGGACTTCATTAACTACATTATTCATACTGCTAATATTGTCCAATAAAGTTATAATTATAATATAGCTAAAGACAGTCAGTCGTCATTTATAACTAATAAATCTGATGTAATTGCAGTTCGCATCTATCTCTTTTCCTCAAAGCGTATACACAATTTGACAGAAAGAGACGAAAGAGTGTAGGGTTAATGAATAATGAAACGATCTATAGGTGGAGCGGGACAGAAGAGAGCCGTGTTTCAGTGAACGAGCAACGGCTAATGGCGTCCGCGTGGTACGAGCTTGGCGCACGTTGCCATCGCGACGCAGTCGAAAGTAAGTTCGCGTTATTATCGGCAGGACACTCGTTCCTGGCGAGACAAAGACGTCAACCCCCCAGGCCGAGGCATTCCCCCGCTGCGCCTGCGCATTAACCTACATTGTTTGTGTTCCAGGATCACTTAAACATTACGCACAGGCTGCTATATTGGTAGATTTCATTGGTGTGTATTTAAAGGAGTCTTGAAAGTGAGATTATTGAAATGCAGAATTTCAATCTGTTCAAGTAATAAATATCTCAATCCTGTAAAATAAGAAACTAAATATTTTTCTAGTTTCCATATTTCTAAAATTTCGTGCATCAAACTAGTTTTACTATCTTTCATGTTATATGACTCCGTATATTCTTATGTTGTAATCTAGAATGTCAGCTGTCAAACCTTTATTTCTGCGTGAAGTTTGACATTTTTGACACCTAAACGAGCAAATGGACCTTTAATATACCAATATAGTAATTGCATTGTGTTGTAAGGTTTACTTAGGAAATTCGAAGTGATTACAAAAATACGTTTTTTTAAATCTTACAGACAATAGTTGTAAGAAAGTTGTATTATAAAATACGTTTCATAACTGTTATGTTTAGATGCTAATTTTCTAATCCCAACAAAATGTTACATAGAATCTACTCTTTTAAAATATTGTAATAGTAGAACTACAGTAACAATTAATATCGACATTAACTTAATGAATTTATGTGGCCTTTATTACGCAAAATATAAATATTTTTTATGTAATGAGAGAGTATTATTATATAAACTCAGTGTAAAACGTGATAGTAACATAGGAACATTTGTTTTTATATTAAGTTATTAGTTATGCCGTAACTTATTTTTTTTATTCTCACGTACGTATATTTTCAATCCTTAAGTTTTCAGGGTTTTTAATGATTGTCTCAAAATCGACTTGCCAATAAATGCAATAATAGTTATTTTCAAATTATCAAATAATAATTACGCTTATGTTAATCACATTATTTTAGACATATATAATGTTAAAATTATATGTAAGCTATATGATAAATTATACTAATAGGGAAGTGTTCGTTAGTATATAAGATGCGTTGTCAATGTAATAGTTGCTGGTAAATTATGATTTTGATCGCTTCGAGTGTTAAAAGTTTCGTTTGGCACATGGTAGAAACTAACACGTTCTAGATAAAACAGCATCTAAAGATGATTGTAGACTTGTGTAATATTATTACGTTCAACTTTTCTTTACAACAAAACATTAAGACCTATACTTTTAAATAAAGTTTAGAACAATATTGATCAATTCAACATTTTTTTTATATTCTTTTATTTTCGCCATTTAAAAAGCCATTGTTGCTAACAATGAAGAAGTATGTACTTTTGTGATCACATCCACCTATATCAGAATTATAGTGTAAAAAGTAATGTTTAAGTGTACCTCATTTGAAATTATCCCATCTGTACTATATAAGCATCATTTAATGATATATTTGTATCGACTTGTATTGGATTATTGTTTATAAATATTGTTTATCTTTACGTTTATATGATTTTGATTCAAATATTTTATCAATGGTTTTAATAAATTTTCCTACATAATGTGTATTATTTTTACCGCATAGAAGAAAAAACACCCTAGATATTTTATAATTTATTAGTTATCGAGATCACAAGCCACTGAATAAAATAATTTAACATATCACAAAATTAATATAAACAGCAAATACATTGATCTTTTATCACAAATTATTTATAAAAAAATATGTAATAACAACAAAAGTTATATCCTAGGACACTGAAAAAATAAGCACATATTCGTAATTTCTAAAACAGCCTTGATACACATTGCGGTGGTAAAATGTTGCTTAACCAAAACTAAAAACATTCTCTTAACTTTTGGATTACAATGTTTTCGAAAGGGTTTTATGTATTTCCAGGTTTTCCTCCAGTTTGTAATTATACAAAATCCAACCATTTAATTTATATTTATTGTTAAAACAAGTTTAAAACATTGTTGAGAACACATTGAGAAATGAATTGAATCGGAATACTTAGTTCTAGTCAAAGTCTTCATCGGAATCTGTCTTCAGAACACTGTCTGATCCGGAGCCTGGCTCGCTATCTATTGCTATTTCTCTGTAAAAAAATAATTGTTTTATGTAATACTAAGACAAGTCAGCAAAAAAACATTAATTTACTTTTCGGTGAATTTATTTAAGTTATATTTGGTTGGACAAAGTAATGGTGAGACTTTCTTGAGATCCTAGGCAACACGTGACTTAAGGATAATATATTCACTTTCAAGCTCCTATGGAATTTGAATTTTGAATACTATTACTATCAGTATTTACTATGGTAGGGACTCTATACTCTACCTAATAGAGGGTACTTGTAGTGAGATAGAATATAAGAAAGCATCAGCATTTTATAGCTATTTCAAATATATCGCCTGAGAACCTAACACATACGTCTTATTGCTTTTTCAATAGCCTGAATAAATCATTTGAACACGAAGCAAGGTGGTCTATGAAGTTATTTTTCTTATTTATCATTCATGCTATTAAGTTGAAGTGAAAGGTAATATTAATAGGATCGGATAGAAGTTCACGCGCCAGTAAGTCACTATTTCTTTTATTATCGCGCACCTAAGTTTTAAATAAATACACACGTACAGTTCAATAAAGGCATATAGCATAATATTTATATTAGTGTTAAAAATGCCGTAAGTATAAAACATGTTCGCAATCCCACACACTTGCCTGTATACAATTGCGATGTTCGCGTGAATCGCAGTTATTACCTCTGCCGATAAAATTACCAGTCCATAAATTCATAAAAGTCTAAAAGAGTCATAAAACATCTATTTGTTTATCACAATTACTTCATCATACATTGTTGGCAGACAACTTGTAAAATGCCGAGGTGCAAGAGGCAATTTAAATTATATTATAACTTTTTATTAATATCTTTTGCTTCGCCGCTCGCAAGTTATTTACGCCTAATTAAGGGAATAAGCAAGTATTTTCCTGCATATTTTAAGTGCAATTTTGTTATATATAAAAAGGTAATGGCCACTAACCCATTGATATCCTTAGTGAGCTGAATGTCGACATTAGTCGCGTTATCGTTGAGCCCATTGAGCGCCTCACAAAAGTCGCTGCCCACGTTCTGTAGGTGCTGCGTGTTCAGATGGAATCCCTGCGAAATAAATCATGTTAGGTGATGACGTCTCAACTGATATATTATGCAGCTTATCTTCGCTTAGCGCTTGCTCGCGTCTCGGGACCAAATAAAATTATGTAAGGACATTCCGAAATCGTCTAATTTATTACTTAAGAGGATTAAAATGGTTTACATTCAAATACTTTTTATATTTATGTTATATTATTTATTACTCGAACGCATGGCTAGCTTTTAATTACCAAAAACTTATGTACTCATAAAAAAGGATTTTTTATAAAAAAGTTTAACGTCGATTATATTACATAAGGATTTAATGAAACCGTTTTTATACCGTTACGTATCTTTTTAATGGAGCTATAAAAGTCATCACCGTTAAGCGAATTAACAAGTGAAATAAGCTATCCTGACGTTACATTGATTGAAAATATATTGCTGCATAATCTTACGAGATCTGCACGGGCAGATGAATTAGACTGCATGTCAAACGCACCCTTATCATTAATCTCTCTCTATTAACTATCATTACTAATTGAAAAATGTAGTAAATAATCGATCAAAAAGTAATTATTTCTTTACTAGTGACACGTGTTGTTATACAGAAAATTCATTAACATCGAAGGTATAATGCTTTTTTCTGTAATATTAATTGTAGGAGTAAATAATACTGACACCGTAATGATGAATTGTTGAATTCGCAGCGGTCGACTTCTTGCTCTTTTTCCTGTGATCCGTGAATATTTCTTTGCGATGAAAATATGTTTTTGCTTTCTCATGCTTATGTTTTGCTTGATTTATTGCAGTAAGTAGTGCTTTTGTAGATAATTTATTTAAACACAACTCGTAACTTTTTAAATATCATCATATAATTACTCGAATATATCTAATTGGTGACAATAAAGTATGCAAAATTTTACTTCATAATCTAAGACTGACCTTAAATGGCCCTCTGTCAAACCCGCAGAAAGAGGCTTCCATAGTGTAAGAACGGGTGACACCAAGATGGCGCCAAACCGTGACTCGTGCTGTACTCTCTCTTTCCCTCTCCACTCGGAACGAACATGAGCCCAAAGCAAATGCTGGCGATATCCGGTGCATCAGCGCCGGTAACATCTACATAGTAATTTCTTAATTTATATGAGCGAGAGTATCTTGTTAGAGGATGTAATAAAACTGTATAATTAAAAACCTGAATCTCATTGAACGGCACTAAACGTCTTTTTTAAATTCAACTCGATTTTAACGGAACTAACCAGAACCACAGCTCTAAGAATATATGTGTTTAATCAATTCCAAAAATGGTGAAGTGCAATCTTGAAACGTCGATTATGCAACTTACGAGGTATTTAACAGGTTCATCCTGTACGAGTCTGTCGTTGCTGCACCAGCTCTCTGCGCCGGCACATCCATAAAAAAATACGTTCTTTTTTCGTGAATGACCATGGTAATCACAGTATACAAGGGGAGGCTTTTTCCAAACTCGTACTAAATATTCGATTAAGCCCTGGACATAAATATTAATATAAGCGAGCAAAAAAAATAAAGCAAGTCTCTGCTTAATGTCGGTTATGATTTATATTCAATTACAAAGAATTTTTTTCGTTTTTCGGATTAGCTTTTAGAGTTTTATTATCATGATCAGCGATTTAAGATTGCAATATATTACGACATATATTTTACGAGACAAGAATAGGCACTATTTAATTATAAGAAACCTGCGAGCAGACGGCAAAGCATAAGTTGTCGGCTTTAATTAGTATATCTTCTGTGAGATTTGTCATGACAATAAGACATAACAAGTCACTAATTAATACAATTCACCTTTGTATGGTAGATAGAAGGATGCAAAACAGGATTTGGCTTGCACCAGCGTCGATTTAAATCTTCATTAGTTAGGCTGCACCGATGGCTGTAACAACACAGACATTATCGTTTCGAACCAGGAAGCTCTTGCCCGCTGCCTATACTCGATAAGCCGCCTGGACATGTTCATTGAGGTGACAAGCCCGTGGGTCGGGAGGCAGCTATCGTTATTCTAATATCACACACGTATGGGCCCTCAGTGCGTACTGAGCGTTATAACCGCATTTGATCGCATCAGATTGCGTTTTATTTATTTGCTACTACTCACTTGTTTGCATACCATCGATAAAATCTCAGGAAAAGTGTGCAGCTTCTCAGATACAAAAGTGTGCAGAGAACGTACCTTAGGTACGTATCTTACATTGAATCGCATTTTAATTTCCATTAGAGGATTTCAAAGCACTACTAGAACTGCTAGTTACGTACGCAAGCTATGGGTTACAATATTTACGTGCTTTCATCTTTTTGTGCTTATTTATGTAGTTTTATTAAAGTTTTGTGAACAAATGAGCAGTGCCCACAGTCCACACGCATAGCATGCAATTAAAGGGACTGTTCCGTGTCCATTCCATTAAAGTCACAGCACGTTCGGCAATATAAAATGATAATTGTTTCAAACTTATAAGGCTTACGAGCTGACAAAGAGAGTTTTGATGAGACAATTTGTTATACATCATTAAATAATATTATGGTCGACGTGCCGTTCAATATAATTGTAATGCAGCAATTCCCGCTAACGTTTATATTAAGCATCACAGTCAAGTTCTTATAATTTGCTAAGACAAAAAGAAGCACGAAGATTGCAATTGAGAACGAGATAACCGCACGTTCAACTATGCGTATGAATCAGACTGCAACTCCACAAATAAACAACAGACAAATCTAAATATAAATCAGAAAGAATTCGCCCGTGGGCTCAAATTATTTTCTTGTTTAACACAACGACCGTAAAATTAACAATGAATTGGAATAAGGAAGTCATTAACGCTTTATTCTATTAGAAAAGAATAACATCAATTGTGTTATTATTTACAGCTAGGTAAGGTCCGTACGTCTGCAATCTACGACAATTCTCCATAGGACGTCTGTTATTACAAGGTAATTCTTGTGATACGTAACTTCATCTCAGTATTGCTACGCATTTTGTAAGACGCAGATGCCCTAGCGGTACATATAATTGAATAATACTTTTCCATATTACCTTCACCTTCAAAATTGTATATGCATGTTATAAATTAAGTTAAAATAAATAATCTTGTAAAGTAACTAAGTATCTACCCTTGATGTATACAGACACATGTATCAAAGTTTTAGAACGAATGAAAACCAAATAATTAACATAAATGATAATACTATGCGACCCTATTCCATTATTATCTGCTGAGTATCTTAACTTCATCGAGATATCCAGTTCAACGAAGTTAACTTGAACTAATTAATCAAGATAAGAGTTGCTCTAGATGCATAACTGAAAACGATTCACTGTTGCTGCTTTCAAAAGGCTTCGGCGTTTAAACCACAAATAAATTAAAATATCTCAGTGCTTAACTAAATCCAACGAATAAGTAACATGGTGAGAGTTTCTATTAACATTAACTTCGCGTGCAACCTTTGTATAGTTTTTAAAACGTTGGGACAGTTCGACGTTCGTCCAATTAGGAATATTCCAGCGCAGAGATCATTAGTGGCCGTTGCAGAGGCGCGCCGAAAGCGTAGGAGACCGAGTTAACTCTCATGCAGCGTCCTTCACGTGCAAACCGGTTGCGCATCTTTTACTCTAATCATTGAAAAAATAAGCATGCCACATGTGCGAACGAAGCCGACCAAGCCAGAAACACCACCTCGTCCGCCTTATTTATGGAGGACTGTGACGGTACTGAATCACGCTTGAGGCCTGGTATTTCTATATTTTTTTTTAAAACAACGTAAAAAAAACTTTATGTGGCATGGAGTTTATTTAAAAGTTTCATAACCATAAAATTACTCATGATTATAGCAAAATATGCTATAAAAATTTGATGATCTCTCCGAATAGTTTAGTCGAGGCACTTTAAGCATAAACTATGATTAAGTACTATGTAGTAGCCATTTGATGTGTGTAGTGACGATCGAGGCTGGTTCAAGGGTTCGCCTGCCCATCTATTTATAGACTACGGCGTTGCGATGCTATCGGACCTCAACCATACCTCGGCAGTCCGCCGCGCACGACGCCTTCCCGCCCTCTATGCATCTCCTCTAAAGCTTACCGAATAAAATAGATCAAACTGAAACTATTTTTCTTTCGTTCCAGCTATTTATATCACATGTCCATTGTTTATCGCGAGGGGAATTAATAGCCGCCGGCGTCGTCTGCCTTTACTCGCGATACTAGTCGAGTTGATCAAATTGTAAAGCAATAAATATTGACGTTTGGCGCATGCTAATTAGTTTCATTGCGAGAATAATAATATTTCCATTGCGATAGATATCAATAATGTTGACGGTTAGATAAGCAGAGGCCGGGGCACACGTCGTGCTCATCCGTATGCTGCCCGCGGAGGCTGTTTCCTGAGCAGAGGGTAGTCAATGCGTCATCCACATCGCCTTTGATAAAGCCAGCCTTAGGAAAATAACTTAAGTATTCATTTTTACACACACATTACCTCATTTTCCGTATTTATTCGTTAGTATATGATTTTGGTCGTATAAGTACATGCATTGAAAAAATCGTGTACATTGTAAATTATTAATTAATTTGGACATTAAAAAAATCCTTAGTAAATATTTTATTTTCGAGTTTCAAATACCTGTTCTTGCTCTGTATGTATCTGGATGTTAACATAGTAGAACACATACACATTTCAATATATAACATTAACACAATTTTATTCTATTCGGTATAACATTGTTAATTGTTAGAAAATCAGACAATTATCTTATAACTTTGAGCTAGTACTAAGGCTAAAGGTCGTCACGTGGCCGTATTAGGCTAGTCTGACTCTTTGAAGTGTACACCCTAATGGACTGATCGTATCGTAGTCTCGTTTCTCGTTGCTTGTAGTTATACGAGTTCCTTTTGGATCCGTAGATACATCCAGATGCGCTGGCTAAGCCTAACTCTGTATTCTTGTCTGCTACCGGACACGGGCCGAGTTATTTACGATAGTCGCGAGACAATCGGCCGGTCGCAGTGCTTATCCGGTGCCACCGACGTGGTGCCAATAACATGACGTGGCCACCTTTATTAAACACCATCCGTTCAAATTAACACACGTTCCTAAGCAATAGAACAATCGTTGTTGATTCATACGCTATTATGTTATTATAACATGGAAATACGGAGACGTATAACTCTTGAGCTTTGCACGTTTTGCATCATTATAATGTTCCGAGAAATAGTTTTTTCCCTTAAATATGCGTGGAGAGAATGAAGATGAAGCTAACGGTGTCAGGTCGACTAATTGATTTTATTTGCTGGATGTTGGCGGAAGCGCGACGATTCGCCACGGATCGGTTCAACGACACGGCTTTGCTCAACAAACTGTCCTCACCTGCGGAATGCAGTCTGCGTTATAAAGGAGATTAACTTATTTTATAATTTTACATTTTTGTTTACAGTTTTCATGGTAGTGTTTTTCGGTATGAGCAAATACGTAATTTAGTTCATTTCACAAAGCCTGTTTTCAATATGCCCACATATTATTATGCGTATCTGAAATATGCACATTATCGTACTAATTTTAAAACGTAATAGCATTAAAATAAATGTATATAATTGTTACTTATCGAGGTCTTGTATATAAAGTTAATAACACACGTTCGATATTGGATTACAAAAAGGTCTGTCGGTTGAATTCAGATGACGTTATAAACGGACTTCGTGAGGCTAATTTGTAAAACTTCGTATCATCCTTTAGCGCCTGCAATCTTCGCAAGAATTATTGCGCTGCGAGCAATTGTAACAATTATTAAGGTGAAGATAATGGCAAGAATGAGTCATAGAAACTGAGGTCGACGGGATGAGCAGGTAATAGCCCGGCGGCGGCGGGTGCCACGGGCAGGGCACATAACATTATTTACATAATCGCGAGCACCGGGCGTCCTTGGCGCTCCTATTGTAGGATCCGTACATTGCTTTTATGTCGCTTAATGACAATAAAAGCTCCTTTAATTTACCTATACCATATAAGCTTTCGTGTTAACCATGCCAATTTAATTTAATTTCATTCGTATTTTAGGATGCATTTTGTTTAGTTATTGGTTTAAAATTAAGTATAAATTCATTAAATACGCATTCTGTGACAAGTATACTATTTTTCGACCGTAAAATAAATGATGCGTTCTTAAAATCGTCGGAATCGTGCTTGCAGCGTCTGCATTCGCGCACTAAAACATCGCACGACCCTTTCTTATAAGTTCTGTATTCGTTTCCATCGTAATTCACAAGTTGACTTTTCATTATTTATGACTGCTAAGTTTTGTCGCGGCTATTCTCACTGCCCTGTAAATGCATATTACTATTAGAGAATATTAAGGACATTTGAATAGAACAACTGTGTTCAACGTCTGACACAGCTTTCATGACTTTTCTTTGAGAGGTCACCACCATTATCGTTATTCATATACATATAATGTTTTCCTAACTTTAAGCATATTACATCCCTTTGTATATTACCAATGCTTTTAGTTGCTAATTTATATCCTAAGAGGCCAAAGTCTCATCTATAAATTTTCCTTGTGTGATATGGAAGTGTTTTTGAATTCCTGAGATTATTGTAAAGGAGGCTTCCAGGAAGGACGAGAGATTTTAATAGCTGGGCGTCGATGGGCGTCCATCCTTGAAACATTATAACTCAAGGTGAGTGACGTACGAGACATGGCTAAGTTTTAATAGTCTTGTGGTGTAAAACACCGTATTGAAGAAATTGGAAGTACTATAACTTTTATGACACATAATTTTACTTGCATATCCTGTCGTAGTCTCGTAGCAATTCTAGAGCTCAAAGTATTTTTAAGCATTGTATAAGTTGAGTTTACCATAAATGAGAAAGCTAATTCAGCCTTTTGTTTATTAATAAATAATGTAAATTAATACATAAAAACCGATATAAATTCCTTATCAAAAGCTGTACGGTATTGGCTTCGTGGCTTTCAGCATTTTTTATGGTTTTGTTTAACATTTTCCCTATTAGTATTGTATAACAAATTGAAATAGATAATTGCAAGTAACACCGGGGGGCAATAAACTTGCTTCAATATAAGGCGGTAGGCGTTGACGCGGAACACACTAAGCAATCCCAGTAGAATCCGGAAGCAAAGATAATTTTCACAATAAAATTGAACCTTCTACAGCAACGCACACATTCTTGCAAAAGCCCGGAAGAAAAAATTGCCTGTAACCAGCGTTTTCCCAGGCTTCGGATTGTAAGTGCACTTTGATCGTGCTACGTACAATCAATGAACCGTAGCAAATAAGCTAATGTGGTGCTATGATCTTTCAGAATGGTGGACGAAGATATAACTTTCTTAATAAACCTCAATCTTATATAAAGATTGAGCAACATTGTTTAAAATGTGAAAAAATATTAACAAAAGAGTTATACAAAGCTATTCTACTTTCATCGATTGGGAACCAATAAACATGCGCGCAGGATCTCAATCACGGCACTGAGTAAATACTAACGGCGAGTTTGTGTCAATATTGATAGAGCCAACAACGATAACAAAGAACCATAGAATCTAATGATAAACAGAGTTCAAACATAGCACTTGTAGCTAAGGATGTATGTGATTTGTCAAATCCAAGATTTTGCCGATAAAGAAAGGCTCCGTTATAGTTTTGATGAAACCATATTTGATTACTTTTAAATACATATTCTTAGAGATTATAATAACATTAACACCGTAAATTCAGAAATAATGTATAGATGTCTATTAGCTCTGAATTAATAATTATATATTCAGTTGAAAGAGAGTAGGTATAACAACGTAACTACATCGTATAACAAATGTTATACGATGTAGTTACGAGAACTTTTGTTAACTAATCCTGCCATAAAATAATAGGAATTGTAAAATGTGTCATTTTACATTTTATATTTTCTAAAGGAAATACATGAAGAATACCTGAAAACATTAAGTCTATTTGAAGGTTTTACGATGGCATAACAATTACTTTTCGTCCGTGAGAAAGATTTGATCTTGCGATCAATGCTTTCGTGCGGTGATGGCCATTGATTTTCAATTTATGATATTTCAAAAGCACGTTTAGATCCACGAATCTCAACAAATGCAAATTCTCAATTTTGTCATCCGTAAATTTAAAATTTCCTTAGAATATACAAATAGACTAAATTACAAAAAAACGTGTGTGTACTTATACTATGTACACGCGTTAGAAGTTATAATTCTTTGGCGTAACCAGATAAAAATATTTTCAACAATCTTATCTTTCGCCTACATTTGTAGAAAAAACGACACTTACAATAGAAAAAATTTACTCATAATTTTTCCTCAACGCGCCAAAACAAGTATAACTTAAAAAGAAACTAAAATGTTGACTATAGCTCACTTCAGGGTGTCGGTGTTTTGTGGACAGTGTGCAGGTGTCTACTTTTTGGGTCTAATTTACTCTCATAATTTTTCCCTAACGCGCCAAAAGAAGTATAACTTAAAAAGAAACTAAAATGTTGACTATAGCTCACTTCAGGGTGTCGGTGTTTTGTGGACAGTGTGCAGGTGTCTACTTTTTGGGTCTAATTTACTCTCATAATTTTTCCCTAACGCGCCAAAAGAAGTATAACTTAAAAAGAAACTAAAATGTTGACTATAGCTCACTTCAGGGTGTCGGTGTTTTGTGGACAGTGTGCGGGTGTCTACTGTCTACTTTTTGGGTCTAATTTACTCTCATAATTTTTCCCTAACGCGCCAAAAGAAGTATAACTTCAATTAGTTTACGTATAGTCGTTACATTTGACGCATTGATCATAAAAAGGAAAAATAGTAAGATTTCCAGGTTGTTCATTAGATAGTTTGAATATAAACATGCTTTACGTGTAATTTTATGTGAGCTATTTTTAACAAAACACTGTCCCAGCAGTCGTAAACAGCGGCAACGACCTCACTTATTACTTTCCAGTGTTATAATGCCTTTGGTAAAGATGAGATTTATCTAAGAATATTAGTTTAATCAAAATGCCGTAATATTAGAGTATTTGAATTTGTTAGCGTGATGAGTGACTACTTGATGAGAGGATGTAACGTCAGATAGAGCTTTGGAAATTACAGGGCAATAGGAAGGCGGGTATCGTACGGTCCTATCCAGTACTCTAAGTGGTCTGACACCTCGCCGTGACGCTCCCTGATCCCCGGCCAATTATAACGGGATCCGATCTTACCATCAGCTCAATGTTGCGGTACTACTGTAGCGTAATTGCTTAAACACATAATCACTAATGTCGCAGGAGAATCGCGGGTCGAATCAATATCCTGGCGCCTTATCCGCGCCGATCAACGCTAATGGCTGGTTCCCGCTGCCTTCAAAGTATTGAATTATGATAAGTTTATTTGCTTACGTGAACTCCCTAGGATTAAGTTGCTATCACTAGTAACCACAGCAACGGTTCTGCTGACAACATTATTAGTTGCTCTTTCTTTTATTATGTATTTGAATATTTAATTCCGATATGGTTTTAGGTCAAATTTTAACATTAAAAAGAAGTTTTAATCCCAAATCTCATATAAATAAGATTTTAGACGTAAAAAATTATCAAGCAAGCGGATGAAACGCGAAATACAAAATCACTGAATGCAATAATGGCCGACCCGCTTAAGTAAATGGAGGCAACATCACGATGTAACACCGTATAATATTAGTCTGTAAAGTGATCTGTTTTAATACAACAACGTACAAATCGCGAGATGTAATGCCGTTATTTCATTTAGTGAGAGTTATATACTATGGTACTAGAATTTAGATCAGTTAAAAAGTAATAAAGGAAAAGAACTTGACTCATTAATGTAGGTTATATGAATATTATTAATTACTACGCGAGTTGTAATATATATATATATAACATATAATAAGAGTATAGTGGTATATAGTGTGCTCAGTAAACAACAAATATAATTTTTAGAAAATGAAAAAATACAATATATAATAATTCTGAAATAAATAAATTTGTCCTTAATAAAATATTATATCTTTCCAAATGTTTTATGTCTCAATATAAATAATATAAATTTCAAATATCAGCTTTTATTATTTCTGCATCACAGCCCCACTAGTTTTATCGTTTAACAAAATAAATAAAATAGTTGAATTTTATTTGAACATCCCACTGTCAAATGTCGCCGACCTGAACTCGCGTTTGGTGAAAAGTGTTACATAATATTCACTACTCTTATACTCCACTTACTTTCATAATCTGTGATCTTGTATATTGTATTAGATATTTGCCTAATTAAGATAATGCTTTGAAGCATGGTATGGGTCAAGCGAGCGACAACACAACAAAAAGCTTGAAGCGAGGGCTCGAAGTAATTTGAAACGTTGCTTGAAAAGGAAATGTGGAGTTAGATCTCGTACACGATCGAAGAATGCTCTTCTTGCTGTTTTTTACTAAGCGCTTTGCTTCTGGGAATCACTACACGAACAACATCTTATTAATAGGTATTAAAGAAGTTATTTTGATTGTAATGATGCGCCTTTTTATCCGTTTAAATAATTATTATCAATATATATGCGCCTAGTGTTTTAATAAAATTCTCTAATACATAAAACTCAGTATTAGTAAAAAAAAGTAAACTATCACAAATATTTCAGGTAAATTGCTCATGCGCTGAAATTCTAGTATGAACGACCCCCTGAGGCTGGATAGTATATTGTTATTACTTGATCAATTTATAGCTGAGCATTAACAATGTATATAAGTTAAAAGGGTTTGTTTTTGAATATTTATCACATTAATTGAGGGTGTATATCACTGTCTTTCGTCGCTTCTGCCTTAACCTAAGGAAAACGAGTACAAAATTTGACTTGAGAAAAAACTTTGACGTTCAAAATTGAAAAATTAAAATCGTATTCTTCGTGTCTTCTCCAAAATCGCTAAACCTAACTATAATAGAATGCGCAAAAAAGCCAACAAGTTGTTGATTGACAGATAAAAAAGGCTTTTGACTGTCTGGCTCCAGGACTGAAGAAGAGTACCTATATCATTAAAAGCTATTCTTGTCGCGGTGACTCATAGCCTACTTCGTCTTTTCAAATTGGAATAAATAAACCTTTTAACTACATAACATTCAATTTTTAGAAAAAATTCTGTACAAAAAGAATTGTCATGCATCCGATGCAGGAAAATAAGAAAATGTTTTAAATACTCGATGTTAATAATAAAACAAGTTAGTGTTAGATTTCTCTTTGTAAAAGAATTGATGTTAATTATTAAGAAAACAGATACTTATTATGTTAATGAATATAATGTAATAAATAATATAAGAAAATAATGAAACGGTATTAAAAACCATAAATGTGTCTTAATTAAGCTTCAATACAGTTAAAATAAATGATTGATCAACTGGACGACAATATTTTACATTAAAATGACTTACGGTTATCTAAGTTTAAATTTAAATCTATTTTTAAATATAAAGTGGCTATAATGTTTCCTTAAAGCCTGGTAAATGAGAATGAAATGCTATATTTCAATACAAAGGCCTAATCTCTTCGCCGCATAGTTTTTGTTCCTTTTGTAGGTATTAAAGTAATTTCATAGCTTTTTATGAAAATAAAACGGTGGATTTAATTTTATCGGCCCTTATCTCAGTCATACGTAACTCATCCGATGTAAGACAATACGATAGGCATCGACTGAATGCGATTAAAAAGATTAAAAAAAGAGTCTCGCGGGCATTAAAGCAGTCGGGCTCGCGTGCTTCATTTTAAGTGCAGTATCTTGTTGAATGCTTCAATGGTATATTGAATATTATTTGGAGTAGGTCCGTGGGGCGTTACAGCTGTGGTAATGGCTGGCGGGCGATTGCATTGTGTGCGATGCAGAGGCGCTTGTCAAAGCGAGGAGCCCGGTCGGCGCGCGGGCAAACAACATCCCACCAATTAACGTAGCTTTCAAAGTTTAAAGTGGCAATGCAACGGCGGCGGCTTTAAAGTGAATTTTATACTCCAGTTTGTTTTATTTTAGCATAGATCTAACAACCAAGATCCGAGATGCGAGACGTGCGCGTGCGGCAAGGTCAGACCATGCAGTTCTTACTTTGCAGGTTTTATGTTCCATCAGCGCTGTCGTAGATAACGGCCTGACGCCAGCACTAATAAAATGTACTGGAAATAGCATATATGGAATAGAATATTAATTGAATTACTGTTTTATTAATAGTGCTTTTATAACTTTGATGTTAATATTTACATAATCTTGCGTTCAAATTTTAGAGATGATAAGTTAAAACAACTTTATCTTCAAACGTTAAATAAGAAAATCCATTTAGTACAATGTGTATTATTTTAATAATGTTTAAACTTTAAGCCAATTATACTGCGTACGCTACCAGTGGCTTCCATTTGAAGTAAAAATATCCTTAATAGTACAGGATTCTCTCATTATTTCTAAACAAAGATTTAAACGTGGTTCCACACACCGGCTTCGTGACCAACAATAATGATAAAGTGTAAGTAGAATTGCCAAAGGCGTCAGTTTTTTGCAAATGGTGTTTATTTATGTTAATACAGGGCCATTTGAGTTTTCTCACTTTGTTTGTCTGTTTGTCTGTTTGGTATGTAAATGCTCTAATACGTAAATAACACTACGGTTATATGAAATATGGAATTTCAATATGGTAGGTAATGAAATTTAATGGTGTAAGAAGCTAGAGCATTGGATAAAAAAACTTATCGATTCGTTTAATTGGCGAAGGCTACTTGAATTGTAATAAGATTTAACTTCTGAGTAGAAAATAACAAAGTCTAAAAAGCTTTGCTCTTATCTTTTCGATAAGATCTGATTTTACTACGTACATAGAAAGGGAACGCGAAACGTGTAAGATTTACACTATCTTGATAAGATTTCAACTTATTTTATTTACTTATATACAAATATTATACATAAGTATAAGAAATTTATTACGATAAGTATATAGAACAATATAAGACAGTTGAGACAAATGAGACGGGTAAAGATTCAGTTCTTTAAGTTTTATAACGTCATTGTTAAAATATTTTAAAGTGGAATTTTACGTTAATGAAAATAATAGTCCTTCAACCTATAAGGCTATTAAAAGAATTAGTAAATGTGCATGTCAATTAGTAAATGCATAAAATAATTCACAAGATAGGTTTTGTTGTCTGCTGGAAAATACTTAAACAATAAATTTGCATGCACCCAGTAATTGCTCTAGAGATACAAAACCGATTCCAACAGTCGATTTAACAAAGGTATATTCATGAAGACCTGCCATGCGTCGTGATCAGAGAAAGAACTACAACAACCCTTTGGACAAGCGAAGAATTCACGGGGAACGCAATAAGAGCAAATTAAAACGCAAACTATTGTGCGATACGATTTGCAAAGATAACTCCCGTACGAACGCGGGCAGAGCGTCCGATCGTCGCCGGACATCCGCACCGAAGCACCGCGACGTTTCTTCTACTTGTTGTATCACCATTACCGACCACAGTTGTAACATTATCGATATATTGTATCGTAGTCCGCCGATGTACATGTTGATAGAGGCTAAGATCGCGGCTTTTCTTCCCCATTGTTCGTGCTTTGGTACGTGCGGGACGCATCGCTGTTATAAGGGGGGGTCCAGTGCTGCGCGCGCTCAGTGTACCCGAGTATCCCGTGTTGCGTGTGCGCCCACTTAGTGGTGATCCACACTTTTTCGATAGATCCGAAACATTCAAAATGCAAGTCTTATTTGTAACATTTTTCCTGCTGTTCGCAGCCACCCAAGGTCCTGCTGCAGGTACGTTACTTTTCAATATTTGGTTTATTTTGTCCAACATAAAGCTGAAGGGGAATAGTTTTAGCAAGAGATTTATTGTAATTTTTTTGACCAACGTATTTATTTCGTATTCTAGAAACTGGTTTATTTTTAATTTTATACGCCTAGTCCTTAGGAACGGTTTAGTTATATATTTTATATCAATGGGATTATACCTAAATTTATATACTATCGTTATTAGCTTGTTAAAAATTAACGCAAATTCTTTTATACTTTGAATTAGCATTTTCCCGATTAATATGTATTTGAAAAATCCACATATCCCTTTAAACAGGAATCACATACTTAACAATTTTAAATTGTTTTTACAACTTCATTTCTTCCCAAATAAAGTTCATTTCGGCATCGTATAATTTAGAAAATCCCACGGATTAGTTCTTGCGATTCGTTTTGCCGTGTAGTGTATGCTATTATGCAACAACGCATGCATGAACTTAGACATAATAAAGAGCATATTACGAGTGCAGTTGACATTCCTAGGGTAGGAACGCGTCGTGGTTTGACCCCGGGTCCTCGACCTTCATTGTTCAGCTTCCATTAGAGTACAATGCCAGTAACTTCGCTCCGGCATCTACTATTATTTTTAATTACACTTCGACTTGAATTTCCTTAAGCGACATTGTATTTGCTGGTTTTCCAATTTATTAAGAAGAGTCTTTATCAAAATTCATTCCACAGGATTAACAAAGATCTTTAAAAACTCAAATTTTGAAGTTAATGTCTAAAAATAAAATTTAAACATAAATCTTAGCCATCTTGATCATTCAAGATAATATTGCACTTACATAATTATTCAAAAGAGGTTACCAGAACAAAATTTGATACTCAACATGAACACGTTCCACACAATAAAGCACGAAATCACTTAATATTTTATGCGGCATGTAATATCAACAAAGCGCAACCATATCGAAAGCTAAGTCATGTAGTTTATTGACTCAAGTGCAAGTGTAGTTGAGGGTAGAGTAGATATGTAAAGGTAAATACAGTTTTATGTTTTCCTCATACGACTCTTAAATTTTTATTAGAATTTTGTTTTTAACTTACAATTTACATAAAACAAAAACATTGTAAACACGCAAATTTTAGGCAATACAAACCGCATCAGTTCGATTGGTTCCAGTTCAAAAGATAATTGAAGCCTTTACTAGATATAACACAAAAAACAAAAAACCAAAGATTCAATCCAATTCAATCTAATGATCCGTATCTGCAGTATCGGGTTAGTTATCGACAGGGCAAAAAACCGTGGAACGGAAGTTTTGTTGAGAAAAAATAGCGAGGGGTGAGGAGTGAGCGACAGGTGCGCGGTTCAACGTCCCAAGTCTAGCAACCGCGGAAAGGACTTATTTCTCAGGAATACCATTATGGGTTTATCTGTCCGTGTCGATTAGCCGGAATGCTGCAACATGTACCGTAAATGACGACAGTTTTTATGTCATCACGAAAGGTACTCGGCATGACTTCAACTTGATACTTGAACGTGACATAACTGTTCTAGATAGCTAGGGATATATGTTAGGTAAATTACAGTAAGTGTTTACAGTATACGTTTTATTACAGTATATCTTATATATTAAAACTTAGAAGAACGGCTTTCTCGCGTTGTAAAACTTTGTCTATTTCAAACTTTGCGTTTGCTCATTTTAAGAGACGCTATAACGAAAATGACAACTAATCGGTCACCATAATACAAGCATCTAATACTGGATTAAATTCAATGTGGTGGGCCACTAAAGACTCAATCTATATTTATAACACTGCTCATCAACCTTTTTTTAGACCTAATTCTCATATAATGTTACGCGCGCTCCATGTGGTGATTATATTAAATTACAATAACTTTTTTACTTCTTCAGTTTTTTGGAAGTCACGAATTTAATATTGATTCGTTTGTCGGTCTTTATTATTAAGTTCAGAATTGTTCTATGTTTCTGGTGTTATTATAAAAAAAATACAATGTGTAGACGCAAATTACGTTGAAATCCAAAAATTTTTGAACTAAGTTATTGGCTTTAAGTCTGATTGCTAAAAATAGCCGCTGCATTCCAGCGCAAGAGCGGGTGCTTAAGGGCACAAGAGCGAGGCGTCCTTGGACATGTCTCCCGACTCCTGCGCACGCCATTATCAACCCTTTTTTACGTTCCGATTCTGGTTTTGGAACGACTGCGAACCGCCAAACTGTAATTCCCACGAAGCAGTAATCATGATTTAGATAAAACATTAAAGCTCCCATTTTTATGCTTTAATCAAAATCTTCGTGAGTTAGCGAATTATTTTCGCTAGATGGTCTTGAATTGAGTATAGTAATTAGTAACCCATATCAAAAAGGATTAAATAAGGAATTTTATTTAGAAATGTAAAACTTCTGTTCCATCGCGTGTGTGCTATCTGTGGATCAGCATAGCCGTGAAAAGAGAACCTTGCCCTTGCACTTGGGTCACGTAATGCTAGCTCGAGCCTTACAAAGTTACGACCGATGGGACTGGTTTGCGTTATGCAACTGCTGAGAATCCTTCACACGCCGGCGCCTTTTTACCGCATTGCAACTTATACGAACCGATGCCAATAAATTGCGATCTTAGATTATTTCAAATTTCAAAGTACACTAGACTAACTTTTTTGAACTAATAGTATAGTAAACGCTGTCTGTTTTTCTATTTGTTAGGTTTAGCGTTATGTAGAGATAGGATTTCTAGGAATGAATAATTCATCAAGGCAATTTGTTGAAATCAAAAATGTTTTACTGAATTATATAAAGACCACTTGGCAAGGTCAAAGACCGATAGAAAAATCTCTTTTTATTAGATAACTAATAGAAGAACATGCATAATGTATTAGATGTCTGAAACTACGTTTTTACTACTTGTTTTTACGACATTGATAATTACAGAGGGGAGCTACGTTTATGCAGAAATCAAGAATTATTGCATGTAACTTGTTATGCAATTCTTGGAGATTTTAATAAGAAATGACTTATGCACTTTTAACGTTATTACGCTAAATAATAATTTGTTCCTTGCAAGTGATCAGAAATAGTAATGGCGTGCACAATGAACTAGAAAACAATAAAAATGTGATCAGACTTGGATATAACCATTTCTAACGTTTAATATAAGTAAGAATAATAGTCAAATTAGGTAATATAAAAATAGTCGTTATTTAAACACAAAAGAACATAACTCATTGGTATTCATTAAAAAAACCTTGTCACGAATTTCAAGTAGTAATTTCGAAGTAATAACTACACATCCTTCCATTCATTTGGAGGGTGTAACATGAATTTTGAGAGAAACCATGTACTTCGTGATTTAAGTGTACATTTCAATATAAACGTTTTGAGATATTATATCTATTGCTTTAAAATATAACTAGTTAGTACGTTTTCTGCTTATTTTACGATGTTTCTATATTAACGAAAAAAACAAACAAAAATTTTGTTAGTAAAAAGTTGTTTGTGTTTTTTCATGTTGTTGATTGATCAATTAATTACTTTATTAAATGCGTGTCTTAGCAGAGCTTATTATTACTTAAATTTTGTAGGTTTTCTGTGTCCCTCTTTTTGCCAAATAAATCCGTTTTGTTCATAAGTCGTATGGTGCTCCGTTTTATCAGAAATATATCTTGTTAGTATATATTGTTTATATTTTAATATAATCAAAGCTAACTACTTAACATTTATGGGCTCTATCAATTGTTAGCCTACTTGAGTTACACAGCACGGGCTGGTGCGTCATCGTCACCTCAAACCGATTGATTTGGTCAGCGAGCCGTTAGTATTACTTCCGGTAATTTCATATTCAACTAGATGAACAGGATTATAAGAATAACGTTAAAAAGATTCCATACTTTTTAAAACATTATACCGTATATTATTAATGAGACAAATAAAATTTGGAACATGTGAGGTGACTAATGAAAAATTACAGCAAAAGAGAACAACTTTTTAGGACTAGGTTTTTAATCTATGAGAGAAAAAAACCAAAGTAAAAAACACAATTGATTATAATATTTTAAGATCACCGATGTTGGGCTTTATATAGTATATACAGAAACTGCGGAATGAAAGGTTTCCCCATCAGTATGCGACAAGCGCAGCTTCAAGACGTGACTCGTATATTTGCCCAAACCTTTCATCCCAAGGCTCACTTGATTCAACGTCAAAAACATGTACCAACTTGCATAAATAGTCACTGGAATATGACTTCCAAGACGACCGCATAAATTCCTTAATTTAAAAACCGGACTCAGGAGATGAACACTTTTTTGATCCTACACAATTTTAAATTTAGTTGAGGCTCTAACGATCGCCTTTTAAGCGAGAATATCGCTTCGTTATTTTGTTTTTATGCTCATGTTAAATTAACGTGATCCATTTTGATAATTTCATGTGCAATAATATAAAAGTAAAAACCTTTAAGCATTTTAGTAGTTAGCGAATATTTTCCTTGGTGCTTTACCGTCAAAGTATGTTATTATATATGATTCGTTTCATTGGAGTTAAATACATGGAATTTTATAACCGAGGTAATTTTGTTAATAATGTCAGTTTACCTTACATGTTTAAATACGTAAATGCGAAGCAGCCGTGCGTTCGAAAACTACTACAGAGCTTTTAGAGAAATATGGCATGCAAAATAAAAAGAAATCTTAAGTAATGTACGACGCTCTTTATGGAGGACAGCATTATGCATGGATTCCAAAGACGGCTCGGGGCTTTTTAATGGGCGAATAATACCGAGTTCTTGGGTAATGCTCTGCGGACGTTAGCTACTTAAATTTACCTTAGTTTTTATTTTAAATTCTTGAAAATTTATAACGATGTGATTTTTCTAAGGCAAAGAAATCTTATACAATTGATAACTAGTGACCGTTTTAAGATTTATTTTATCTACAGGTTCGTAGACCTGAGATCGCTAGATAACATATCCACTTAGATGCTAATGCAACGGGTGAGCGAACGGAAGGAATAAAAACAAGTCTAATCTTATGTCCATATAAGTATACATATTTAATAGATACTCTCGTCATTTATGCAATGAGTATATTCATAGAAGATTTATTCCGCTTTATTACAATTTTATTCAAATAATTTCTTGCTATTCCACTAAGGAAATGTAAAATGAGCAACACAGAGAGAGTTTTTTAAGAACAGAGGCGTCTGCGAAGATTCATTTTTACGTGTGTATTGTTTGCAAATGTGGTCATGTAAATTTTACCTTGAGTTTAAAAAAATATAATACGTGTACGTATTCAGAAAGTGTAGGAAAACAATGTAGAATAGTAAGCTCCTGTTTTATGCAACCTATTTTAGCTCGCAACTTGGATTATTTTCAATACATTATCCTATTATGGAGTTACGAGCCCTGTCTGTGCCTACCATCTTTAAACGGGTCTTGGATTTAATTGGATCCATAATATCAATATTTTGTTAATATACAAGGTTCATTACATTACAAAGACGAATCATACGAGAATGAAGTTGAATTAATGTCGTCAGGGTCAAATTAATTTTTCTAACAATAAGGGTCATTGAAAAACGGCCAGTGTGCTAACTCCACGTGCTCCTTATATTAACGAAATAAATATATCTTTGTAACATAAGAAAAAATTATTTATAATTAACCTGTAAATTATTAAATGTAATTGTATACACAGATTTAAATTTAGGCAAGATTTGCAAACACAACCAGCCGAGTGAAGACATAAAATGAAAGATAAAGTGAAGGCAATGACCTTTTTATTTCAATAAACAACACAAAAAGACCGCGAAACCGTTAACAAAAATGTTTCGTTCTAGAACTTTTCATAAACATTTTCACAATTTTGTATAATCTGTATTTATGTATATTTTAATAACATTAATATTACTTGTTACAGCGCAAAGGATAACGACGATACAATTGGATGGAGTACAATATTTCATATCCAGAATGAACCCGTATAGTCCAGAGCTCAACTATTTTCTAGCGTACCAATATTGCAGGCAAGTATATCGAACTCTACTGATATTACCATATCGTCAGAACGGAATTGTACAACAACGTACTTAAGAATTTTGCACCTCTATATTTTAGCATCGCATCGTATCATATTTTGCAAAGCGCAATTCTCGCGAGACGTAATAGTTGCATCGTGACTGTGAAAGCTTATCTGGCTTATCGGCACTCTTGTCCTAGTCGAACCTTGCCATAACTACAGTCGAATGGCCGTTAACAAGCGTACCCACTGAACTTCCATGTCCTCAGTCGCGACTAGGAAATACTGGGAACATTTGCATTGCTTTTACCGGTTCAACTAAATGTAGGTATCGACACGTATGACCTGGCAACATTGGAATAACAATGGATTGCTAGAAGTACCTATATATTTTTAGAAAATCTTGACTATATCGAAGAGAGCTAAGGTTAATCTTCGATCTCGACCTAACCACGTGCTTGTTTCTGTAATGACAAAGGTCAGTTGCCTTGTTGCTCGGTCACGACGCCCTCACGGTACGCCTGTAACACGACCCAGATTTACAGTTCCAATTGTTAGCAATCATAGGGATCATTACTTTTGTGACAGAACATGAACAACAAATTACGAGAAACTGTGTTAGCTATTACCGATCACGGCCACCAGAGAATGATACAATAATTTATAATATCTCGATATTGTGATGAGAGCATTAGCATGAAATATCAACAGATGGCACGACAAAGTGTCTTGTTCGCATTGTCAACCGTAGATAATAATGTGAAGTGGCCGTAATCGTAAGTTACGGTTAGTTTCCGCTGTTTACTGTCTTCAATATAACGGTAATTGTTGGTAAAATGACTGTTGACATATTCGTTATATTTTTTTTTATTGAGACATTCCAAGGGTTGTAATAATTAAGAATTAAAGAAGCGTTCCTTTTGACAACCATCTCTCATTGAAGCATTAGTAAAATTGTATTAGCTCATTACTTTACTTCGATACATTGTCGAAGTGAATGTATAATTAATGAATTAATTATTTTATAGTCAGTTTGTGGGCGTACCTCGCTATGTATGTCAATGAGACTGAAACAAAAAGCTATGAAACAGTTATGGTGCTAAAAATGTGTCGATATGTTAAAGGTATAATGTAATTACGATTCTGTACGTTCAATTAATTCAACTGGAGTATAATTTACGACATTTTAATTCGAGCCGAGTAGTAAAAACGTGCGTTGAGTCACAAGTTTTTTAATAAGAAAACTGTATTCTGAAAATAAAATACTTACGAAGTTCTCACAATATAAAGCGTATAAATTATTTATAGATTTTTGTTGTTAAATTAGTATTTCATTTAAGTTCAAAAGATACTTATAGTGAAATAACAGATAAACACTTTCTTACCACGTGATAGCGAACGGAGGAAGTTACAATCAGGTATTTTAATCTACAAGACGTGATAGTTATATTAAAAACGCTGTAACCAAATACGGAACTACGGGGGGTTGTTAATCTCCTAGGATACAGATATATTATTGCATGGAATGTAGCCCGGCCCAGCAAGGCCGAAGTGTGTCTTTAGCGAATAAATTTCTGTTCAATAAACTGGCTCTGCGCTGTAGTGTATTTGCGATCTTATAAACCTTATAGAACACGATTAGCTAGAACTCTTAGCTAAATAGCATTCATGGATCTGGCTTAGCAAGTTTGTATCTTGTCGTAGTGGAGAAACATACAATTATACACGGGTAGAGTTGCGTTACAACTGTCAATGACACTGGAATCTTTGACATTGCAATGCTAAGTTCTTGTTTGCTACGAAGGGGTCATTAACATTTTATAAAGGTTTTATATTTTAATGGCCATTGAAATAAAAGACATATCAGAATGATTGAAGAATACTTGTCTGACAACACTGACTTGTTTTATATTTGTGTTTTTGTTACAGATCATTAGGGCTTCAATTAGCATCATTTGAGACTAAAGAAAAGGCCGACTCAATTACAACGTACTTGACAAACGCAGGTAAGAAACAATTTATTTATTTGGTTAATATTTACACCTCATATATTATTTTACACCTCAGAGCTATCTAGTGATTGACAGTGATTGATTTTTTGTCTTTTGACACAATATTATATTATTTTGACAGGTTACAATAAATATGACTTCTGGACATCCGGCAATAATCTGGGAACTGACATGTATTTATGGATGAGTACCGGGCTTCCCTTCAACGCCACCTTCAATTACATGAGGCGTTTAACGATGGATCAACCTAGCCTGCACGCTGATGATAGTATGGATCCTTTGGATGTACCACAAGGCAGCACTGCCCCTCAACGCACTGCTAGGCATGGGTACGTAGATAAACCTTCTAAAGTATGAAACGCCTGAATAAAGATCGATGAGTAATTTGGCACGTGCAGAAAATTAAATTAATCGTTCAAATTCCGAAATAATTGTAGTTGTGTTTGATAGAAGAAAAAGACGAGGAGACGTACACAAAAATTGTAAGATTTTTTATCAATACCCGACTTAGTCAACACCTATAAAGGGAAGGCATGACACGCCATATAAGCGTCTCCCTTATATGGTCCATTGCCTACCATGCACTGCAAAAATAAGAGACGAGTTCCGTTTTTAAGGAAGGCATAATTCGATAGCATGTTACATTTTATACATACGTAATTTATTCGTTTAAATATATATTAATATTTAATAATGTTTTGCCTTTGGGAGCAGTAGGTAATGCAAAATAAATAGTCTGTTTTCTAGAACCGAGCATGTGATGACAAACGGCTGTGTGGCACTCAAGGCACCGACTTTCCATTGGGAGCCCCAGCACTGTGGCGAGATAAAGGACTTCATCTGCGAGCAAACGCGATGCTACTACTACAACTACGGATCCATCCCAGTTTCATCGGCGCAGGGGTAATGCCAGGTGAGATGCCAGCTGTCTCCGGAGGCCCGATCCCCGACGACTGCGCGCTATGTACTTTGATTTATCAAAATTGCACACTTTGTGTTTTCTATTCTCTTGTCACTATCATGTCTACGAGACGACATGTTACTTTATTTGGGGTTTAATTATTATTTCATCCTAACAAAGACGTAGTGATAGTTTTACACCGGTGTCATAAGCGCGTGGACCAGCGGGACCAGGCTTCTATGCCAACCCAACCACCAAACAAGAGCCCTACACCCAACTAAAATTATGAATGGTTCAACTTTATTGTGAATTGAATAAATACCTAAAACTAATCAAAATTGTTACTTTTTGGTGGGTGGGTGATGGGGGCTTTGCTTGGTATCTCTCATAATTGCTGTTTGTTTATAACAATCTGAAATTAACAATCATAACTGTGTATTTGGGCTTTTAGTAATAAATGGTATGGTGTAATTTGTGACGTCTTTTGAGCCCACATACATTGTGAGTGGTATGTGTATTGTATCACGATGGCCGGTCTTTGTCTGTTAATACAGGAAGCCACTATCGATGACGACCACGACAACAGCTCACCCGCTTACGTCGTCGTCGCCACCGCCGCCGCGCTCCGAACATCTCCCCACACATTTCACTCTCAACGACCTCATTGGCAAGCTGCGTCCCTCTTCCCTCGACGGCCTTCAGTCCCCTCACCTCAAAACCGGCGCTTTGCTCAAATCTCCCCCGCAAATTGACTCACACTACTCCCGTTCCGCGGACGCCCACTCTAAGGAACCAGAGCGTGAACCGAAAGAGGAACCAACTCAAGGCCCATATGAAGACGACGAGGGTATGGCCGGAGACGATCCCGCAGCCTATTTGACCCAGGAGGCTCACGACGCGCCCACCGCCGAAGAGGTGCCTTCCACTGCCGAACCGGATGCTACAGAGCGGACCGTCCACGCTAGCGGCATGCTAGCACCCCCTGCCTACTAGCGTTCGGCTCGACACTTTTTAAGTTAAGCCTCTGACGTTTAGTTATATATACTACCAAAAGTATTATTCATTATTTTCGAGACATTTATATGTAGCGTGATATTAAGACATATGCTTGCTTTTGAGGTTTCTCTTTAGCCTCATTTAAACGTTTCGCGATGCTGTATATGAGATATATGTTAGGGTCACCTATGTCACATGTATAAATGGCGACGTGTGGTGGGATTCCTTTTCCACTGGGATACTTTATAACCAATGAAGGTGCTGGCGACTCGTTCTGCGACTTGCCTCCGTCTTCCAACCCGAACAAGGTTACTAACATTCCGTAAATCACTTCGCTAAGTTATACGTAACTATTTGTGTGCAAGATCTCTAAAATTCATTTTAAATGCTTGTATTTTATGTATAACGATCGATAAATTAATCATTTTTGGACATATCAATCGAATTAGATTTAAGATAGTATTTGTAATATTTGACGTACCTAGTTAAGTATTGTAAGATGAAACTCAAGAATTTAAAGAATAGTGATGTAGCGAAGACAATAAACTTGAAAAAAATTACATAAAATCTTATTTATTGTACCTAAATCATTCTACTATTTCACAACCACTATGAAACGATGACCTTATTCGTATTCGTAAATATGAGCGTAATAGACCTTTGATATTGGATTGATCAATCAAAGGATGGACCAAAGCTGGATTGATCACTCAATTAAAAGAAGCCAGTTACGAAATCTGTCCCAGACAGATTTCGTAACTGGCTTCTATTACTAATGTAAATCTAAAAACCCTGTACCAATATCGAACATGAAAAATGCGCCCTCAAGTTCAGCACGTACAAATATCACATTCTCCAGAAAACTCCACATGATCTGCCCTTTGTTTTATTTTGGTCAAAACCCCTTGGGGCCTTTCGTTTCATTTTTCAAATTTTAATGGATATTTTTGCTAGTGCAGATTCTGTATAAAACGATCCAAATCGGTATGTTTAGTTCATTAAACACAATTTTGTGGGTCCGTAGCAATTCCACAGCGCAGCTACATAATATTTAATCAAATGAACTCACCACCCATTGATGACTCCCTCAACATTGAGCATTGGCACGATCTTGAACACATATTTGGCTCGAAGAGCGGCTGCGGCAGTCGTGTCCGATAGTAGATAGCCCAAAGTCCCGTCCATCACCCACGACGCGTTACTCTCGCCCGGGTGCACTCGGGCAGTAAGGAATATTATCTCCCGATCCTAATATAAATTATAAGTTATAAAACTTGACACAATTCTAGCACTCATAACTTTATATGAATACTTTTGCTTGAAATGAAAGTCGTATTTTTCTTTTGTGTTTATATTCATGATATGCAGCACTAAAGATAACAAAGAATAGAGCTGTCTCCTTCTACACAAGTTTCAACATTATTTTCCTAAATAATCTCAACTATTTAATAGTAACCCAAAAATGCTAAAGTACATATATAATGTTACTAACAGATTTTTATAAATTTTACAAACAAAATAACGTTTCGAATATCACAAATATTAAATAACTTAATATAAAATTTCCAATTTTTTAACGTACCACAACAGGGTTTGAAGGCGTATCTTCAGCAGATACAGTTAAGACTGGTACTTCGTTGCCGTTGATTGAATAGCAGAGAGCCTCCACTCGTAGATATGTGTTTAGTGGCAATTGTGAGCTCCAATGCCAAATCCGGGTCTGAAATTTACTTGAGTGAATTTTTAATAGTTTTTGGTATGTATACGAGCTATAAAAGAAATATAAGCCTTAACAAAAATCTTGGCCAACAAAACAAGTAAGTAGAGCGTTGAAAAATCGTTGAACATAGCTCAAATCGTCTCTTTTAGAATCAATTTTGAAACGCCTGATATTTCTGTTGCTTTTAAAAACGGTATTGATGTTGTTGATTGACGTTAGATGGATTCTTATTTCTAAGTGCATGAAGAGAAAATTATATCAAAATAACCAGCATTTCTGTAGCCTTTTAAACGACGACATGACTATGGCATTGAAGGCTGACCAGTGACCACCAACTGATCACTAATTGAGAAAAATATTGAAAATTACGCAGTTTTCATCTTAAAATAATTAATTATGTTAGGTTTGAAACATAAAAATCAATCGTGAGTACTCATGTATTTTCTTATTCTTTTAATTTCTAATACCACATGAAGCATAAGATAAATTTTTAGTATATATTTTATTTTAGATTAAGTGTGTTAATTGTATAATAGAGCAGTGTTGGCCTAGTGCCTTCAGCGTACGACTCTCATACCTGAGGTCGTAGGTTCGATCCCCGGCTGTGCACCAATGGACTTTATTTCTATGTGCGCATTTAACATTTGCTCGAACGGTGAAGGAAAACATCGTGAGGAAACCGACATGTCTTAGACCCAAAAAGTCGACGGCTACTTGCCTATTAGATTTAAAAATGATCATGAAACAGATTCATAAATCTGAGGCCAAGACCTAAAGAGGTTGTAGCGCCACTGGTTTTTTTTCTTAACTAGGGACGTCTGGAAGAGAACGCTTGTTAGCGATAACGTGGCCCGTTGCATCACTAATAATTTATGTTAAGTACTTGATTTTATTTGTAATGTAACAAAGTTTCAATAAATAAAATCAAACAAAATTTTGCCCGAATAATGAAAACTATACTGAATTCAGATTAATGCATTTATGAGCTTGCACCCCGAAATGTTCTCCAATAGGTAAATAATTTTAAAAACATTAACATTATTTTTATAACTTAAGACAACGAAAATATGTTTAGGCTTGATTTCTTACTCATAATAATTACTTTCCTGCTCATACGTAATTTTCTTGCACGGTAACCAAACCCAGCATTGAAATTAATAATTGACTAAATACACTAAAAACTTACCAGCATCATAGAGTATGTGAACGGGAAATGATATGCGAGATAGCACACGTCATTTGTGTGGGGAAATTCAATGTTGAAGGTAACTGTTAAGTAGCATTTGTTGTGATTCTTTTGATTTGCATAGTGGTAGCTGTTGCGGTAGTAGCAGATGTCCGTACCGGCTCGGATCCAACCTGATAATTTTTCGTACTTATAAATGAGATTAGGTAGCGAATACAATGTTATCCTGATTGTTTTTAGAAGGCAATTTCGTGCTGATCCTTAATTGCTTTAAACTTTATTTTAAAAATGCTATGACGAGTAAAACTATTCGTCAATAGCATCTCCAGTCCAATACACGATATTACGTCCATCCATTCACAAACGAACGAACAACGAAATATAACGCGAATGTAAAACAATTGAAAACACAATTGAACGCTATCCTTTGTTTTTCTCAGCATTTGAAAGTGAGAAATTACTATTTAAACAACGCGAGGAGTATTTTTGAGTTTATTAAGGACAAACACACATATTTATTTACAGTAATAATATTCTACATTTAAGCGTGTACTACCAGGTCTCCCGAGCACCGCCTCCTTGACAGAATACATCACAGGTTTCATGCCGAAATTGAACTGGCTATCGGACTTCTCACAATTGACGATATTGAATATGTAGGAGCGCCCTTGTTGCATGTTCCTTACTTCGAAGTAAAACCATTGGTGACGCTTTATAGAGTTTACATCTGGCATTAGGATTAGCTCGTACTCTCTTGGACCTGTCTGAAGTTTTTTATTATTTTAAGACATTTATCACGCGATTCTGCTCAATTCATGTATATATATATGAGCATAGCAAAATGTTCCATATGTTGGTATGTAGTACTACTTGGTAAGAAAAAATATACTATTAAGTCCAAACGAAGATCTCGGGGATAGGATTGTTTGTTTGTTTTTTTTTTCTTTAGAATGAAAATATTATCGACATTTATCACATAAATAAATTCAAAGGCATTACCTGCATAACCTTTCTCAGATTTCCCGATTCAAATCTTGATTCAAAACTAAGACGCGATGAGAAACTATTTACTTTAGTTATCTCTTGTTCGTCCGCATTGGTCAGGAACAGACAATCTGAACTGAAACTAAGAAATAATGATTATCATTTCATTTCAATTAAACTAACATTAAATACTTGTTAACAGAAAAAAATTCTTAAGAACTGCTGAACCTATATTTTTGAAACTTGGGACTGTTCTGTAAATCATCATCTAGTAGAGTTTCGAGATATTAGTTTTCGTAATTACGTACGTACATAATTTTTTACGAAATTGGTACACGCGTTCAGATAGATATCTAAACGCGTAATAGATCATCATAGACGAATATTACCAGATTCACATACAGGCCAAACTGATCAGAAAGTCAAATAAAATATAAAATCTGAATATTGGATGTATACCAAAAATATAACAGAAACAAAAAATTTATAAAAACATTTTTAATATTACCACTATGTTTGAAAACGATCTTCCCTTTTAACTACATTAATTCAGCAGTTGTCAGCAAGAGAATTTACTTACATCGATTTCTTGTTACAATCATATTCATTTAAATAATTATTACCTTTTCTGTGATGTGGAATCGTTGTTGGTTGTTGTCAAGCTACTTAATGCATCTAAATCATAAACCACTTCATTCATATACGCTTCGGGGTTTATGGCTCTATCAACGCATGACAGTAGTTTGTTCCTTGAAATAAATTTCAAAATTAATTGTTTGATATCGAACAATACTCTTTATAAGACTATGACTAAGTCACAATCACATTTACGCACAGTTTCACATAAATCCTGTTGGATATTTAAAAAAAAGATGACAACGGAGTTGGCCTATTGGCTTGAACATGCGACTCTCAACCCTGAGGTCGGAAATTCGAATTTAAACTTTTTTATATGTTCACAAATAACATTCGCTCACATAGTTTTAAAGAGGCAAAAATTCCGGCATAAATTTACCTGCAGGCAGTTCTTTCCATTTTGTTCAATGGCTCCGGTTGGTTGTATCCCTGTCCACCCATCATATCGGGATACGCGACCTTCACAAACGGAATGATACTCTTCACGCGGGACGCTATTGTACAATATACTGACGAAAATGACGTATATCTAGATATATCTTTGTGGATTTTTAATGAGGAACACGATGTTGTTGCTGAAACAAATACATATATTTTTCATTATTGACAAAGAACTCCTTGAATAATTATTATGACTGTTGCATAAATTTTGATATTCGTGGTAAATAATTAAACTTAAATCTTTCTTGAAATTTGAGCAGTGGCTTAGTGGCTTCAACGTGCGTCTGCCATTCCTGAGGTGCGTGTGCACGAACAGTGGCGGATTTATAGATTTGCCGCCCGTAGGCTATTCAATTTTTGCCGCCTCTAAATTTTGATATCTTAGTCCACAATCATATCAATTTTCTATCAATAAAATTCCAACTTTATAACTTTTTTATAGATCAGGAGCCCGCTTCGGCTCACGTAGTAACCCTATCGCGCTGCACTTGTGCTATCCATTCAGCCAGACACTACTAATACGACTACGCAATTGCATGCCTTAAGTGCGAAGCGCGTAGTAGGTATGCTCTACTCTTGCCTAAAAATCTAAATCCGATGTTTTCTCACATTAAACCGTACCTAACAAATATGATGTACATGAATATTATTTAAAAAGCAACTTATCGGCAAGAAAAATGATCCCTGAGCTTATAAAAATTATTTTTTCGGTTATGATTAATTATTTTTTATTTAAAAGGAAGGAATTTTAATGCCATATCGTATGGATTTTGGATGATCGTGTTCACAGTAAACACGATAACTGTCGAAAAAAATAATTTTTTCACTTCAATAATTCATTCCGATTGGCATTTTCTGAAAAAGTTGTCTTTGCGAAAAAGTTATCAAATCTACTGATGTAAACATTTAATTTAAATAATTCGTGTACGAATGAGCAGGCCATTTGGATTTTCCAAACTTTTTCTTACTGCAAAGAAAATAATTAACTGATAAAATGTATCAATTTTCTAATGAGCAAATTGTCTAACTTCATATTTTGTGGAGGGAATTTTTTTATTGTCAAGTCACAGTCGTTCAACTATCAGTTATTTGATTAATATGATCTCTATAAGATATTGAACTAGTTTTTTATTTAATAAAAATTAGTCAATTTTAGTCAGTATTTTTATTAGACCATCGATATTATATCGATTGAATTGGGTAAGCAGATCTCATAATTATTAGGTACACGGAGAAAAAATTATAGCAGTTATCAGTGAAGAATATATGTAAAAATTACTAAATTTCGATTATAATATCGAATCGCGATATTCTAAAAGTTCATAATCATTAATGTATAATTAGTAAAGCGTTTAGGAATTGTTCATGCAGAGATTTTGAAATATTTATTAATTAGCACTGTATATGAGAATATTTCGATTTTTGTTAAATATTTTAATTTCTCTCCAATTTTCGAAATTCGTATTATGTGTATGTATAATAAAAAAAAATTTAAATTTGTAAACCGAAATAAAAAATTTATGAACTAACTTTGCCGCCCCTTAAAATTTGCCGCCCTAGGCTCCAGCCTACTCAGCCTGCTGGTAAATCCGCCACTGTGCACGAATGGACCTTCTGTCTGTGTGCGAATTTAACACTCGCTCGGAAGGTGAAACGTCATAAGGAAGCCGGCGTGCCTTAGATCCCAACGTCGAAAGCGTATCACAGGCACAGGTGATTCACCTATTTGTCTATTGTGAAAAGACTAATGGTCACGAAACAGCTTGTAGGTAAAAAGGTATATCACTTAAGCGCCACTGGTTTTTTCTTTTAATAATAAAACATAATTTAAATTACATTGAAACTGATCCCCTCACTAGGACATTCCTGTTGTGGGTAACCACATTCTTCCGAGGTAAAAAAGAAGAAATATTAACTAGTTAAACATAAGCCACAGAAAAATTTAAACCAAAATTTGCTAAAAAGAATAATAAATGTTAGAATCTTATCATTTTGCGAGTCTTATAAAGTAGTAAAAACTATTATTTTTAAGCTTCGTTCCAATTTTCATACATTTTGTGTTATCAACACGATTTTTCTTGCTTTCGTTTAGTTCCACGCGTGAAGCTCAAGTTTTCGAAACAAGTCTATTGAACCTCTTTATTAATATAATTTTTCGTATGCTAAGAATAAATCTTGAACTGACTTACATGCGCTCTCATGTATCCGGTGATAACCTGGCAGCATAGGTGTTTGTGAGGAGCCCATCATATCGTATTCCACGCTCCCTAAATTCGTCGTAAATGATAAATTTAATGAAGAAGGAACATTTTTATTGGCAGCTTGTGTCACCAGAAAGTCTTCTAGTATTGATCCTCGCGAATTCGAGCGACTCTTTACTAGTTTCACTTGTCTATTATAGGAACCAAATTCTTTGAAAAATATAAAGTATCTGGAACAATTTTTTTTACATGTAGCTAATAATTGACTAGTTTAAGAATGTCACATCGCAAAGTAGCAACTGATATTTAGATTAGAAGGGATTTGACGTGCTCACAATAACTGTTGGTAAAACCTCAAATAATATTATCAGTTGATGCTGAAATATATATGCCTGTGGGAGTTGAGAGATCTCAAATTGCATTGATATTTTCATGTATGTAGCTTTACAAGATTAGCCATAACAAGAGATATTATTTCTCACTTTTTTAAGTCTTCTAAGTCTCTCTCATTGGGGTTAATCCACATCGCAGTTTGCAAACTATCCGCACTTTTCATTTGATTTTTAGCATCTTCATTTTCTCCTTTGACTTCGTTTTCATCATATTCAACATCAGGGAACTCGTCAATACCTTCTATATCTATGTCAGGGCCATCTTCATCTAAATCTGAGTTTACTGTCTTAGAATCTGAGTTTGCCGCTTCTTCCTCATCATCATGACATGGCCATGAAGTGTTCGTTCCTGGAAGTGTTTTGTTCAAAAGTATAAATCGCCTAATTCATAAAAACTAAATTCTTACTGCGCCGTTTTAACTAAATTATCATTATTATTACAGCGTAAATTACAATTTCAGAACGAAATAATGCTTGAGATAAGAGTCCAATTATAGTGATTTAATTTTTATGAATAAAAGGGGGTATGTCTTTGCAAATTTTTGGAAGAAGAATGTTTGGTAACCTTTACGAACGAAATAGGTATTTGTAACAAAATATTTCATAGACAGACCTTAGTTATGAGATACAATAGTCTCCATTTTACTTAAATTCACCAGAAATTATCACCGCCATATAAATTTCAACAAAACCAGAACGTAAAGAAAAACAAATTGACTATAAAATACCTTACTAATATAATAAAAGAGATGACAATATATTAGCTAATATAGATCTAGCAAAACATATACCTTTCAGAATAGGATTGAGGTTGAAGGTAGCTGGACTCGTAACAGGAACTGGAAGCGCTTGATGTCTAAGACAAAGCGTAATGACGGAACAAACTCTCGCTAAGAGTCCATCAAATTCTGGCTCATCTGGACATTGGGAGCAAAATCTGTGTAGGGTTTGTACATGTTTCTTGGTACAAAGGGATCTTCGACCCGCTTCTGTAATTTCACATTCACCTATGTGAAGCTCATTTAATTATTTATCACGTCCGCATCTGGAACTAAATACTAGTAGATTTTTTGAAAAGACATTGCGCTTGAGTCACAAATAACCCTAAATCATACCTCAGTAAAAAGATTCTGGATTTTATTTCTTTCGTTGGACTTTTGTTTATCGAACATGTTTTTTTTAGATCACTAATTACAAATGATTGGCATTGGGAATATTAAAGCTCCCATGCTTCATTATCTAAAGTATGTTTCTCTAATAATATCAGTGTCAAATTTTTCATTTATTATGCATTTACTACATACATACATGGACAAAGCAGTGTTGGTCTAATAGCTTAAACGACTGAACCAGAGGTCATGCGTTTGAATCACGTCTTTGCACTAATCGATTTTGCTATACACTACTATATTTTGATGCAAGTAAAAGTCGTGAGGAAACTTGTCATAAGGCTGATCACTTACTTGTCTATAACAAAAACATGCTAAGCATAAAGTGTTGTTGCGCCACTGGATTATTATTATAATTCATAGATAGACCACATCTGAATGCTTTGGCTTTAGCCGTATAGAACATGACCAGGAATGTACTTAAACATCTCAATGATACTACCAAACCTTTGCCATAATTTTATTATACCTAATGCATGTATTTTTTTATGTAGTGTAATAGTGTTGTGACGTCAGTGTCTATTATCATAATGCCATACGTACTGATATTACACAAGTGCTGTAGTGTTTGCAGTATATGTGCACAGATCTTAAGCCGCATGCGTCCCTCGTAGCGATCCCAACGATCGAAGACACGGAGAAGCACGCTACACAGACCTGTCTTCACGATCTGCATGCAGCATACCTCTGTATGAGTTACCTTTGTGTAACTTAACTGGTACAAGTATAGTTCATATATCATCAATGACTTGTGATGTACTAAACTAATACATGCCTTTGCATTAATAATTTCACAACGTTCAATCAAAATATTGATGCAATAGATCAAAAATAGCACCATTCTCTAATTAAAAACTGATAAACCGTCATTGGTGCTAATATTCTCTCAAAAACTCTTATAATCAATTTTATCAAAAAGTTATTTGATAACAGATAATAATAATCAATAAACATTGGGCGTACTTTTTCCCGCTTTATGCTATTTAAAAAAAAACATTAGTGAAGCAATGTCCCAAACGATAATTATAAATAATAGTTTCAATCCGTATTCATTCCTAAGTATGATGACACGAAGCGTTGGTTAGTAAATCTAGTTATCACTTAACTGTTTTTACTGAAGTAATCAATAGCGTCTAGACACAGGCGCAGTCTGGCGGTCGGTATGAAGCCGAGACTAACAAGCACCCGCTCATATGTCGTGATCGCGCCGTCGCGAATTAAAATAGATGTTGTTACAGCTGTAATGTACCAAAATCATTTTAATGTCCAAACAGTTTATTAAAGTTGCAGGGATACTCTGTAAAACCGATTTGTAAATTTAGTTGAAAGTTTAGAATTTACACTCTCTAAAAAAGCGATTCCACTAATTGTGACGTCACGAAACACAATCTATTAAATCCATAGATAGCGCTTACGTGTATGTAAATACGCGGTAAGAAGACTAGCGCGAACTACGACTACCGTAAGTCAAAATCCAATACATTTTTGCTGTCGGTCAGACTTACGGAGAAGTCGACTCATTTCTAAATTTAACCTCAATATTGGAATCGCTATATAAGTTACAGAGTAAGGCCCTTTCTCCACTGCTCCGGTCCGGCGTCGGATACCGGAATGAGTCATGAGAAAAATTACGGAAGGCCGGATTGCGCTTCTCCATTATATCCGATCCGACAATAATCGATCAGTAAAAATAAGTCACCCCGTCGCAAAAACCCCCATACTTTATTTTATTAATAAAACGTTCTAAATTCTGAATATGTTATTGCCCTGGCAAGTTTATTACATTTTTATATTGTCTATCTTAAAATATTATAATCTACTTAATAAATAGTTCACTAATACTATGGTATAAAAATATAAATAAATAGCAACATAATTTGGTTTGGTCTAGGTTATCCAGATTCTTTCAAATTAAAGAAACTATAAATAAACCTGTGAATAATAATTTATAACCTCTTGGATATACTTGGACCGATAAAACACCGCGTTCCGATCTAGCAAGTTATCGGATCGTTAAAAACCGGATGCCGGAGTAGTGGAGAAGTACGTAAGTACTGTTGTGGGTTTCGGTAATTAACGTTTGCCGGACCGGTGCAGTGGAGAAACGGCCTAACCCTGCACATATATGCAACAATTTTAAAATGCCATAAATTATTAACAGGCAAGACAAGACCATAATTCATGTGGAGTCGGTGCAAAAAGACTAGGTATCTACTGAAAACTCGTTAAAAACAATATTAATTAGGCAGCTACAAGTGATTCTTGTTATGCGTAAATATTTACTTACGATTTTTTGCGAGTTGTTTCATAATAACAAGGAGAGGAAATATCAGTTTATTGTCGGTAAAATGTCCTTTTAAAATAAGATGCATAGTTCTGACGCAGCCTAACATCCTCACTTTCATTGCGAATTTTGTATCTGAAAAATTGATTTCTAAATGATTTCAAAATATTACGTATGATAAAAGTATTCGGGATCTCTATATGTCGGCATGGGTTAATTAAAAAACATGTGCATTCCACATAATTTAATGACCGTCGCTGTTCATACTAAGGCTTTTAAGTACCTATAAATTGTCTCGATGGTTGAAGGATATAGAAGAAATTAAAATGACTGGATGCTTTCCAATAATATCTTTGTAATACACTCTAATGCTAAATGGTTAACTCTAAAACCTACGTAATGAGACTGAATTTCATATAACCTCGGCTACTGAGAGGAGCTAGAATCCATACGAGGTCTTGTATTACTAGCTCTGTACCAGCATGTCGCTCACGCTTATCATGCACGGCCGATATAACTCTTCTAATAATTGTTTGTGTTCCCTTCATCGATATAAAATCCTGTGCGCACTGAAGCCGCAGCGCATTGTTGGCTGAAATAAGTACAATCTATTATTAATCGCTCATACCTTTCGGGGACAGTGCTGCAAGGATCCAGACCAAGTCGTGCAGCATCAGTTCCGTGCCGACATTCCCATCGCGTTTCCCATGCGTCGTAATTATTGTACGAAGCATGACCTGAGTCCCGTTTAGTGATATTAAATGTTGACAACATTGCTGCCTTGCAATGTTATTGGCTGAAATGTTAGATATCATTTACCTTCACTGAATCAAGTCTTCGTAACATCCTGTTAATAACGATAAGTAGTGTCTATACGACGTTTCGTAACGTTACACAAACAAAATGTCATGCCGTAAAAGCTATTCAAATGTTACAATTAACAAGGTTTCGGATAAAGTAGTCCAATGTCAGGTTTAAATGAGTTCGTGCCAAAATGTCAGTAGGCGGAATAACAATTGGACAGACGGTATTAGTTAATTATTGATGACTGTGTTAGTTATTTGTAGGAGTTTTATATTTTAAAGCTATTATTTAGTCTCGGTGCAAAAGCCCAATTGGGTGCCCAAACGCAAACGACATACCCTTTTTACTAAGTGGCGGGACGTTTTCTTTTCCTGTCTTTTTACATTCTCTCTTCTTTGAACCTGATGTATCATTGGTAACTAGTTTGCCAAAGAACAATTGCGTCAGTAAATATTCGTTAGATAATAATTGGAGACGAAACAATTACAGTACACACCTGAACATTTCTTTCCCTTTCCTTGCTTCAAACATAATGCTTCTCTCAGTATCGAAGTTATGTAAGTTGATGTCGCCACATCCCTAGAAGTCTGAAATGAAAATAATCATTTGTAAAATATAGCTCTCAAAACAAGCAGAGCTATCGATAATTACTAGATGATTTTATGGGTGTCTATGGGCTGCGTAGACTGCCCTTTTTGGTCGTCCCGCAAGCTCGTTTGCCCCCCTATTATATATATAAAAAAAATGAGGTAGATATAATAACATATATACCTCCAAAATAGATAAAAGCATTTGTATGGCTCCCGTCTGCTTGTTCCATAGTTTTTCGAGAGTACATTGTCGGACATGTTTATCTGAAATATCAATAAAAGACATGCATAATACACAAATGTTGCGATTACATTTAACCAATTTATGTTTCCGCAAAATTCTTTGTTTTAAATCAACTGGAGTGCCCTGAAGGTCTACAAGTGATATTTAAAGTTATTTTAATGTATCCATAAATATTGTTCTCATGTGTTGCAGATTTCCTTAAATTAATGGGTATTGATTTCTTTAGCACTAAAAGCAAATTGCTTGTTAAATTTGGTCAATTGTCCGTGAAATTTAACACTGATGAATTAAATTAAATATTTTGGCAGCTTCTCGGTAGAAATTAAAATACACGAATTAATTCAAACATATACATAAATCTTTGGTTCATCATATAATAATTGTCGACGTCATTTCCTAATAAAGTTAAAGTATAGTTTTGAATTTACGATGTAATAATTATAGAATATACAACAAAATGAATTATTACTAATGTTACAACAATGACAGTTTGTTCTAAAGTGGTTGGACGATGGCCAACTCGGCACGCGCGAAGCCACATAATACTACTTCCCCATTAAACATAGGCTTTCCGTGATATACAGGGAATGAAACCTTTCCGTTGACGACTAAAACACACGCAAAAATAAAATTTATTTCAAAGGGCTTTTAATTACTCAAACTACAGTATTTCCAATACGAGAGATGAGTTATACACAATCATATTAATATTAATCAATTACATTCATTCCCATTTAATGTAAATTGTGTTTATATATTTCAAAAGCTCCATTTCATATATTCGTATATTTTGGCCAGTATAACGTTGTAATATATTAATACAGTTGATGAATGAGTGCCACCGGTCATTCGTAAGTTCGTGACTTTTCCGTTTCGAGTCGCGTCATTAAAGCGACGAGTTGGCAACAACAGTCATGTAAATACGCCGTTTCCAGCTGACCGATAAATAAGATTATCATGAAAAGAGATTGGCACTATGTTTCCATTAAGATGTTTATGTTTTTCATATGATCATACAATCATGACAGGCAATGATGGCATGTTATAGTGCGGTGAGTTACTATTTTTAAAGTCGAATTAATTTAACACTTCAAATTAAAATATTAATTTATGTACACGAAATGCGCATTTCAATTCGAAATCGATCGAAGTTACAACTGAATATATGAGTTATACCAAATCTCTCTTATCTTTTCTTACAATAGTCAAAACTGAAGTCATTTTAGTAACTCGACGTTAGTAAGTTTCTCGTTGACCACAATTCCTGAGTATAAAACGTAAATAATGCAATAAATTTGCGTTTATCCGTTAAAGTTTTACTTAAATGTCTCACCAAAAACAATATTATTATAACATTAATGTGCATTTAGTGAAACCAAGCCTTTGTTTTGTAGACTGTAGAGCAAGTAACATAAAATGATAATTTATTTCTCCTATTTAACTAACCAGTATTGACATCTCTGTTTGATTAGCATAAGTTGTATCAAAATATGTATATTGCTAACATAAATACAGCCTGATTAGCGAGGTCTTAATTTATTGTGTAAAAAATTGCGTAAATCAACGCAAAACCGTCAAACTTTCAATGAATACCAGCAAATTTTTTACGAAGGACAAATTTACTCAGCATTATATGTATGAAATTTACAATTCATTATTTTAGGAACTAATCTTAAAGCAATCTTTAGGTATTTCGCGTCACCAGGTTTATATCACGGTACTGTCTCAAATAGATCTCTCATACTATAAACAAAATTTATTTTTATCTAATGACACACCTAAATCTTTAAGGAGACAGCAGTTGTTATTTAACTTACTAGAATCCTGCCTAAAATTCTTCAACTATTAATAAAAATCGATTTTTAAAACTGTTTCATTTCGTTTGTAACCCTTAGCAATTTATTTCTGAATTGGGGCGATAACCCCCTGGTAGTACTAGGTCCCATTGTAATATCTTCAAACTAATGAAGGAATTCCGGTCGCATTTTGAATGGGTGGTAACGCTTGGAGAGGGCACGAACACCATGCCACCAATTGCACTATCAATACCCAACACGCGATCACAAGGTAATTTATTTATAAAATTAAGGAAATTTAAAATAGAAAACCAAAATTATAAATTTTTCAGTATTTTTACGATTTTCTCTTTTAGATAAGAATGTCGGTTATGATTGAAATGATAAGAATATAAGGGTTGATACTCCGGAAACTACTTAGTGTAGTATATTAAAGCAAGCGTACTATACGTATACACCTTACGTTACATATTTGGTAGTAAAATGTTCTTTATTTAGAATAAATTCGACATTTTATCTAAGTAGAAGTTAAGGAACTTTTACTTATTTGACAATTGATCAGTAGTTAAACATATAAAAAAAGTTTGCGTGAAAACCGGAAACATACGTTTTGCGGTATAAGGGTTGGAAGTACGAAACCACCAAAAAACTTTCTTTTGCCAAAAATGTGCTGATGAAGTCATTCCGAAAAAGTTTCGTAACACTCACGAAAATGAACTTCACACATTTTATATCAGATAGTCACGCAATTCGTTGGATTCTCCATTGTATCTTAACGTAAATGAACAGGTTTCTTTAGTTTTTACAATAAACGTATTCTATGGCAATCGGTATATAAATAGCGTTTGGCTATAAGCCAGACATGAGTTTTATGACTTTACATTAAAACGTTTTATAGAAGACTTGTTTAATTTGACGAGTTTATGTAATAATAATAATAAAACTATATTCACGACAGAAATATGATTGTGACAAAATGTATCTAACGCTAGTCCTCACATTGCAATTATTCCGTGGTACATTAGTACCTCAGAGACTCAATAATTTAGGTACTCATCCTGTCTCTTTTCATCACAGTGTAAACACCATTTGACAGAAAGAGACGAAAGAGTACTTAAGTTTAAAAGTGCAACTACACTGAATTATTATTTATGAATAGAGTTGGTCCTTATCACTAATGTAATGTAATTACTTAAATGTACTTAAAGTCTCAGAAAGACACCACAGGTTTCACCATGGGGCACAAGACAGACACATTTCTATGTTTTTATTGAAAAAGCAAGTATGTTTACCTATCGACTAAAAATAATTATTGTTTCGCCAAGCATCGAACCGGAACTTTATGTGTGTTAAAAAGGTATTTATTATTTCTACATCATTGGTCTAACACAATTTATATAGATCATATACAGTAATCCAGTTAATGTTACGTTGCATAAAGGTTGACGCTATTAATAAGATTTCAAAGTAGTTTCGCGGTTTTACAACTTCCGTTCTTAGTGATATGAAAATTTCCTATTTATACACCTTATTACAAATTATTTAAGACGTATGTTTTCTTTTACTATTTTTTTATAGCTTAACTAGTGGAGCCCACAGACGTTGTCCTGCATGATATTTAAAGCGATTAGGATATTAAGCAAAGTATGAAAGTACCGACTGCAGTGCCATCTGCCGAGCTGTTTTGTGAATCTAAACCATCCACGGCTCCACCCAAACGTATACAAAAAAAATCATTCAAATCGGTCCAGCCGTTTAAGAGGAGTTCAGTGACATACACACTCATAGAAGAATTATATATATAAAGATATATTATAAATAAACTAAAAATTCAGAAAACACCAAAAACACTAAGGGTTCAACCTTGGTGCCTGTAGGCCTACACGACAGTACACATTTTGGATTCTTTATAAACTAAAAGAAATACATTTAATACAAAAAACGAAACGAAAGCATTGCAACAAACTGAGAGAGAAAAAAATTAAACGTTTCCTATATGTTCCGTATACCTTATTCATATATTACATTTATCTTAAATTTATGAAGCCAAGCAAGCATATCCCAGGTTGGCTAAAAATACCTTTTAAGAGGTACCCTTGCAATTTTTGGGTGTGATTTTAAGATTTAAGGGTAAACAATTAACAAGACGCGGTAGAGAACAGTCTCAACATAGAATTGTTTTGAATTGTGTACATAGAAAGGAAAAACCTTTGCTCGTGCCCAGTTGAGATTCGCACGATCTGAGGATCTGAGGGATTAGAATCAACAACTTAGGATGTATTTAACAATAAATTATTAAGTTCAATAACAGGGAAACTATAAGTACGACTTCCATTATTAATTGAAGTCTTGAGTACAAAATCTATTTGGTTTCAGCTGTTCGGTTGTGTCGAGGTCACTCTATTGTAATCTAAATGGACGATGCTTCTAGATTCACGTAAATTCACATTTCTACGTCACGCAATGTCGTTAATCCAATGCAAGCGCTAATTATACTTATTTTTTGTTCAAGCTCAGTCTATATCGGATTTCACATCTTCATAAAACAATTTTATCACTTAATACATTTTCTGTGCGACTGGACCGATAATGAAATAAAATTTGTGTAGATTCGAGAATGGTTTAGGTTTACAATTAAATGTTTTTTTAATCCGCGTGTCGGGTCATCAGTATATTATGATTTTACAAATGCGCTGTATTGACTAAAACAATGATGGTATATTTTTATTCGCGTAGATATCTTTTATTAAGCCCACCACACCCTCTCACACCATGACCGCACTGTCACGGTTCCTTGCACAACGAACGTGTCACGCACGAAAATACGGGATATGATTAGGTAGTCGTCTAGTGAACAGTTTCAAACTTTTTTAATGATAACGGTAATAACCTAGTACAGCAACAACGCTTTATGGTTCTTAGCCTGCATTGCATGCGTTTCTTCGATCATTTTCATTTTATCGCCAAGTTGGTGATCACTCTTCTGGGTCTGACATATGTCGTCGATTTTTGACATTCCTGTGACCATTGTGTTTTTCGTCACCGTACGAGTGAGTGTTAGGTACACATCCATTAATGTACAGCCGGGGATCTAACCCACGACCTCGAGGATGAGAGTCGTACACTGAAACCACTCGACCAACTAGGCTAACACAAGACTAGCCCCTGCTTGAACTTGCTTTCACACTTGTCTATACAAAAAATATATTTTTCTCTATCACGGTCCCAGCACGATCAGGGTAAGACTCGGTGTACCTGTGGTCTATAAAACAAACTAAAAAGTATTTATTTAAAATCAACAAATTAAATTATACCATGAGATGTTAGTCTGGAATTAATCCTGGCTGTGATAGCCCTGGCTACCTCTGTGGAGTCTGGGGCTCGCTGCTGATGCAAACGCAGCCGCTCGAACAAGCAGTCCGACGTCGCCTCGTCAGCCATACGATATGCTGTAAAATACATAACAATTACAATTCTTTCCTAAAAAAATTAATTGCTTCATCCATTGCTGATACTTAGATCAGTAGCCATGGCCTTAGAGATTGAGACCGAATAGATAAAAAGGATGGAAGGAGAGATGTAGGCACTATAAGTACTTATTTAGTTCGTGTGATTAAATTATTATACTTCATAGATTTCATATATGAAATTTTACTCTGTAGGCGCCTTACTTTTTTATGCCTATCGCCTTGGATCACTTAAAGATTTTGCATGTTATTCATTAGTATTCATTAGTTTAAGGTTAATCTGAAATTCAATAGTAATTTTGTGTTATCTAATGTACATACAGATTAAGTTTGTATACAGGTTGCAATTTAGTGCAGCACCTATATTGATAAAAACGCGTGGAGGTGATTCCAAATAAACGCAATGCCACAGTCGCAGAGTTCACAAGTCAATAAACTTGCACGTAAAGGCATTATTTATCATACACAAATAAAATCAGGGATAAATCAGTTTTAAGTATGGGTCGTTTAGTCACTATCATATTAAAAAAATTAAAGCTGGAAGTTGCACGTTTAGTAAATTTCGCGAAAAATTTTGGCTGTAGGAATAATCAGCACTAAATTAATATATAGTATAATTCTACTAGCTACCAAGCGGTTAATGATTTCGGATGTTATACTAAAAATTTGCTGTGTCATGAGTATGTGCATGTATCAAAAAAAGATCAAACGTCAGTAATGAAGTTTAACATTGCGAGACGTACGTTTGTGAGTGCGTAGCGTTGTCCTGGTCACTGTAATGATTTATTGTAAATAAACAATGTATTGTGTATGAGGCCGTAACAACATCGCCCCTCGACGGCTGGCGGCCGACTGTCACTGAAATTTCAAACTGCTGAATCGCGGGGGCGGGCGACAGACATCGACGCCAAACACTCGTGAAAATAATTAAAACTAACTGCATACTGTAGGTCTACTCTGGATTTGATAAAGTATTCATGGCTTTCGTACAATCCAGTATACTTATCCAACATTTGTATAAGAAATCTTAAGTGTGCGCATAACTATCTGAAGCGCTGTAAGATTTTTATAAAAATATTGAAACTGACGTATTTTACGTTACCGTTACTTTGTCAAACTCATGGTTAATCTATAGACGATAACTATAGATCTTAAAATTGTTGAACCCGATTAAAAGTGTACTTACGTTTTTTCTTAGTTTTTTTTACTTCTTGCGTTTGTGCCGATGAATCGGTTGATGAAATCATGTCCTGAAAAATTGTAACACACATTCAATATGACTTTGATTCGACCAATAAGAATAATATGTGGTTAATATTCTCCTATTTATGAAATGAAATGAGACAACACTCCCGTTATAAAAATTTCCGACTCAACTATGTGTCTTCCCTATCATTTTCCCGCGCTTTGTAATGTTCATCCGGTAATGTCAGTTGCCAATTTTACTTACGGCTGGACAACATACTGTGCGTGGTAATTGACAATTGGGAAATTTTAAAATAATAGTTTAAATTTATGATATTGAAGTGTTCCATACATACACAAAATACTAATTCTTCCTATTTACAACTGTAGTATAGTAAAATCGATATCTTTATGGATTTTGGGAGACTTTGTAACAGAAACTTAACTAATAAATTTATATATGCAAAAAAATATTAACTTACAAATATGGATTATAAAATTCTAATTAATCTAACAATCATAGCATAGCATATTTTTGATATATTCATTTAAATTAACTACATACATCTGTTAAATTGCAGTGTTTTGTGCCCGCTCTCTTTATAACCCTATACTGTACATTAATCGCTTTGGGGCTTTTCTAGCTTCTCAAAAAAAAAATAGGTGAGGTTTTTGACACATCAAAGTTATTATTCTGATCACCATGAAAGGCATTAAAATGATAATTTAAAATTTACCTGACATGTCGTATTCATTACTAAATACGATTTATTGAGTATTCCTGTTATCTAACTTCCCGTAAAACATTCATTTCCGTTAATAAAATAGTTTTGGAATTTCATATTATAACCTGTACTTTAAATGTCATTGCAAAACATTGACATTTCTTTTTTTTTTCTTAAAGTTTATATTTGCCAGGATTAATTGATTCATTTTATATAGATGTTTGTTTATCAAATTTCCAAAAAAACGAGCGATGTATTTATTTCTTGTTATAGAGCGCAGAGTTGTACTATAAAGCTTTATTTACAATATTATAAAAAAATAATAAAAAATTTAAGAAAAAATAACAATTGAATTTTCAATTTCAATTTATTTAAAAAAAATTAACTTTATTTGGAACTTGATAACTTAGATAATGGCTACATGATATATTATCATTTTGTTTATATTATTTAAAGGTAGCTCTCAATAACAAGTTTCAGAGATAAATGTCAAACACCTACTTTGATCACTTGCTATACTTGCTCACAATTAACTAATGCAACAGAAAGTCGATAGTAAATGTCAAGAAGCTTGCCTCGAGGGATATACTGGGTACGTTTATTAGTACGTATGCAGTAAACTTATTGTAAATTGGAATTACTATCTGTTGAACAATTAGCTCTTGCGTCGTAAAATAATGTATGCCTTTTTTAAACTATAACGTCTTACCGGTTAAGATTCTAAACCTTCGAGGAATTTTCTATGAACGGTTGTACATATCTTTTGTTCTCTAAATTTCTAACTTAATTAAATATGTAAATAAAAAATCGATTGTGAAGTTTTAGTTTATGAATCTAACAGTATTATGATAATTAATCTTCACTGCTAATCAAACGACTACAAAATAAGAATTCTATAAAATAACATGTTACAACGTAAAATAAACATACAATATAATTCTAAACAGTAAACAATTATGATTTATTGTTTTATAAAATGGTGCGTTTATAAAATAGCATTGCCAGTTATGTTAAGACTAGTATATTCTGAATACAAGTTGTGTAAAATGATACAGCTACTATTATTTTCATTTATCACATTTTATTGTTACCACACTGTGGCCGCCTTCGCCTTGGGATCTACAAACGTAAAGGTCAGCTCTCTTAAATTGATCTTATACTTAATATTGATATCATCTCGAGTTACACAATGAGATCAAACATCGTAATACTTTTATAAATCTATTTCCTTAATGAGTATGTATTGAGTATTTGTCATTTTAGACTAAACACTTAATCTGATGTAGAACTGTGCTCTTGACTTTTACTTAGACATTAAGCCCTGCAGTATACTTATTAATATAAGAAATACAGAATTATATATCTATAATTCAATACAAGACACAACATCTGGATAAGTATTTTTTTATACTTCACTTCCAAGAGATCCGATTGAGAATGAGGTACACAGATATTGTGGTTTTGACAGAATTAATTAATACATGATGACATCCATGTCAGATTTGATATCTAAGTATATGATTTGTTTCAGGAATGGAATGAGTCAATCAAGAACCATTCTACTTTGACATCCCTTGATGTTACAAATAAACAAAACCTGACTTACGGACGTCTCATTCGTGTTAGAAGAGATACAGATGACGGCTCAAGTAAGAAAATCTGTACTTCCGTACAAAATCTCTTAATAGTGTTTAAATTTCTTACTTAAAAGACCGATTCTAAGCTAAGCTTTGAGCCGCGTAAGGATGGAGTTTTTCTGTAGCCTGTTTGTAGTAGAATAACATGACGTATAATTATTGTTTGTTTTAGAATATTTGTCCCTAGATGTTGTCCCCGATATTTGATTCGCCTATAAGTTTAAAACATTTAAGCAAGAAGCTACTTGTTTTATACTATTTAAAGATTACTTTTATTATTAAAACTACAATAAATCAATTAAAAGCAACACGAAATTCTTATATATTCTAACTCCGTAAACAGACCATAAATATTCTTGAATACACTACAGTGAACAGTACAACTTAATAAAAAATTGTTTCAGGTAAATTTACCCAAGCGGCCCAAATGGATCAGTTGAAAGTTCTTCGTTTGTACTTACAACATTATAAGAATTTGTGGGACTCCGCATATATCGGCGGGGCGCATCCTTTCCACCCAAACGTTCCTAAAGCTATTGTTCTGCTTTGGAAAACTAAAATAGTAGAGTTCTTCTTCCCAGCTGTAGGAGAAGACGCCGTAAAAGGAAAATAAATAGACTTTAAATACCCTAAATAAATAAATATAAAATTATTATAGATATTCACGATGTTTTTTTCTAAAAATCGCGAATTTATTTAGTTAACGACACTAGTTAAATTAAACGAATTTTCGTCAGTGTATGTGTGTTACTATATTAATCTAATTGACAGTGTTTATAGCATCACATGAAATAAAGTAATGGTAAACTTATTTCAAGAGTAATTATTAGGTGACTGAACTACATACACTTAAATTCTATATAGTCAAACATGCTACCAGTGCTTAAAGCTACTACGAGTATTTTATACATTACTAGAAATGAAAAATTTAAACGTATACACCATAAACTATTGCATTTAAATTATTTATAATTAATTAAAAGTATTATAAATTAAAAGGGTAAAATATAAAAAAATCACTCAAATTTGTTTTTTATTAAAATAATACTTTTGTAATAAACAGCTTTTGTTAAATAAAATAAAAAGTATTAAAGGCTCACATAATTCTCACGAAAATTTATTTTCGAATTCCAATTATTTCATAAGATTTTGTGAAGTTAATTATTTCTTTTGTATCATATATTACAATTATATAATCCTAATATTGTATTCAACTGCAAAAATAAATCTTCTTAACATGTAATAATAAGAGTCAACAGTCAAATTATATAGGCCAACAATTTATTTTGTTTTAGTTGCTAATCTTGATACGTGCAGCGAAGGTGATGCAAGATGCAAGTATATTGAATACAAATAATTGTGAAGACATATCTAGATATTTTCATTCTTCGTTTCGGGTGGGTGTTGGCGAGTATATAAGCACAATCATTAATACCAGTACATACATCTCCAAGTGCCTCAGAGATGAAGGTACGAATATTTTTCTAAAAGCCACTTGCTCCGTTTATTTTTATGGAACTTGACTAGTTATAAATAGAGTGGATTGAAACAGGTTTTTAAGGATAGTTTTTATTACGTTAAGAATATCTTTATTTAAAGTGTGTATGAGTGCAATTAAAATATGGTATACTAGGTCTCAGTATGAGACTTCCAAGCTTAGAAAAAAGTGCGAAATATTTACAATTTTATTTGTTCATCAATGTGTTTTGCTGATCTCTCTATACATAAAGAGATCTTAATTTATTTTTTTATGTTATACATTACTAAGGGAGTTGTGCTACTGCTTTGGGCTACGTTATGCTGCGTGAACGGCGGAGCAGTGGTGTGGCCAGGGGCGATTCCACTGCCTGCTTCGTTCAGATCAATTATACCACCCCAAGTCAAAGGATTCGCATATTCAACAAGCCAATACATTAATGCGGTATGAAATATTGATTTTGAGAATTTTCAGTAGTTAATAGAAATATGGGATTTTATTCGAATCTTACAAGCATTTCGAGTAACCCTTATAAATATAATTTGACCCCTTATTATAATTTAAGTTGTTTGTGTTTAAAGACAATTAGTATATGTTTTTATATTTTTTTTAGGTGCAACCGTCATATTCTATCGGATATCAACCGCAAGTTGGATATCAACCGCAAGTTGGATATCAAATACCTCAGCTAGGAGTATACCCTACGTATCCCGGAATAAATTTCCAACCCATTGTAGCGCCACCGTACTATCCTGGGACTAACCCACTATATCCTGGTCTAAGCCCTATAGGACCGCCTATATCTGTTGCTCCATCGCCACCACCTCAAAGCGCACCAGCACCACCATCGCAGGATGCACCTGGAGATGAAGATACTGCAATTGTTGACTCAGCAGAATTCCCCTCTGATCAGAGAGGACAAATACAGCCCGACCCCTCTCAAGGATTCCAAACACCTTTTAACACCGGATCCTATGATTCCAAAAACATGCCTGCATTCCCTCAAATTCAAAGGCCAGAGGCTCCAAAACCCCCACCAATCCCTCAACCGCCTCAAATACCAGGAGTTCCTGCAATTCCCCAACCACCGCCAATACCACAAGGTCCTCAAACGCCAGACATTCCACAGATACCACAAATTCCACAAATACCTCAGTATCCAGGGTCTGGCAGTGGAATTTTCCAATTTCCACAATTCTCTCAGCCGCAGCTGTTTCAACCTAACCCATCATATCCGCAAGCACCTCCTCAGAGTCAACCTTCGGAATCCCAGTTCAGTTATCCTTCACCAGCTACCGGTTCCCAGAGTCTCAGCGACGAGGATTCAATAGCCGTAGATTCAGCCTAAATGTTAAGTTATTGTGCCTTACAACGATAAACGTTGAAACATGTAATAGATTTTAGGTATTCTGGTCATACTATTGATTTAGAATTTGGTAATGCTTCTATTACAGCCGATTACAATCTATCACGATCACGTTGTTTTATGTAGGTCGAAAGTAAAATTACTTTATAGTATATAATATTTATAAAATTTTAAATATAATATGTATTTTTTTACTTTTTTAATTCTGTAAGCAATAAAACAAAGTTTATATAATACATGATTTAATTCAGAGCTCACCAAAAACCTGGCTTACGTTCGGGAAGCCATTTTAAGTAATCACTAAATGTGGTATTCTTTCCGCTAAGCCCTAAAGCAAAATAAAAAACATACGGAAACCACTGTGTATTGAAAGTGATTGTAATGTTGTATCCACCAACTCCAGTAATCACAGGCGTCACGAGACGATTCGGTAGCATCAGACGGGCGCACACTATTGTACATTCTATCCCTGCAGACACCTAAAATCAAATCTTGCGTAATAATAATTTAATGCGTAATTATAATTATAATTTTAAAAAAATATAATTTAATTTTTGACGACACATTGGTCTAGTGGTTAGTACCTCTGACTGCGAATCCATGGGTCCCGGGTTCGATCCCCGGCTGAGACCAACATCGATGTGATGAGCATTTGGTGTTGTGCTTAGATCTTGGGTGTTTAAATATGTATTTATATGTCTATCTATCTATAATATGTATGTATATCCGTTGCCTAGTACCCATAACACAAGCTTCACCAGCTTAGCATGGGACTAGGTCAATTGGTGTGAATTGTCTAAAAAAAAAAATATATATACCAATTTATGTTACTTAGAATCAACGAAACTTTAACAAATAAAAAAAAATATGCAAAAATATTAAAAATAATTATTGCATATGCATGTGTGCTACAATTCGAGGCTATAATTGCATTCCGATGACGTCATATCCTGAAACGCGCTATCGAAGTTATTTCGACTGCTAAGGATATATACAACTTCTCGACTTTAGCCGGTTGGGGCTTCAGGCCGGCCAGTCAGTGGTTAAACTGACTATTTATCCTATCCCATTATATCGGAGGAAGCGCTCAACATCCTACCTCCACATACCAGTGTAAACTCCATGTAACGTCCCTGGTTTTAAAGACAAACCCCCTAAAGCATCGAAATCACTCGGCTTTGGTTGGTTTATCTAGTTTTCCATATAATGATAACCCCGATCCTCAATACCGACAACAATTAAATACTAAAAAGTACTTTTTAAGTTGCCGAAATTAGTTAAAACTGCGGAGCAGTGTACCTTGTTTTGTCGCTTTATCGTCCTAGCGAGAAATAAACTCGACTGTCGGTACTCGTCATACGTACCGAACTTTCCAAGAAATCTGTTCTTTTTTTTACAAATTGCGCATGCTTGCATGTGCTTTATCACGAAGATGCCTCAATATCGCAAGAAATGAATTAAATAAGTAAAAAAATACAAGCTAACTACCGGTACAGTACAAAAATAACAGACAACGAAAGAGCGTTCAAATACGAATTGGTTTTATGTAATTACTAACACTAGTCTGAAATAAACTTTCTTTCTAATACAGATTTTTTTCCATTTAACTGCACAGTCCCTTGAGTTTCGTTATATAAAGTTTACACTGTATTTCAATTCAGTCTGCCAAAGAAGACTCGGCTAATAATGTTGTACCAATAGGTATGTATGTATAAGATAGAAGTTTATACCTTCATAATAATATTCAATTTTCCAGGGGGGTCTGCGTTGACTTCGAATCTTTCTGAATAGAAAAATGCAGCTTGTCTCTGTTTTTTTAAACTTTTGAAACAATTATTTCCAGAGACATAGGTTCTGGCCCTCCATCCAAACTTTTGTGGCTTCCTGGCTCTTAAATGTCGACTTTTTATGCCAAAAGCTGAAATTTTAATTATGACGACTACATACACATGTATTCAAATAGGTAGCAGAGTCAGATAAAATATCGATTTATTCAAATACACATAATACATGGATACATGTTTAGTTCAATATAATTTATTGTAAATGGCAAATTTTAAATTATAATAAGTTATTAGTATCATTAGTCATTTTTTATTTTTTTTATGTAATAGGAGTAAACGGGCAGAAGGCTCATCTGACATTAAGTGATAAGCCCATGGACACTTACATTGCCAGAAGGCTCGTAAGTGCGTTGCCAGCCTTTCAAGAATTGGTACGCTCTTTTCTCTTCTTCTTTCTTGAAGGACCCTAAGTCGAATTGGTTCTGAAATACTTCAGTGGGCAGCTGGTTCCCATAGCGGTGCCATTGAACTATATAACTATATCTGAATCAGTTGTGGAACGACGGACGTCGAGTTGATACGGATGGTATTTTGTATTCTGCCTGTATCCTGTTAGGATTAAGAGCTTTAAATAAGCATACTTACTCGGACCACCGTCGACTAATTTAAAATTTTCTGGATATGGTCGTGGTAGTATACTAGCTGTTACGAAGTTAATTATCCAGCTGACATAAGGGTAGACATCTATATATAGAGGCGGTTCTTTATTTAGTCTATTTCTCATAGACCGCCTGATGCATGGAGCACTGCCAGCTGCCACACCCATTAATTGAACGGTGCCTTCGGTAGCATGAGTTACAATTGGGGCCCCAGGACGAATACCACATCCAGATGTACAAAGCACGTGCGTCACACCCTCGCTACCTAAATTCTAAAATTATGTCTCAAGTAACATATGCTCTTAATACATAAAAACTAATATTACTTTGTTGAGGTTATTTTACTTAGCACTTAGTTGATGGGTATAAATGGATGGTTTAACGGTGACTTGGACTTATGCAAGTACTACACATTTTAATAATAGTTCTTTAACGAATATAAAAATTTCAAACAAAACGTGAATTTATGACATTACATAAATTAGACGTAGTTTTCAGCAATCGTGGTCAGCGATATACGGTTCCTTTAAATATGTAATAAGAATAAACGTATTTACGTTGTATATCAATTCCATCTTAAATTTATACGCAACTCTAGCTGCGTTTTAAAAATATCAAAGTACAACTTACGTTTCGCGTTCTTTGTTTCCTACACTCTTTATGAGTGTAAAATTTGAGGGTCTTTTTTGCCATTTTTTCGGAATCAAAATCTCTTGGTACAGCTGTAAGTTTGACAAATAAATAGAACACTATCAACCCAGATAAATCACGTCAAAAAGTTACTTACAACTTATATAGTCAACCATAAATACATATTTATGTTTACGTTTTCTTTCACGTTCCTCAATTGAAGGAAGGCATATTGGTACCATATAATCTGAAATTAAGGTTCTATCAACAACAAAAAATTAGTTATTTAATTATAAGTTTAAGATGTTATTAAAATATATAACGTCGTCGTTAAGTGTAAAACATAACGGTATTTCAGTGTTTTCTTACATCAGCCAAAAGTAAGACTATAAAGTAATATTTACGAGATTTAATAGGCCTCAGAAGCTTCACAATTGCGAGACTATTTCCAACTCCGAACCTGTGAAAATAAATATACATTTTCAATCTTTACAAAATGATCTGCATATAATACAACTTAGTATATACTGCTTGAGTGGTATTAAAATATAGTTAAGTGAATCTTATAATCAAGTAAGTAACACGAATCATATGATTGTATTAGGGTTTAATAGCTTACCTTGAATATTCAGGATGTGGAGATATATCAATTAACGGTATTTCTAAATATGCTCGAGGGCAGTCGGCACCCATTTTAGTTTGCGACAATGTTAGACCACACTCTTCTTCATCTCGGACGTAGTCACCAAATAATACATTTCCACTGCAATGCAAAATAATTTCGAAAATATCCCTATCCTTTTGCATTACCAACATATTGGTTTCTGGGCCACACTATGCCAGAAAACGTCCGTCGTATCGACTTAATATACTATTCTAAGATATGTATTTGGTACTTACAGTTTGTAATTTTTAGGCAAGTGCAACATGTCAGTAGCAGTGCCAACAGCAAATTGCTTATGAACGAGAACCACTCGCGGTGCCTTACTGTGATGCGGAAGACCTGTTGTAACTGGAAAGATGCTTGGTTTTAAAATAATAAAGTAAATATTTGATTAATGTCATATATAGCATAGGAAATAATAATAGAATAATAAATCCTTTTCTGTTTTAGTCTATTTTGCTGTAAATTGTTTCAAACTTACCGTGAATGTACTGCACAAATCCGAGCCATGGAAATGTATGTTCCTTAACAACGCCATCTGGGGGCTTCAAACCGAAGTCATCTTGGCACGACGAGAAGTCTCGTATCATGCTTTTTATTGTCAGAAGATTGCCTGGAATATAAAAACGACAAGATTGCTTATTCTTAAATAATAGGCGTATTATAGAAATAAATAAATCAAATTTTCAATGAATTAATATACTGAAACTCTCTTTTGAATGAGTGTTATTATATAGAAATTATTCTCATGTATTATGAACTTTATTACTGCCGAAGCTTTGATATATAGTAATGCATAAAGATGTTAAAGGTATACGAACAAATTATTATGACAGCAAAACGTAACATTGCGTCTTACGCATTTCATAAGACTGCTCGGCAATACATAGTTTAGTATTTGTAAACAACGATTGTTTAGTTACAATTGTCATCCGAAGAAATAGCGGGAATAATTCAGATTTTGTTTATACGTCTGTTTTGCTAATACGAGTATTTGTTGATTGGTCTTAATTCTAAATAAATTAAATGTAGGTAAAACTCTAGAAATAAAATAACATCCGGTTAAATAGCGACTATACAATCTAAATCTACTCTAATATATAGCGGCGATGATTTAAATACATTTCACTTCCGATAGCTCTCGAATAAGGAATAAAATTTAGAAACGACACGGGTTGATGAAAATGGAAAATGTTTGGATTTAAACTTGGTGACACGACTTTAATAACAGTTTTCTTTTATGCTTATGATAAATAAATTATCTATACAGTAAACTATATAAGGTGAATAGGATACCTTACAACAATTATAATAATGCAGTCGCCCTACAACCCTTAATGTTGGTCTTAGATTTCATTTGTTCTTTAATTGTTTACGTTTTGATTCACTCGTAGATTTTAAGTAGGGGCGGGGATTGAATAACGCGTTTTCGTTAATATTATTTTCGACTTTCTAGTACTTTACACCACATAATGGTATCTTTTAGGTAGAAAGAGTCACTAGGTCGTCACGAAACGTTTTACTATACAGAAAAACGTTACGGCGCGTTACCCGGGGGGTGGGGGGGTCAATAATCTCCAAAAATTGCGTGACGTAATACTTGAACGCTCCCTTAAGTAATATAATTAATGATACAAATGCTAATCCTTCTTCGACGATAGAATAATTGAGATCAATGCCAGTTTGTAATAATCGACTCGAAAATTTATTAAGGCCGGCAACGCACTCGCGAGCCCTCTTGCATTGGGAGTGTCCATGGGGAGGCGGAATCACTTAACATCCGATGAGCCTTCTGCCCGTTTTCCCCGTTTGTATAAAACAGTAGAAGAGTAATATGATCTATATTTATTTCTGTGTCGTAAATAATGATAGTAAATAAGTAAAAATAAAACTAGTAAGAGTAATTCATTATTTTTATTTTTACGTGTCAGCATTAAACGTCGCTATAAAACAAGGTGCCTGATTTGTTGACCCGTTGAGTAGCGATTTCCACGAACTTTGATTATAATAATCAAAATTACTTCTACATGACTTTTTCCCTTTATGAGTTATACATAGAAGTTTATGTATAGTATTTATAAGCAATTATTTCTCCGGTAGTCATTCAAGCCATTGCTGTACAAATCTACTCAGCTGCCAGATTAGATGAAGTCAAAAATAACACGAAAAACCAACAATAAGGTAATGAAATAAAACAGATAACAACTTTTAATAACTTTTATTGTTATAACTAAAACATAACATTAACAGTACTCAACTTTTACAACTTTTACACAATACATCAGTCCTTATTATATTTCCTCTCGCTGCTGGAAATATTCCTCAGCTCTTAGTAGTGCGTGACTGCCCTGACATTCTGATACTGCCCACTACTATAGTATCTGCGCTGTAGCATGGTGCGCATAATTTTTCGTTTCACTCTTGAAAGTTGCCGCGATTTACAAAATATGACTTAGTATTTCAGCTGTACCATATTCGTTATATATTAAATCATTAATAACTGTAGTAACTAAAATTTAGCCCAGCCAGAATGTTCTAGTCTACAAATTAAATTAAATTGAAAGAAAAATTAAACAACTGTCACACGCACCATGCTACAGCGCACATTAGGGCTAAATGTAGCATTATGTCATTTTAATAACGTTTTCCGTGATAAAACTCTACCACGAAATTAGCTGGAACTAGTAATCTGTGTTTGATATAGAATTCGTGAATCTCAAACTTATTAATTGTGTTCATCATTAATATGTGTACAGTCCCTTGACAGTAATAAATAGGTAATCGTGCCTTATGAAACATAAATTTAAAGGGCACATACATTTTTAATATGACACATTGATGCCTATATTGTATCGTATTTTTTCTTACTAAGACCTGAAACAAATATATTTATTTTAAATAATACTCCAAGAGATATAAAACAAATGTGGAGCGCTTTGCTTTCCTGGACTTCGACGATACAGAGATGTTTTAATTAATCACACTATATTTTATACCAAAACTTAGTAGAACCTAATTCAAACTATCGACAACATAGTTTGAAATAGAGTAGGTACAGACGCTTATATTTTAAAAGCTCTTATTAATTAAAAAAAACTTCTAACGCACTTTCGTTAAATACAATTGATGAAGACCACTCGAATTGTTATGTAAACTTAAAACAGTGTAATCTAATTGAAGCTTTTAAAATATAATTGCCTGTTTAGTGTATTAAAAACTACGTTGTCAATTTAAAGCGAAATAAGCGCTCGGAAGCTTTCTAAACCTCCCGAAAGTATTTTATAATTTAAATTCTTTACATACATATATGTAATTGACATTTGTGCTCTTCCAGGTGGGTAGTGTTATGTTGACAGATTTCTTATAGTGTGCCGGAACCACCATGTCACGAGTGCACCAACCAAATTTGTAGACGCTGTTAAGAGTTCCTATAACATAAAAACTCTTTAAAGATTAGGAATTTCAAAATGTTAAATATTAAGATGATTTCAGCAACGTATTCCAACTCGTGAGTAGTAGCAAAAAATCTTAAAAGTAATATTTTTCATAACTATTGAAATTCAGTCATATTCAATTTAAGTATACTTAATTTAAGTTTATAGATGTTTTCCTAATAAGAACGCGATTAAAAATAAATATAAATAAAATATGATAAAAACAATAAAACAAAAAGGGATAAAAAATAATATCATTAAAGTCTATTTATTACCTCGTGGTAAACGGTCCTCTTCATTAAGTAAGGTCTTGAAGATTCGATCGTCATAGTCTTCAGCATCACCATCTCTTAAGGCATAAGACGCTTGGTTTGCTGGAATCGCTCTCCAAGCCTTATTCAAAGAAACTATAAGATACATACATACATGCATAAAAATATAAAGGCGATAACAAAACCATATGGATTATGTAAATGACTATCTATATATATTAAAAAACTGTATATAATACCAACCCCATGAGAATAATAGCAAGATAAAGTAAAGAATTTTATAGTTCGTCACTTTCGTTTTGAACACTTTCGTCATCTCTGATTACCTATAAGAAGTGAGAAGGCTAGTCAGTTTGATCACTGTTTAGTGTTTTTAAAGAATTCCAAACAACATTTTGCGAAAACAAATTTTATTGTAGTTCTCTGCATCGACTTTAACATCTACTAAATTAATAACTACTTATATATTATGTTTGTTATAATTATAATAGATACAATAGAACATCTTATCTACCTTATAAATAAAAGTATTTATTACAGGATATTATAAGGAAGACAATATACAAAAAATAACTAAAATAACCTAAATTAAGTAGGAGCTAACATTAACAAAGGGAATTATATTTTATACAATTATAATTCATATATAATAATCCTTACTTTTCTTTTAAGATGCATTTAGGTATTAGTAATACTTGTTACACTTTCTCTTGGAGAATTAGAACGGAATTGTGGTTTCATTAAAGTTACCCATAAATTACGTGTAATCGGGTCACAAATGACAAAGTAAACAAACAAAACGAATCCTTGCAAAGTTGAAGTCAAACAGAAGAAATAGGACCAGACTAAATTTTTTGTAAATGAAAATATACCAAAAATCCATGTCAAACCCAAAAGGAAAAACAGAAATATAGACAACCTTATCTGGGCCCCGATCAAGTCAATGTCTGTAGTTCTCATTTTTCCGTCAGGACCGTGTGAAATAGCATATAAAACTGAAATAAACAAGGTGATATTTATAAACAAAATAATACAGATCGGTACAATAACTGTAACAATTAAATAAAATCCAGTAGGATAGCAAATAGCATATTCATTTCTACTTAGTGATGCAGTCGAAATATAATTCTGTGGATCAAATATTAAAACGGCCGCTACAGGTACTAGTGGAATTCCCCATCCAATCAATGTAAATTTAATCATAAACCTAGAAGGTCGTTTATCTCCTAAAACTCTTACATATCTGATGAACTGTAAAGAAGCGGTTATGAGCATCCACATAAAACTAGCAAGGACTGAATAATGCAATATTGCACCTAAAAATATGCAGATTATTTTCATTTTATTTGAAGCGAAGTACTTGCCATTTTCCCCTAAAAATATTGTATCACCTAAATTAAAAACAACCATTAGAATTAATGGCATTGCTATAGCTCCTGTTAGATTTAATAGAACTTTGGAACCAGCTTTCTTCCTCCAGGCCTGAAAAACAAAGGCTGTCAGCCATATACCAGTTATTCCAAGGAGTGATAAGAAGCTCCCTATGAGAGATATTATATTTAACGGTTTTGTATTAACGGCGTTGTCATCAATTATTCGTTGCCGAATGTTTATTAACTGCCCAAAATGAGTTAAATGATAACAGTTACAAACGCTTGTATTGTTGACTGTACTAACCAAGTAACATCCCTTACTTGACCAAAATCCCGAAGCTCTGTTTTTTACCATGAAATCCCAATAACCACATTGTTTTTTGTATGCTAAATTATTAAAATTACGAAATATTAAAGGGATTGGATGAAGTAAATTTGGTAAAAATCCAGGAATCGAAACACCTATGACTCGACTGTTTAAAATTAAATCATTGGGATCTAATTCTTGAAATACTGCGCCATTGTGGAAAATACTTATTATTATACGGATATTCTCTACTTGCAGCGTTTCGTTACTAGTTAAATTTTGACTAATAATTAAAGAGTCGAGAACATTTCCCGGTATCCATGTCGCTATATCTAAATTAGAGATCAATAATACTTCATCATAAGTAGTATTCTTAAACAATGGTATTATGTCCACATCGAAAAAATTACTCGTGTTTGTTTTATACCTAATAGCTATACCAGAAATGTTGTTGATGGTAGGATAACATATTTGAATTAAAAAGTTTGGTTGTCTAGCCAAGTCATACCCTACATTTTGATGACTTCGTAATGTAGATGTGTTCCTTCTAGCCTTAACTAACTTATGAATTATTACATCTACCGCATCCAATATAACGTTCGTTGAATTTAATGTTTGTGCTAATCTTAGGTATCGATTGTCTAATATCATAACTCTATTCATAATCCACGCAATGTTCTCAATAGTACCCATATCTACGGAGCTTTTATTACTTTGAGCTATGTTTAAAATTTGCTGCAACGATATGGACAAATAATATATGTCTGCTGGAATAAATATGCCAACATCATTTAATATATATCCCAGACCATTTGTTAGAAATTCAAATGTATCGTTCGCGGGCATTCGACCTTTATAAAACTTATACAAATATGTTGTCGCTATTGAAGGAGAGTAGTTTTTATTACAAACACCTTCAACCTGACCCCACCTACTACCAAGAATATATGAACCCAGACAACGCCTCTTCACAGGCAAACCGTTAGCTTGTAAACAGAATTGTTTTGGAGCTGCTATATGACCAATCGCAGTCAGTTCCCATTCTAGTATCATACCTTCCGAGTCCGAAGTAGTTGGTAAGCAATACATTGAACTAGAGATATTTACAAATGTATAGTTATATTTAAATAGTTCCGTTTCTGCAATTTGTTTAATATTTTCATATAAAATTTTTATGTTGTCACCCTTTTCATTGTGAATATTCATAATTGGCATATGCATATGTAACAAAACTAGCAATTTCTCTGATGCATATGTGAGCATTTCCATTAAAAGAACTTTATCTGCATTAAAGATTAAAGTCACATTCTCACAGACTTGTATCATTTTTTCGTTTAGTTCAATTCTTATTTCATCATCAGTAAAAAATATTTCTAATCCTAGAGAAAATACGTGAATATCATTTCCTTGAGGATTGGCAATCACTTTTTCAGTTGCGATTAAGGTAAAATTATTTGTATGCCCCTCACACCAATACTGTGCTGATCGATCTGTTATAAGATCAACTTTGTAGACGACTTTTTCTATAGTGAAATTTGTCTTATCTTGATATTTACTTGTCTTAATTTGCATATACGGAAGCTCATTTATATCTATTACTTTTACAAAGCCCTTAGCGTCCGAGAAACATTGAATGCCTGTGTCATTTTCACTATATTTCCACAAACCGGAAGGGAAATAAATTGTTAAGTACATAGTATTATGAATTTCATTGTATTCAAACAATAATTCAGGCTGTTCGTACAAAATCTGAGTCCGACAAGCTAAACAGGACAGTTTCATTGAATCCTGTTTTCTGTTTAATCTTATTGAACCTTTATTATTTATAGAGACCCGAAAATCAGAAAATACTGACTTAAATATGCCTATTTGATCTCCAACATGGTTATAAAATGATGTCGAGAACCAACACCACGTATTCTCTGGAAAAGCATAATTTTTAGCTATTTCTTTATAGACATATCGGCTTAAATCATTTTCTATATTGTCTCCCATTGGTGTGCATTGAGATTGGGATATATTTGAAAATTCCTCAAATGACAACTCTTCATGCGATACTTTTATTCCAGCACAAATACTTTCCTGTGGTGTTAATCTTACTCCACTGTAGTTTTCAGGACAATTAGCTGGATAATGTATATCATTTCTATAAAAACATAAACTAGGATATTCTATCCAACATAATTCAGATGTGATTTCCCGTGCTTCAATATCTAATAATAGGCAGTTTTTAAATATACAGTCACGAACCGGCAAAAAATTATTACTTTCCACGTTGCGGCCCCACATTTTTCCGGGAGTATTCCAAATTAGAGGACTGAAAAGTGTAGCTCGGCGCCCTGGCAACCAAAAATATCTCGAAACGTTAATTTTTTTTAAAGATGTTAATATAGATTCCACGTCGTCATCACTGAGATGTGTAATTACCGAAGCACCACCTTGAAGACATGGAAAACTCCACGACGATGCTTTCTCAACTTTATAACAATAATTTGTGTTATTCTCGGAGACCTTCATGTATGTAGCTGGACACAAGGATGACTGTGGTGTATCAAAAATATGGAGAGCTTCAAAACAAGGAGTAAGCTCAGACAAAGAAGGTATCCACGTGTTGTTAACACAATTCCTTGTTATAATTGTATCTTCGTTGTAACATAAGGGGTCGGACTTTATGTCTGTGCCCTCTTCACTTTGTGGCCATCGGACACTTAATCCTTTATATGAAGTTTCTTCTAAACAAATCTGCAACAAGACATTTTACTTAATATAATGTTGATGTACTTACCATTCATGTATTTAAGTGAAAATCTTTACCTGTAGACTTGGGCTTAAGAAAATCAGAAAATGAATAAGTAAATATAAAATGATCATATTTATGAGAAAATATCCACATTTGACTCGCAAAGAGCTACCACCGTGCTTAACGGATAACTGAGATTTGTAACAGAGGTTTATCGCATAAGCTTTTCCACAAACACAATTTTTTTTGAGTATACATGGTGAATGAAAAGAAATAAATTAAATTACTTTAGATGTTCAACTAGCAAAAATCATCTGTATGAATAGGAACAACTTGTCATTGTTTTTTTAAATACATATGTTAACATTAAACAATAATTATATCAACTTAATTGCGCGGAAGGAATCGTGATTCAAACTTTTTTGATGTAAACATTCACTTTTTGACCTTCGTAGGCAATTGGTATCGGATTCGTCACTCCATTGCCATTGTATGTGCAAAGAATGCGGTGAATTAATTTACAAAGAAAGTGTTTATAAACATTAATTATAGTATTAAAATATACATATTTTATGCGGCTTGCTATTCAGTATTTCTTTAAACAGAAGTGCATGGTTAACGTAATAAAATTTTGTGGCTATTGTGCTTTATATTTTCTATTACGTGCACTTTAAATATGGCGATAAAATTACTGTATTTAGGTGTCCTGCTTAGCTATAGTAAGTATAAATAATATTAAGTTTTAAGTAATAATTATTTTATTATTAATTGAGAGAACATTTTATAGAACTATATAAATTTTCCGAGATAATGCTAAAGCTTAAAACAAAGATAATTAAAGCAACGAAATGCGATAATATGCGCACAAAATATCGCCTGATATTTTTTACTAGCAATGGAGAAATTCCTACTAAACGACGACGACTTATTTATAATGTGATTAGACTAGAATTAAATTGTTTATTCAAATAAATTGGTCGGGTTAGTAATTAGTACATCACACATTTCTTCCTTTTAAATATTTTAAGATGTATTTAATGTAATGCAGCTGTTGTAGTAGTGTAGTGTTTTAGTTGAGAAATGTAAAAGGAGCATATTTTGTTACCGAAGACTACTACTACAAATACTATTTAGGTTATTAAATTAATAATTTATAAGATGAAACCATACGATAACGTCCATAAACTTTGGTATGGTAAGAAACATTATATTACGATTCATATGATAAAGCAAATTAGTAGTACTATTCATATTTCAGTTCTATATTTAAAATTATATTTACAGTAGGAAAATGTGTTTGCTGGCAATATTTCACGTCTCTCAATGAACTCACTTTGGACTCATCGGATAAAGAGCCAGGTATTTTTTTTATGTTTACATACATTACATTTCAAATATGCAAATAATAAAGGTATATTTTATTAGTGTCTGTGCACAGCGAATATACTTTTGGGGATTGTTCACGAAAGGATATTCGATTTCAAGCCCATATACACAAAGATCACATGGAGGTCCTGGGCAAAATTATTATTCGAGTAAGTCAATGCGATTATGTTAAATAAATTCCCTTACTTAAAAACTGAAGAAGTAATTTGATAAAAGTTCACGCTACTATTTGTATATAGTTTTTTTTTAAATTTAAGTTATCAAGGTAGGAATTATAAATTCGAAAATTAACTATAAACAATTGATTTTTGAATTGTTCAGTGTTAGGTCTGAATAATATATATATACAAAAGCAAGGCCCTGGAGAGACCCTGTTTTATAAATTTAAAACCTACACTTTCAGGGCTGGTTAAAGATTCGTAGAATACCAACTTGTATTATCCTCAGAGCAAGGGCCTTTGAAGAAGATCTGTTTAGGAGTACAGCGTACAATTTTCAGATGTGCGTACCAAGAATCAGTTATTGTCACAGTCAACAACGATTTAAATATTATTATTACGAATGGTATATACCATCAGACATGATTGGTGGAATGAACTGGGATATATATTTCTATGGACCACCATACCTTACGTGGCAGTAACACATTATTTTCAGATGTTAAAATATTTTTCCTACCTCCTATATATTGTAATCAGTTTATTAACAGCAATGACACACACCCACACATGAAAGTTTCGATAGCCCGCGAGATATGGAAAACCATAACCTTGATTTTGTATAGAATTGAATAACTGTAATATAGGAAAATATAGTATAGAGAGATACTTTATCATACCTTTGTGATTCAATAGATAATACTTTTAGCTAAGTAAATAAATATCCAGTATCAGTTATTAGGTTCTTGGATCATAACTCATGATTGGCAATTTTCTCTGTTATGAAAAATGATAACACTGTACAACGTGAATATTTACAAGGATAATGTATAAATATTAGAAATGAAATTTCGTTTCCAATAATTTATTTTATATAAGTAATTTTATCAATTACTAATAATATATTGTAAAAATTACTTTTCTTTCGTAATAGTAACTTTCCAAACCGTCTAATTAGTGTTGAATTATAGTTTTGCTATAAATTTTAGCACGTACAAAGCTCCACGCACACATTTGCAAGTAAATTATTTTGTCATTGATATACAGAAAAAATGTATTAGCCTAAAATAATGATGAGCATTACATGTATCACTTACGTACTGTAAATTACAGAATAAATCTTAAAACTAAAATCACTGTATTATTGTCAAACTATTCAGTGTCGGGTTTTAACCCTCCCTGAGGCAAAGGTGGTGGTGGTACATTCGGTATAGCTGGATCTTTTGCTGAGTAGTTCAAAATGTTAAGGTCGCTAGGTTCTGATGGAGGTGTTGCACCTGCCTCAGAACTTTCTGGTGCTGGTGTTGCTTTTGGCACTTCTTTTGCCACGGGGGCAGCAGGCAAAGGAGCCAAAGCATTTGAAAGCGGTCGATACAAAGGAAAATTTGCATAAGGGTTGAATAAAAAGGGGTCATATGGGTCATAAAAACGTAGGCCTGGGAAAGAATATGGGAACGTGTTTATCTGCGTGAATTCATAGCCAGAACCGAAGTTGCCCAAGGGTACGACTTGTGGTGGTAAACCGAATTCGTTAAGAGGTATTGGCGATTCAGTTTTTGGTGGTGGAGGTGGTGCTTCGGTTCCATCATTGGTCTTTGGTTCAGGGCTGCTTGGTTCAGGAGGACTGTCCGAGGGCGACTCTTCTTTTGGTGACTCTGGAGATGCTGATTCTACATTTGGAGTTAACTCTTTTGACACAACTGATGGTTGCGCCAGTGGAGGCAACAAGCTCTGAAATTGTAACATAAAAATAATGAACCAAATGAATTTGTTATTAGTGTGTATAATATTGTTCCAGAAATACATTGACGTGGTACAGAATTTTTGAACTAATTAGTTATCCACTCTATCTGCTCGGATTAATTACGAATGTTCTATAGATCTTCAAGTTTCAGCTATTAAAAATTCATTTAAATCTCGCTTCCATGTAAGAAAAAAAAGTCCCATTAAAAAGTAGTTAGGTACTTACATTTGTGAATGGAAAATCACCATAGAAGACAGGTTGAATTGGATACGGGAAGGCGTTCCTCAAAACTGGCTGATACACTGGATAAGCTTTACTTGGCTCCAAATTTTGATTCGACGTAATAAGGGCATTATAGACCTTAGGGATCCTTCCTGGGATTGGTTCAGAAAGAGTTAGCGCAGTAAAGCACAGGAACTGAAAAATTCAAAACTAATATTAAAACATATGATAAGTTATCATCCAATGAGGAATGACAGACACATTCCTGCATCTCCCTATACGCACGTAAGAGTGGGTAAACTAATTAAAACTAGGACGTAAATTGCCTTTTTTAGGTAAAACGTATCAAGCAAAAAAGGTAAAAAAAGTTTTTGTTTGTTTTATATACAGCAATTGTTATATATTCAAATAGTAGAAAAACATGTTAAGTTTTCTCTTTAAGAGCTAGTGAAATTGCAATTTAGTTAGTAGGATATCTAATTGAAATGTATAACATACGCATATAATTATGTACGTAGGTACATATATATATAATTTTCTTAAGAGCAACTAGAAACCAGTTATATGAATAATATGGATAGTTAGTTGCAAAGACATTAATTAGAATTTGCCTTGAAAATTATAGACACTTAAAAGAACAATTTGATTAACGTAAGGTTTTTTGCACTCGAAATATTTACCTCTAATGTCACAGTTCTCATTTAGTCACGCATTTGTTTTTTCAATCTATTATTACGGATTGCCTAGATTTATAACATAACAGTAGTTATGGAGATATTTACCCCCTAAGGGTTCAAACATTGTTAAAACATTACTGCAGTTCATTTATTTAAAATGCCATTTTAAGTATTTTTGAAACATGGATATTCAAGTTAAACAAAAGAATGAAGTGAGGTATACATTTGATATTAATTTGTTACAAATACTCGTACGATATTCTGTTCCTCAAATAAATAAAACTAGTCAAGCAAGATTCTGTAATTAATTTTACTTACGTTCCGACACGACATAAAGGCACATAACTACGCCTAAATATTTGTTAATATAAAAAATAAATAGTATTAAAGTACATTCAATTTATGAATAATTTATGTTATGTTTTCTTGTGTGTTATTTAACAGCCCCATAAGATGTAGCGGGCGTTTGATTTTAATTTTTGAATTTTGAATTAATTGAACGTGTCTTTGCTATTTACAAACTCACCAAGATTTTGATTCACATTCATATAATATAGCGGAAACTAAGATTATTATAAATTTATTTAATATTTATCATATATATTTTTGGAGCACTTTACGCATTTGCTTGAATATTTAATTTGGTAATAGACAATAATAAGGATTAAAAAATATATTATTATATTTATATACAGTGACTAGTGGACCCCACAGACGTTGTCCTGCATGATATTTAAAGCGATTAGGATATTAAGCAAAGTTTGAAAGTACCGACTGCAGTGCCATCTGCCGGGCTGATTTGTGAATCTAAACCATTCCCAGATCCCCTTGAACACACACAAAAAATTTCATCAAAATCGGTCCAGTCGTTTGAGAGAAGTTCAGTCACATACACACGCACACAAGAAATATATATATTAAGATACCCGCTCTACTCTATGCTGCATGTTTCCATAACAAGACAGTCCCTGAAGAGAAAACGAGGTACTAATCGAGGAAATAATCGTAAAAATATTGATACTCGTAGTGATGGTTTATAAGAACATACCTAGTATTTATGTGTAAAGTTATAGCAATTATATTGTAATACTTTTATAGTATCGTTAAGTGAATCTATTGAATATTTTATATGATGCTTTACATAAGAATGTAGTTATACATTGTTATAAATGGTAATCATTGCAGATTGATTTGCAATAATTATCCTACAACTAGATGGTTTTTTATTCAAAGTATACGTCTTTGTTCTGTATACGGGCCTTCGTTTTTTTACATTTACTTTAATTAAATTAAAAAAATTAATTAAATTATTATCATATTTTAATCTAACTTTGCATGCTTTCTATTTTAGACACGAACATAATTTACGGTATTTTATTTATCAATGTATTTGCAGATATTGTTGTTAAAAAATCTGTTTATTAAATTTAAGAATCTGGTTGCATTAAGGATATTTTCGGTATATATTTTTTTCGTATATGATATTTTCTACTATTGGTTTCCTTTGAGGGGGTTCAGTTCGAATCCACATACTGTTTGATATGTAATAGGAGGGAAATGGGCAGGAGGCTCACCTGATGTTAAGTGATGCCCATGGACACACACATTGCCAGAAGGCCCGCAAGTGCGTTGTCAGCCTTTTAAGAATGGGTACGCTCTATTTTTGAAGGTACTTAATATCTACTGATGATGTAGCGTGACCTGTAGAAGTGTGAAAAAACGCAATATCTTCACAGATGCAGCTAATAGTAACTTAAATTTTCGTGAGATATATAGATATAGGTTGCTCATTTTTAGTAGAAATAAACAAAGAATCTCTCTTCCATATATCTACTATTAATAAGTTATAAAGAAACTCGTTTCAGTGTACAATCATTTTAAGCTCCATTTAGAGTAAGCCTGGCGTTCTTAATTTAGTAGGACCTTGGTATTTTGATTTGTCATGCGGACGGTTGGGATAACACGCGCTCAATGAAGCCAAAGCAAAACTAATTGGCCATCGAACGTAAATCTTTGGGTACCTATGCACTGATACAAAATTATGTTAATAGGCGATATTACTGCTAAACGCAGTTCCAGACAACAATCAATACTTAACACACACATAACTTTTACTTAAAAACTTAACTTCTTAATATAGCTTACATAAAAATTCAAAAAACTGCAAAGAACCTGTGAATTAAATACACTCTAAGGAGACAAAGAATAGTCCTTCATGATAAAAAAACACAATATTTACGTATTCTGCAAGAAGTCAAAGATCATAAACAATTTAAATATTCTATTTTTAAGCCCGGTTAGACAGTGGGTCATTGCCAAATGCAACGCAACACATATTTACCCAATCATAGACAATATTTTGTACCCATAATTTACATCATAGAAATCATGATTGATAACATCTGTACGTAGTCATTACGTGGTTAGTCTCAAAAGACAGGAGACGTGATAGATCATCAAAGGTTTCGAAATTATGGTAAAATGTTTTGATAAGTGTATCGTTAAAATTGGAAATTGTAGTTTGACTTAGTTCTATGCAAAATCTTGAATTTAAAATAAATCAATTATCCCGGTCGAGCGTGATTCCTAAGAGAATTTTGTTATAGCTGTATGGCCAGTCTCTTCCTGGCCGGCCGGCCACCATTTCGAACTCATACGCAACTAATACTAAATCGTTTATCAACAATTTACACACATTTGTATTAATTTAATAATTATTATAACTGCAAAAACCCATGATTCATATGTCACACAGACAGAACAGGAAGTAATGAGTTTTAAAAACTATTATTGTTGTTTATTGAATTAATTACTTATAGATCCGCTATTAGCTGTGATCCGGAAGTAGTCGCTGTAATAACAATGTAATTATTGAGGGTATAAAGCTGCTGTCATAGCGCGACAGTCAAAGCGATCACAAGGTTTAAGAAATGGAATGTTGACGGTAAGGTCAATAAGTAGAACCAATTATGACAGGACTACTATTAACTGATGTTATAAAATATAATTAAGTATAATCTACCTGGTTTGATGGAAAAACATTTTATAATGTTGAAAAGCAAAAAAAAAATCGCATGATGTAATACTCAGAGTCATTAACGGTTACTTGACACACTATAGTTGGAATCGAAAGCTAAAGAGGTCTTCACTGCCAAAACTTCTTAAATCAGTCGTTAGCTAACCGGACATTAATTGTTGTAGCTGAGTTGAACCTTTAACATATGTTATATATATTGGATGACTATCAGTTTGGCTGATTTTGTTGTCTTTAGATGTTATTTAAGCTAAGACTTATCGTTCTTACCACGTGGAAATAACTATGAACCTATTTACCTACACAATATTCGAAAACATAATTGATTGTTATTATTATAATATACATTAATTAACATTAAAATGCAGTGACACATATTTGAAATGAAAGTAAAGTTATACAATAGGTAATAAGTCACTGTAAATGAATGCATCACAAGAAAACAGTGGTTGCGATATTTACGAGGTCTGTGCATCATTGTGCATTCGCAATAAAGCCTGTGAGGTCATCGACCCTGCCATCACATGCACCTAAGATTTCCTTTATAAGTTTTCTATGAACATTAAACTTTTTGAGGGCTTAGTAAATCACTTATCAAAATATAAACAGTCTTTCATATTTTAGGAGCTGTTGGTTAAAGATTAGGATTCTATGAAATATGGCGGCGTATTGGTCAACGCCCAACGGTTTAAATTATTTATTGATTTACATTTATAATCATATGCTCTTATTATCCTTTTCTATGCACTTGTTAGTTAATCGTAGAAGGAAATCCGGGCATAATGATTATTGCAAATATTACATAGATTATTCTCAACCTTCAAGCATTAATCCTAGTTATTTATATGAGTGGAATTAATACTTTTTTAAATGATAATATTTAATATATCATCCTCCTATAGTAGCCTCCTTTTCAACGATAACAATGACTTGCCCATATAAGAACAAGAAAACATGGCATGCCACCAGTTAAGAAATTAAATAACATTTTTTACGTAGGAATAAAAAGCATCAATTATTAATTTAATAACGACACTAAGAAACGAAAGCACAAAACATTTATCATTAATAAATAAAGGCAATGCAAATATAAATATTATACTATGTTATGACAGTGGCCATGAGCTGTAGTGTCGAAGGTTCAATAAAATGTCGTACAGCACCAAAGACATCATTTAGCTGTCTTTGGTCATGGAGATGTTATGAAAGTTATGAATTAATGAATGTTAACTTACAAGTAAACACCGAGTCGCCATTGCGTCCGCTTCGGCGAATGGTAGTGGAGTGGTGTGCTTGCGCGGGCGCAACATGCTTGTCACCAGTGAGCTAAAACGTCTAGATGCGAATCATACCTCCCTCGTGGTTCAGGGCTTTTTCATATTCCCTTTCGTTGGGTGACCATGACCTTATATGAAACAGTAATTAAAAAATTGTTACCATGTGGTATTATTGAGCGGTCGTTAATCGTGTGTTAAGTTTGTCAACCGTGAATGCCTTGAAAAGTATACTTGCAAATTTACCTCCCATCCAAAATCTTACGCTAAACGCTAAAGTCAAGATTGTACTAAGGCTATCTTTAATCCAAGGCATTTTTGATTAGACATTCAGATATACAGTTAATAATAGGAATTGTGCTAATTTTAAAACTGTTTATATAACATAACATTTTTAGTGTTAAAACTAATAAAACCAGACACTTTTATAGTTTGTTGTAAATTAATATAACTCTGGTGCTTCTAGATAATTTTAATCTTGACAATTGTCCTTGTGAGCGAATGCAACCGCGTGCTTTGTCCTAGTTAACTGATAAGCTTTTTAGATAAAATTACCCCCTTTTACGCAGGTGACCAAATGATTGTGCCTGATCGTGTGAGAGATGTTGAAAACAAAGGCGTTTCCTTGAACCATTGTTTTAATCGTAATTTACGTTCAGACTATTGCGTAGGATCTTATAATTTGGTATTGTTGCTTGTATTTTGGCATATTTTTATCTTTATAGCAGTTCTAAAGTACCTATTATTTTTTAAATTATTATTGCGATGTCCTTTATTAAGCTTTTTTGACATTATCTTTTTGCATTAAATAAATTAATAATCCTATTAAGTTCTAGATGGTTACGTTTAAATTATATTAGTTAACGATAATATGCAGACAGCTATTGTTAAATTGCAGGTCCGATAGTTTTTCAACTATTTCACGTTCTCAAGTTTTTAGTAAATTGAATCAAGAATAATTAATTATAATATCAGCTTTGTCTTATTTAAAATTACTGTATTTAAGCCCAAACATCGTAGGAAAAGGTAAACTATACATTTTTCTATAGTATTTTAATTATATACCATGTGTGCTTATAAACTTTGCAAATAACACCATCTATTAGAAACATCGTAAACGATAAAACAGTTTGTTGTTTGTTTGACGCACGCTATATGGATTGTAATCACTAAAGATTTTACTAGATGGCGTGAACGAACGATCTTCTAAGATAATGATTATAAAATTAGTTTAAAAGTTGTTGTAACGCCCGCCATAACAAATATATTATTTAAATATATACTGTGTATATATAACCTTCAAGTAAGTAAGCTAAACTATGCTTAAGAATTAGACATTTCTATCAAACACAGCCGTGTTTTTTAAGGGACAGGAGTCAAACGAACTGGCTATCTACGGATACTGCAAAGTTATTTAAAAAGAGGAACCATCCCACTACATTCTGTCTTTATGTAGTACATTGTTAACAGGCAAATAATAGACACGCAATAGAATTATAAAACATATCAAGAATCTTGGCTTTGCTGGTTCGCCGTTAGGTATATTATGGTTTTTATTTTATAGTGAGTCAGAAGAGAGACAAATGGAATGCGTGTTCACTGAGTGGAAGTTTTTTCCAACTGTGCTAGTGAACCTGCTACGCGCTTATGTCTTCTTGACTCTATGTAATTAATATAACGCCACCCTAGGAAAGTCTTCCTTGATACCTCGTAGTTTAAGTAAAAATTAAAGAAATATCTTTGCAAACCTGAACCTATCACTAAAAAGAATTCAGAAGATTTTAGTGGAGGAAGAATGTTGAAGAAGAATAGAATGCTCTTCCTCGACCTTAAAGGAAGATTCTAGATCAGTATAACCACACTAGCCGGCCCGCGGTCGGAATAATTTTGTCACGGCGATTCAAATGATTGTAGGTGTCGCTACATGTCCCAATGCAAATGCACCCTAATCAAATTGAATTTTTAGAACCTGTAGTAGTTCAATACTATTACAAACGTAAGTAAGCTAAGGTTAATATTTACCAACCACGCGCCAAGTATGATTGCAGCAATTTGTGACTTTTCTGAGACACAACTGCTCAAAGTCTTCACAAATAGAAATGTTTTCAGAGGGAATTGAACCACATATTACGGGTTGCACTTTTGGATTACCTATTGAAATTCATAATATTATATATTTTTTTCATTCTTCGTATATATTAGTTCTAGTTTTATTACTTTTAGTCACCTTACTAGAATCTAAATGTCGATAAGAAAATTAATATTGTTTGAAAGCTCAGCCCTGTGATTCTGTAACTCACTTTTCGAACTCACACAGCGGTTTTCGCATCGGCGGTCGCTCTCAAATCAGTCGTGAAGAAGAAGAGAAGTCATTTTATGATTTGGCATTCTGAAAAGGTGGGAGCTTGCAGTTTATTGTTTATATTTATTATTATTATTTATATACAAAGAAAATCCGCACAGTATTCTATTTTTATCAGAGGGTTTTCAGTGAACATTTATTTCTAAAGCTCAGCAATTTTTTTATTATTAATTAATAACTGTATTCCCATACTTTCGCAATATATAAATCTGAAGCGATAAATGTAATTAAAGCATTTCTATTTTACATTTAATATTAGTGACATGAATAGAATGCATATGTATAATGTGAATGCATATGTATAATGTTACTTGCAAAGAAATATTATGTTAATAAGTTATTGAAAGGTATCAGTTAACATTCATTCGACGTTATCCATGTGTTATCTTCTATTTTTATTGGGGTTAACCACTTATAACATGTTATATAGTAGTTACATGATCCCACTGATGGAAAATTTTATGATTTTTGCTCACATACGAGTTAAATAGATAATTTGGTCAATTCATGTTAATATTTCTCACCAATTATTACATTGTATATTCGAATGTTTCTAATAGTTTTTTTTCACACAGCTACAGTAATAGAAATTAAACAAAAATCATGGTTAGGTTAGTACAGTCAAGAACTAAAATTTATTTTACTTATTTATTTTACAGCTTTAATATAAAATTACCCTAAAAATTATAAAATTCATTAAATCTTAAGGTATATAATTAATTCGTTGAATGATGTCATTAATTAGTGAAATACAAAATGTTTAAACGCGTATTTTCTATTCGAAGATACTTTAAACAATACGACCGTCATTGTCAGTCATCCTATACATAGCCAAAGCACTCCGCTTTGTTCCGTCGAAGATATCTTGAGAGGCTTGTACTTACATCAAAGATAGTTGAGTTGGCAAGATTTTACTGACCTTGAACTAAGAATGTCTATAAACGCGGAAATGTTAATGACTTTATTGTTTTACCGAAGCGCACGTTCGTAATCTAACTAAAACAACAATTGTATATTTTATTTTTGTTTGAAGTACGACCGTTAACAAATGCACAAGGCAGATCTATGTCTATGTTGTGTTTTTAGGGTATGTTTTAGGAAAATTGACCGGGAATTGAACCGAAAACTTCCGTACCACGCCATGGCGTTACCTACTATACTGCGATAAAATATTTATTTTTATTTTTTATTTAAGGTCTTAAAGTGATGTTCACTATTCATAAAGTAGTTACTACTAGTTTCCCTTTTGATGCTATTTACGCATATTGAACCGTTTCCTCAGTTCTAAACCAGAACTCCATATATTTTTACGATAGGTTTGGGAAGTCTGAGAGACGAATGTAACATGTTTTAACTTTTTAAATAGAACTACTTTATAATTGTAGTTTTGCATTTTTTATGCTGTCAAAAAAAATAATACTAACTACTAAGGCTTTGATAATATATACCTATCTAGCGCTTAATTTCCACCTTATTGTTTGTAAATATACATTTAAATCTACAACAAGTCCTTCAGTTTTAATTAGGTGTTATTTAGTACAATAGTAAACAACTATTTAATTGTCATTTGTAATCAGACAATTTGCACTATGAACCTCTCAATAGTGCCACTTTAATTATTGTAAATTGAACTGTGTACTCAATTTCGTTGTTGGCCTGTTTACATAGGCTATTAACGTAACATAAAATGTATTAGAACGCCAACCTAATCTTAACAAGAAGTCATGTGTATACTTTAAAGCTGAAATATACAAAAGCTCCACTTTTTATTAAGAAAATATATGTTTTCTGGATATTCTCCTACTGTTAGGCCCTTTCACCACTGCTCCGGTCCGACGTCGGATACCGGAATGAGTCATTAGAAAAATATCGGAAGGCCGGATTGCGCTTCTCCACTATATCCGATCGGACAATAATCGATACTTGTATATTTATCATGCTAATGTAACTAAATCCCATATACTTTATTTTATTAATAAAACGTTCTAAATTCTGAATATTTTATTGCCCTGACAAGTTTATTACTTTTTTTAAATTGTCTATCTTAAAATATTATAATCTACTTCTTTTTCTAATTCTTTCAAATTAAAGAAACTATAAATATACCTGTGAATAATAATTTATAACCTCTTGGATACTTGGACCGATAAAACACCGCGTTCCGATCTAGCAAGTTATCGGATCGTTAAAAACCGGATGCCGAAGTAGTGGAGAAGTACGTATGTACTGTTGTAAGTTTCTAAATCGGATCGGTAATTAACGTTTGCCGGACCGGAGCAGTGGAGAAACGGCCTTAGGATTAGTTTAAGTTGCAAACAATAAAATTGCGACTTGAAAATGAGATTTTGAATGTCGCGTCAAAAATCTACGTTTAAATCTGTGGTTATAGAAAGATATTATCTTAACTAACACTTTCAATAAGATATCGGAATATCTTAGATTATTTAGCCTAATTTTTCGTTGTTTTTTTCGCAAATCGTATTTTCGGAGATCAACTTTGTCACCGATATTAATATTTTATAGCATATAATAAATAATTGAATAGCAAAAAATAATTTAGTAAGCTGTTAATCCAACGTGAATTATTGTCAACGCGAATAACAATTTTAAATGAACACGTGTAAATTTAATTTAGTTTACACATTCAGCGTTATAAGCTTTCAAAAGCTTACTA